AGGAGGAGGGGGGGGGATGGGAAGACGGTGCGATCCGGGGGGTAGGTTGGAGGAAACGGTGTAGGGGTGCAGGAGGGATTGGTTAGGACCGGGGGTGGGAGGGCAGGAGGTGTCGAGTGCGATGGGGTACGAGACGGCAGCGACGTGTTCCGCTAGATCGTCGAACGGTACGAGACACAGTTGAACCCATCGGATCACTCGGACCAGTCTCCACAACCCTCGGACCCGCAAGGGTGCACTGCGCGGTACCCGCTCGCCCTCTCCCTCGCCTTCACCAAACGACCTCCTCCACCGTAAGAACGGTCTCAATTCCGCCGGAATGTAAATCTCGTACCTCCCTCCATCCCGGTTCCCCTCATCGGACAGCTTCCCGAACCTGCCTACGAAAGGCAGCTTTTCCAACAACGAGAGCGGCAAAAGATCCAACTTCCACCAAGGCCTCTTGCGTCCGTGATGATCAAAGTAACGCACCGATTCGTTCCACTTGACGACCTTTTTCAACCTGGTCTGGGGCAGTCTGATCAGCGGGTTGGTCTCGACCATGCTGACGTGCACCTGACCTGCACCGGCTCCTCTTCGAAGGTACTCGAGCTCCAGTTCGCGGTAGGTGGTTCGGAGCGCTTCTCGAATCGTATTGACCACGGGTGTGGGCCACGCTCGCAACACAGGTGTGGTCTCACTGCTGCTCGGGTTGGAGGATGCGGATGAAACAGATCGGTCTCGCGTCTTCCCCGTTGAGCCGGATCGAGATGGTACGGATTGCAGCGAGAGTGTATCCGGATCTTGGGGCAGGTCGGGTCCGTATCCGCTGGGTACGAGACCGATGATTCGACCTTTGTCGCGTTTCAATGCGGGGAAGAGGACGTTGATCAGTGCTTTTGATTGTACGACGTCGGTGGCGAGGGCGCTGTGGAGTGCTGCTTGCTCGTCGTCCTGCGTGCGAACGATGCGTGCACTCGAAGGTGAGAGCGGTGGCGATGCCTGTTGGTTGAACGAGGAGGAGGAGGATTCCATCGATGACGCCGGTTCTTCTCGAAACGGCGGTGCTAGACCGAACGGATCTCGCGGCGCACTGCTCGTACTCGCCGTCGCCGATCGGCTGGACGAGACACGCAGCTCGCCCCAAACATCCCGATTGCACAACACGAATGGATCCACATCGCTATAGGCGCTACCCGGCGTCTTTGGAATCTCCACCTTGGACCCCAACGCCGCAGCGCTCCTGGTCAGCGGTACGTTCCTAGGACACAAGACGGACGGGATCAGGATGATTCCACTGAGCAGCAAATCGTGCGAGCTGCAGTAGGCCGAAATTGTCGAGTTGACCATGGCCAGGCCGTCGGCATTCTGTACGTCCGCCATGATGGGGATGATGGTACCGGAAGGAGAGGATTTCGGACCGGATCTACCTGGCAACCAGCCTTTGAGCATGTCTACGCCGTACCCGAAAAGATCGGGGTTGGCCCAGCTCGACCAGCTTCGCGATCGACGTCTCGATGTGCCCCCGATTTGGATGGGGGGTGGTCGAGACCGTGATTTGTGAGGACGTGGTGTTTCGTCGCCGCCGCCACTTGTCTTTGGATTGAGCGTAGACGAGGTTGGCGCTGGTGAGGATGGGTCGGAGGATGCATGTTCGCTTCCATCTGGTACGGAGTCCGCGTCGTTGACGTTGGCTGAATTCGTGGGAGAAGAGGGGCCGCTGGAATTGCTACTGGACCAGCTCTTCGCTACATTTTGCTGCCGCAACAGGGCTTTCTGCATCCTAGCCTTCTTGGCTGCCCACTGTGCCACTGTGATGGAAAACTGGTCTGGATCGGCGTGAAGGACAAAGCACGTATAGGGTGCGCGAGGGTTGCGCTTGGTAGGACCGACGTCCTTGAGCGCGAAACTGGAAGGCGAGCCGGAGGAGAGGCGTAGGGCTATGTATCTGGCGACAGCATCGTTGTGCGGGGCGTAGACGACGACGGCCGAACCCTTGGATGAATCCCACCAGGCGCGAGGGGCTGGTTTGTAGGTGTGGAAAAAGAAAAAGTAGAAGAGGGTGTGTAGGTGACAGAGGAATGCTTCGATGTAGAGAGAGATGGTGGTGCAGATGGCTCGTATTCTGCAAACGGTGGGGGAAGGGGCGAGTGAGCCTCGGAAGGAGACCATGATGAAGATTGCGGAGGAAGGTGCGTGGCAGAGAGAATCCCTGATCGATGGTATGAGCGAGCTCTATGCCATGTGAGGTTGGGGGTACGATGGAACGATGTATGCAGTGCAAGAAGCTACCGGTAGGATCGAGCGTGTCGAACGACGCATGTAGTCAGAATGGACGGGTGCTGGTAGAAGGCAGAGCGTGTGTATGCTGGAAGTCGATCTACGGACACCGAAGCGTGAGTCGTGCGCTGTTTCCTTGAGGTGTATTCCGCTGTATAGACGCGATTGTATGCTGATTATTGAGCGACCGACGACTGGCAGAAGGAAGAGTCTAGGGGCGAATGAGGGAGGAAGAGTGGGGTCGACGTTGGAAGGGAGGAGAGACAGAGAGTATGTGAAGTAAGTGTAGATAGACTGAGGGCCGGGAGGGGAGTGTCGGTGGGTGAAAGTGATGCACAAGGTGATGGTTGACAGCAACGGAGCGATTCGCCTCATGTGTCTTCGGGTGGCCAAGAAGACGCAAATTCGACCTGCAGCGTGGCGCTGGTTGGAATGGTAGCAAAGCACAAGAGGCGCTGCCCCGCAATCACACGAGCCAACGCGCACACGAAGCTTGGAATTTATCGGTACTGATGCAGGGTCCACAACCCTTGCCGCTTGCTTGCCTTTTCGCACAACCCCGTCGTACACTGTACGCCAGTACGTACGCAAATTGCAGCCGTGGATGCTCAAGAGAGCTGAAAACAGGGGAACGCCACTCGAGCCCCATCTGTCTCGTGCACCAGCCACTCATGATCCTTCACAAGCAGTTGTCACCTGACAATCCATGCGCAATCTTCGTCAAAAGTGGTCCGGCGCCCGCCAACCACGCCGTTTCAGACGGCAAGGGGCCGAAATTCGTTTCGAATAGCGAAGCTTGAACCTCTACCGGATAGGAATACGCTGGAAAAACGGTCTTGGTGCGTTTACCTCTTTCAAGAGACGGCCGGCTGTTCGAAGCAGCCGCAGGTGCTCTGATCTGTGAGGCAGGCGAGCCTGTGGTGCAACGATATAGATTCGTTTCCTTCTCCAAGTGTGTTCGTCACAGGGCCTCTTGAGCTTCTACTATCTCACCTCTGATCTGTTCCAAGCTCTGCGATTCGTCTGAACGGTCGTAATCTCTGCTTCGACGTCGAAGCCAAGGAGGAACAAGACGAAAGACGCTGGAAGCACGGACCACGATCTTCTGATTGAACCCTATCAACAGATCGACGCACTCCACGTGTTTTCGGAAACAAATTGTCTGCATCGGCAGCGATTTCGCTGAAATCGGGTGCAATGACATCAACGAGCAGCGCTTCGGGTCGGCGTTGGTCCGGCTCGCTGATTCTTCCAACACCGCGTCACCCTTCCGAAAGCCGCGTCACCAAAGCTAGCTCCCTCGACACAACGTCTGTTCCACCACATCTTCTCCTTCAACAACGCTCACTCACCATCCCTGCTTCCGTCATCATCCTCAGCATATTCCATTCACCATGTCCAGGAGCGTCGCACTACCCGCTCTTACCGCCTCCATCCCGGCGTTCTACCACTTTCTCGCTCCCAAGTCCACCACCGTACAGGGTCTCTTCTTGCCCGTAGGATACGGCTATGTAGTCTCGTGCGTCGTCTCGGCCATCTGGGTCACCTTCCTCATGGGTGTCAAGGTCGGCAGCGCGCGCAAAGCTGCTCAGGTCCCCTACCCCTACCTCTACGCCGACAGGGCTGTGGCCGAAAAGAACCGCGAAGCCCATCTGTTCAAGTAAGTACCCTCGACGCTACTTATAGCAGGGGATCGACATTGACCTTGCTCTTTCTATGACTCGATCAGCTGCGCCCAACGTGTACACCAGAACACGCTCGAAAACCTCACCGGCTTCGCCTTCTTGACCCTCTTCAACGGTCTCTTCTTTCCCAAGCTTACCGCCATCGTCTCGGCTACTTGGGTCGTCTCTCGCATTCCGTACGCCATCGGCTACTACTCGGGTACCCCAAGCAACCGTGCTGCCGGTGCCATCTTTAGCGGTCTCAGCTTCCTCGGTATGTTCTTGCTTCCGGTTCTGCTGTGCAGTAAACTTCTCGAATAGCGTTGTTTACTGACCCCCTCGTGCTTTCTTTTACTTCTTTCATCGACGATGACGACCATGTAAAACAGCTTTGTTGATCATTTCGACCTACGCATGCTTCACCATCTTTGGTGCTGCTCCCATCGTCAACAATGTCCTTTGAGATGGTCAATCGCCTTCGATCTTCATACAACAGCCAGGTGGCGCTTTTCTCAGTAGGTCGAGCCTCTGTTAGCTAATCTGCTGTGGGTCAACTCAGTGGTTCACAAACATGAGACGGTGGATAAGAGCCAACTTCTGTATAATCGCTGCCGGAGCACGGGCTCGACGGCCCACTTCATGCGACATTGTCGAAACCACGAAAACTATTCCGCTTTTCACCCAGCATTGTCACCGATCATCGTTCAATACGTTCACTCAATATCAGTTTGTCAGATTGGTCCGACCTGTGGCAATCTGTGTGTGGCTTGTGTCGGCCCTGCTTCTGGTAAAAGGCCGGGTCTTGCACGGTGTGCCTGATCACGAGCCCAGTGGCTCGGTCCTCCTTCATGCTTTCGGTTGGCCCCAAGGAAATGTCATAGCCGCAGGATCTATCTTGACTGGTGAGCCTCGTCATCATCAACTTACCAGCTCCAGAACACTCACTGTGGCAGAATCGACTTGGACTGTCGAGTCTCGGCACCAGTGTAACGTCCTCACTTTATCCGCTCTTTCGACCGCGACAGCGGCCATTTTCCTGATGCAGGTCCTCGCCTTTGGAGACATCGTTTCAGTCGAGCCTCCTTTCCTCATCGCACAGATGCATAACCTCCGTCATCCCCTTTTCTTTTTTTCCCGGCCTTGCCTCTCCCTTAACCCACCTAGCTCTTGGGTCTACGCAGGCGGGACGTTCTAGAACACTCACTTCAGATGATCTTATATTCTTCTTGCTGGCCGAAGATATGAAATCAAGTCAAGTCACGGCTAGGTTACATTCATCCTCAGTCCTGCAGGATGCAACACCACACAAAAGGCACAAACCCAGTGGTTTTATCGGATTGTGATAGGTATCAAAGTATTGTTCAATTAAAGAAAGACATTTGTGGATGGAAGGCAATCGAAAATCGAGCGTAAAGCGACAGTGAGGTACAACCGAGCATGCGCTCTCGGGAGCAAATGATATAAGATCAAAGAACTAGACTGAAGAGGAATATCGTGAATGATGGTCCTCTTGCAGAAAGGAAGATCCTTTGCTTCACCTTTGAACGGTGCGAGGGTTGATGTCGACGGAGAAGAGGTTGAAAAGAAGTACGAAAGTTTGTTTTGTTTTGTCAACCCAGAAAGACTTAGTTCTTGTTGAGAGGGGAGATCTCCTCAGCCTGGGTGGAGGAGAGAGGGATGTCGATAACAGCGGGACCAGCGACGACGTTGTCATCGGCGATCGAGTTGTTGACCTTGCTGACGACCATGTAGATACGGCCGTATCCGACATCCTGGGGGATGGTGACCGAGCCGTTGTCGCCGATCGGGGCGTAGTAGACGCTGAGACCAGCAAGGAAAGCAGCGTACTGACCAGACTGGACACCCTGACCAGCGACGGTGACAGTCTTGCCACCGCAGACATCGCCAGTGACGGTGGCGGCGGGGAAGGCCTTGACGGGGAGGGCGGGGTTGGTGCTGGGGCACGAGGTGATGAGGGGTGCGGCGAGCGAGTAGGTCTGGTTGAAGTTGAGGGGGGTGCTGGTGTCACGGGGGAAACCGTCGCCCTGGAGGACCGAAGAGGAAACCCAGCCCTGGTGACGAGACTCGACAGTCAGGATGGATCCAGCGGCAGTGAGCGTGCTGGGGTTGGTGATGTTCTGAGCGGCACCGAGGTAAGCGCTCTCGCCGATACCCTCAAGAAGAGCGGCGGTGGCGATGAAGGTGTTGACATCGGTAACACCGAAGTTGTACTTGCACTCAGCGGTAGCCTGGTCACCAAGAGCCTTGGTCAGGAAGTCGACGTGGGCCTTCTCGTGGCCGCCGATCTCGACGAATCGCTGACGAACCCAGTCGGGGTAACCAGCAGCGCGGAAAGCACCGGCATCGTAGGTGGCGAGCGTGTCACGGTAGAAGGCGTTCTCGAGGTGCTCGAGGGTAAGAGCGTAGTTGAGGATGACAACGTCAATGTCAGCCTGGCCAGCGGCGGCACGCTTGGTGGGAGCGGCAGCAACGGCGGCAGCGGCAGTGGCAGCGAGGACGGCGTACTTGGTAAGCATTTTGAAAGAGGAATGTGTGGGGGGGCAGGAGTGTTGTTAGGAGAAGAAGATGTGGAAAGGGATGAGGGATGTTGGATGGGAAGGAGTTAGGCGGATCTTTGCAAATAGGCTTCCTTATGTAGGCCACGAGAAGGCCGAACGTACCCCAAACGTAGATCTCAATAAAGCTGGACGAACAGTGCAACGACGAGAGAGGCGAGGGCGCAAGGAGAGCGGAAGGGAAGGGCTTACTTGATGTTTCGGCCAGTACAGCAGAGCGGATGGGGAGGGGAAAGGGCTCGTCTCGCTTAGAAGCGGCACAAATGTTCCAGAAGGAGGGTCGCCTCAAAACACATGACATTGGTCCCTGCCCCATCCCTGCAGACCGTCAGATGCCGGTCCCTGGTCCATCCATTGAGACCTGCACCCGTCCCCTACCCATCGCCGTCCTTCCATGTCGATTCCTTCCTTCTGTCAAAAAGCGCCAATGCGGATCGTATGCTCCCGTCTCACCTCGAGACGAAATATCGGCCAACTTGTGAGAAAGAGGGGTCATATTTGCCCAAAGGCGAGGCAGTCTTGGCGGCAATGCTTGGCTGCGAACTGAAGAAGATGGGAAGCTCAACGCAACGGGCCGATCCGATGAGCTCATGCAGTGTCTCAGCGGGCTATGGGTCGGAAAGACGTTGGAGAAGGATCTCACGGCGACTCGATTAGGGACTGACAGAGGGCCCTTTGCGCTCTACATGCAGGGACACACGTAGATCCCGGGTCAGCAGGCGCAAGCGTTGCACCGTACAGTACGCAAGCAGAAAACGTGATGTTTTCCGCGGAGTGGCACTCTCATGGGGATGCTCAGCGCCATCTTGCAAGTGAGCCAATGCGGAAGATCTGCGCTGGATTCCTGCTCAACTGGAAAGAACAAACGTCCTGCTCAAGAATGGATTGGGACGCCGGTCCGCGCAGAGAACTCTCGACCCTCCCTTTGCGCAAAGAGCAGGGGGCTCAAGCCCACGAAGGTCCAAAGGGGCGGATTCTTCGGTGGGAGGAGCGTGAAGGGACTGAGCGGACTTTTGAAGAGGATGCTTAAGCGAACAGGCCAAGTTGAACGAGGAAAAGACCAGGAACTCTCTTTTGGTCGTGATTCAAGGTCAGCTCAGTGAATCATAGAGCCAGAGGTCGGGCCGAAATAGCAGCGATCATGAAGAAAGGTAAGGACGCAGTACTGGGCGGTGCAAGTGCCAGGAAAGTTCTCCATGAAAGATGGCTGATACACGCGAAGAGAGCCGACCTTGCGCGCACCAAAGCAAAAATGGATGACGACGTCCCAGTGCAATGGCGACAAGGTGCGAAGCGCTCGAGGGAGGGGACGAGGACTGTGCGAGATGTGTCGATCAGCTGAGTTGTCCAACGAGCGGAGCAGACGGGAAAGATGCGACGATCGTCGCATAGGGTGCTGGAGTCAGTCCACGTTTTGGAAGTGTTTGAGTTGTGTTTGGTGCGGGGTGTCAAAACATCACCTGAGTTTCAACGACGGATGGAGACACCCTCTTCTCCAGCGCAGCGGCAGTCAAGTTGTGGAGGGAAAGAAAAAAGCAGAAGCCGGCAGCTTTGCATTTTCGTGACGCCCGCCAAATTAAGCGAGCTGTTGCTCGCCTGCACCCTTTTCCTCGACCTTTGCCCCCCGTCATCTGACTTCGAAGATGGTTAAACCCCACCTCTTGACTTGGTGCTAGCAGAGCAAGCGATGTTTCGCCTGTGGAGCATGCCTTGTGTTGTCTCTCCGCAGCCAGTCTCAAAGCTTAGCTTTGCATCGCTTTCGAAAGGAAGAAAGGCTCGAAATGCGGGTTGATAATTTGCTGAGACGAGCCTGCCAATTCGAGTTCGAATCGAATAGTGCGGCATTTTTTGACAGGAAAGCGCGGCAGACACAAGTCGACAAAGGATCGGCACCGCAAGGCACAAATCAAATCACCACCGGCAGGAGTTGCCCGGGCTCCTGCGCTCTGGACGATCAAGCAAACCTATCATTGGCCCGAAGCGCACTGCACGATGCGCGAATGGACCAGGGTCGTGGGAAAATGACAAGTACATTGACAGCGGGGGATCTACAAGCATGCGAGCGGCTCGAGAACCATCTCGGTTCGATCGCCAAGGCAAGCATTTTGGCAGTGTACTTGGTATTGGATCTTCACAACCAAGCACCAATTTGAGGCAGCAAAGCGCCAGTATCAATCGAGCTGGTGCATAGCAGGACCGGGGAGTTAAAGCCAATCGGTCGTTGCAGGAGAGTTGGAGCTCCGAAGCGCGTCCCCTACAGCTTGTTTGTGATGATCTCCCGAGGAAGGGGAGTGTCGAAAGGTAACTTCCTTTGCGCGTCTCGTTCAGAACGGAGGCAGAGTGGAGAAACAAATTGACAACAAGACAAGACGTACGCCGACGGAGGTAAGAGGCAATTTCTACATGCAAGATGTACTCCGTTCGCCGACGTCGCGTTTGCATGCGTGGCCGGCCGCCCCGCTCAAATCAAAACAAAAGGAAGCGCATCCACGCATCGGGAATGACTTCGACCTGTTCCTCAGCCCCACGCACCGCATCTTGTCCTCCAACTCTCGGAGCGGGACTGACCTTTTTCCGTTTTGCCGTTCCTTCTTTGTTCTTCTTTCCTCGAATCCGGAATTCCGCTAGAAGGTGACCAAACGAGGCGGCTGCATCTCGGCTTCTCTTTCTCTGAGCTGCTCTCGAACTTTTCCATTCTGTTCGGTAATATCGGCCACGCCATGACTGCAAAGGTCGAACATCCACCTTGTTTGCCGACTCAGCTTTGCGATGTTGTTCTTGTTGTGCAGGCGGATAGGTGGGGAAACAATGGATGCCATTGTTACGCAGCGAGCATCGCAAGCGAGAAATCCGAATCCGAAAGAATCAGCTCACTTTTCGCACTCTCTCTGTCTCCGCGTAACTCGGCAAACAGCCATCCAAGCCTCGCCTAAGCGACCATTTTGGATCCGCGACCGGCTCTCCGCTCTAAATTGATATTTCAAAATGTTCAAATCGTTTTTGACAAAATCACATTTTAAGTTGATCATCTGTTCCTGATCTTCATCGTTTTGGCGCTTCCACATCTCTGTAGAACAAGAGTCGTCGAACAAGCAGTCTTGGAAAAGTCAGGTCATGCAATACACGGGCGAACCTTACTTGCAGGCTGCGTGTCCCCGTCAGGGGATTTCGGCTAACATGCAAGCTGCCCTCATTCCACGGACGGTCTTTGCTCGTGCAGATGTCGTGCTTTCCTCAGCATGCCTCGGACCGCAAAAAGGACGACGACGCCTCGCATCTCTTGACAATGGATCGTGATCGGGAGCAATAGACACGACTGTTTGGCGATCCCGATTGGAAGGCAATGTCATAGCGACGACATTGTCTTCATCCCGATTGTTTGCGCTCATCTCGCATCCCGATCTATTCTCGGCTCGATCAGAACACTTCTCACTCGACTGCTGTCCGCGAAGCATCAATTACCGCTCCTCTTCCCCCATCAAGCCAAGTATCGGTACATGCCTCTCTGTCCTTCGACACGTTCCATGTACTCCTTCTCGATCAAGATCTCAAACACCTTCTTGATCTCGGCGACATCCACGGTGAAGCGACTCTTGATCTGGTCGACGACCTCGGTGATGAGCTCCGAATGCTTGATGGTCTTCTTGGCCTTGAGCACACGCACCGCCGCTGCTTGCAAGATGAGCTCTCGATCGAGGAACACGCGCTGCTCGGTGGATTTCTGCTCTTCGGCCGTCTCCTTCATCTGGATCTGGTTGATGCGGATCCGATGACGTTCGTTCTTGAAATTGTCGTTGAACGTAAACTCATCGTCGTCGTTGACGTCTTTGCCCTGCGGAAGCTTGCGAAGCACGCGCGTGGGGATCTGACCGCAGGCGAGACTCTGCAAGGTTCGCTTGAGCTCTTCATCCTTGAGACCGGTCTGCGTGCGGATGTCGTTGTAGCTCAGTTTCTGTCCCGACTCGAGCTTGTTGAAGAGCATCAGCACGATGGCTTGGAACGTGCTGACGTGGAGCTCCTTGACGCCCGCTTTGCCAAACTGCGTCGTGATCGAGAGCGTGCCGAGCGAGTGCTGCCAGTGCAACCGACGACCGCTGTTGCGTTTCTGGTAGAATGCTTCGAACCGTTCGGCCGCGGCAGCGAGCTCGGCAGGCAGGCTGACCTCAATATTGGGATACGTAGGCCAGTGCGCCTGAGTGAGCACGCTGACGCTGAGATCAAAGTCGTCCATAGGCGAATCCTCGTCTTTGCGTTGCTTGACTGCAAAGCGCTCGTATTCGTCCATGAGATCCTTGGATACATCGACGTCCTTGATCATAGTCTCGAGCTTGGCCGTGAACTCGGGGCCGCACTCCGCCTTGAGCTTGAGCAGCATGCTTCGCTCGGCGTCGGAGGAAGCGGAGCGATTGAGCAGCAGGCGCTTGGCAAAATGACGCTTGTAAAACTCTTCAAACATGTCCTTGGCATGAGTGTATCGGAAGAGAATGAGCGCTTCGTCGAGGTTGTGTTCCAGCTCCTGGTCCGTCATGGTCTTGTTTCCGCTGCGCAGCTTGGCATCCAGGAATTTGGCGACGAGCTCGGCGGGTTTGTTCTCGCGCTTGTTGACAAAGACCTCGAAGCTGTCCTTTTGGGCATTGACGAACTCGCCGTCACGCTTGAAGCCAGAGCTGACAATAGTGTCTATGGACGACTTGAACTCGAGAAGCCTCTCGATCATGTCGTCGTCTCTCTCACGATCGTTGACGATGGCAGCACCATGGATCTTGATGTATTCGGCAAAAGCTTTGCGCAGATCGGAGAGGCGGCTGATGCTATGAACCAGTTGGTAGATCTTGGCGAGGCCGTCAAGCTGCTTGCATGAGACGAGATCGGGAAGCCCGGCGAGGATCTTGTCGGCATGCTGCGCCACGAGCTGCTTGCGTGCAGCAGCCACGTTTTCGGCACGGCCGCCGTCGGTGAGAAGGACCCACTGGCTGCGGTGTTGCTCTTCGTTGATGCGACGATCGGCATAGTCGACGTACTGCGTCGGAGATAGATCAGCCATGGAGGCTGTGGACTCTGCTTGGTAGAAGACGTTGGCGGCACTGACAATCGCTTGGTCGAGCATCTCTTCCGCCTTTAGCTGACGGAACATGTCTGCAAGAGAGGTGTGCAAATCCCTGTAAGGAATGGTCTGGCCGCGTTCGCCATCGACGGCAGCGGCGATGCGGCTGAGGATCATGCCCGACAGCGTAGCGTCCTTCAAGAAACGGTGAGCAAAGATATCGAGTCCCAAGTCCCAGATCGGCAGTCGGCGCTGTTCCGAGCCATCGCTTTCGGGTCTAACGGAGGCGGCTGCAGCACCGGTGCTGAAGAAGGAGCGATCCAAGGGCAAGAGTACGTCTCGAACCAGGGCCAAGCTCTCGCACCAGTCGGACCAGACCGAACTGAGCTGGTTGAGCCAAGTGATGCTGCTTGCCAGCGTCTCATTGGTAGAGCCGGAACTATGCAAGGCAGCAGCAAAGCTACCAGCGGCGCGTTCGATTTCGATCTTGACCGTGTCGTACAGATCGGCCAACGCTTCGGCAGACGAGTGGGTGACCAAGGTGTGTGTGGTGCTGTAAAGCTGTTGAAGGGGTGGTCGAACAGCGCCAGCATTGGGACCCGCCTGGCTGGACAACGACAGCAGCATGCGCACGGATCGAACCAGCTGCGTGGTAGCTTGGGAAGCGTAGTTGGCCGGCGGTAGCGTCCTTTCTGGATGGAACGAGGCGATCTGTACTGGAGGTCGAGTGCGGACGCCTTTGTCTGCCAAGGTGACGGTTGCTGCGTTGGTGTGCGAGCTCCCCGCTCTGGCCAGGAAAGCAGCAAGTCCGCCCGTGGAGGCGCCAGCCGAGCTGGCGGACCCTCGATCAGCGAGAGCTGAGGTGTTGGCTTGCGCCCTCGAGAGGAGCGCTTCTGCTAGCGACATGTTGGATGCGAGCGATGGTGGACCTGGCTCGATTTGATATGGACCGAGCAAAGCTCAAGGGGGAGACGACGCTAGAATGGCGGTGAGCCGGCGAATCCGCGCGCGATACTTGAATGGTCAAGGGTCCGAAGCATCGGGTTGGGCGGGCGAGGTGGACTGTGCGGAGGCTGAGTCGCCTTGGTGAAGGTCAGCAAAGCAGACCAAAAAATCAAGCCAGCAGGAGGCGATGTTGCTCTCGATCATCTGTGTAGCTTCGGCATCCTTTTTGGCTCCACTTTTATTTCACCGAGATATTTTCGACCTTTTTCCCTCTTTGTTTTTTTTGAACGGCCCAGAGAACGCCAGAGGGTAGCAGAGTAACGGAGGGGATGGTAAAAAAAAAAAAGGACCAAAAAGAGATGGGCTTGGTTAGCGCTTTCCACCGATTGCCCATCGGTGGAGGCGTTTGTGATCGAGTCGGAAGTCGGTTTTCTAAAGTCACACTTTTGCGCGAAAGAGACACACACCGAGGCTGAGAGTGTGCGTGTCAGAAGCGCAATCGTGAGTGAGCTTTCCTTTCCGCACACTCTCGAGCCTCCGCTTTCCGGACCCACCTTCATCTCCTCGACCTGACCTGTTCTAGCTCGAATCGACTCAGCATCGCAGACACTGTTCGAGCCGCAGGACACGCTCACCGCTCCCACTTCGCACCTTGCTCGTCGATCGGCAAGATACTCGTATCCACACACTCGGCGCACCAGCCGCTCTCGGTCTCCGCTGCGCATCCTGCACATCGATCGAAATCTCTCATCGATCCATTGGAGGCGCGGCGGTAGTCTGGCTTGACGCTGACGCAGCAGCTGCGGCACCGGGCAGCGTCCGTCGCTCTCTTGGGTTCCACAGCCAATCATGAAGATCACAAAGACTCCCAAGCGTCTGGCACCAGCTGCGCCCGAGGTGCTGGCACTGCAGGATCGGGTCTCAAAATCATCCGATGACGAGCTGCCGGCTGTGCTCGACAGCATATCCGAGTGGTGTTGGCCCCGAGGCGATCTCTACTACTGGACTGGCGTGCTCAACCGCTTCGACACCATCCTCGAAAATGTGTGCCGCGACTACGAGCTCTCCAGCATCCAGGCCAACGACTTTACACCGCTCACCAAGCGCCTCGTCGCCAGCATCTTGCGCTTCTCTCGCCTCCTCGTCGAGAACTGCACCAATCGCAAGCTCTACAGCTCCTTTGAACACCTCAACGAGCTCCTTTACACGCGCGACCTCGACGTCCTTGAAGCCGCCCTCCGTCTCGTTCTGCGCGCCGCACAACAGCATAGCAGCCATCATCCAAGACACGAGTTTCAGATCTCAAAGGAGCGTCTCACCACGCTCGCCATGATCTGGACGCCCAGAGATCATGGCGTTCCGCTTGTCGACGTTGCTCAGCCAGAAAAACCGGTACCATCAGAGCTCTCGCACGTGCGCTTCCAGTTCTTTCAACGCTGCGGGTCGGCAATAACCTCGCAGTCCGTGCCGTCCTCCTCTTCCGTCTCCACCGGCGAATCTTCCCATGCGGCTCGAGGCGTTGCCTCACCACACCCGGCTCAAAACCAGCACCACAACGCGTCCACCTCCACGCCCACACGCTCGCGCAACAGAGACCATCGGCCCGTCATGCTTCCGGCACTCTCCACTGGTGCGCTCCCTGTGACGCCCACGCGCCAGGATGATCGGGTCGAGACCAACGCTGCGCCTGCCTCTGCATCCGGCGCCGCTGCTAGCCGTCGCGAAGGTTTGGTCACCGTCGACCTCGGCAAGATCACATCTGCCGATGGCGACCCAGCCGATCTACTAGCCAAGGCGGTCGAGACGTACGGGATCCCGCAGGAGGAGCGATTCGAGCTCTTCCAACGCATTCGGTTGGCTCTGGGACTTCAAGACGCACACACCCGCAGACAACTGCTCGTCTGTCGACTGCTCGCCATCGCTTGCTACGGCCTGGTGATCAGCGAGTCGATCGCCAGCACTCAGCTCTTCCTCTACGAACCGGATCTGATTCAGCGCATCGCTGCTCTTGTCGATCCCGTACAGAAGCTCGAAATGGCCATCCAGAGCAGCGCTTTCTACGCCCTCGACAGTCTCGGTCGCTACCGCAACCGCGTCAGCGTGGTCCTCAACTCGGTCAATGCTTCCGTCAACCACGGCATCATCCTCAGCGTGGTGCGCAACCTCATCGACGACCTCCGAACCGACGCGCCCGTTTCGACGGAGCACTACGTCGACTCGGTGCTCAGCTTTGTCGCCTTCATCGCCACCACTTCGTCCGCCAGCCACACCATCGTCGGCGCAGGTCTCGTGCCTCTTCTCGTCGAGCTCGTCAACATCGACAGCCCAGATAGATACATGGTGCAACGTACCGTCTCGCGGGCTCTTGGTCTCATCGACAGCCTCTCGTACGCGGTGCCTCAGGCCTTTGACCTCTTCTGCAATGCGCGTGGTCTCGACGTCCTTGTGGATCGTATCAAGGCCGAGGTTGACCGCGACATCCACGATGGCGCAGCTGATCGCATGGGCGACGGCGTTTATGGCGAGCCCGGCCCGGACAACCTGTACGGTCGCTTATCGTTCGGACGCGCCTCTCTGCTTCGCTCCATGTTCAAGACGATCACCCAGATGATGTCGTCTACCGGCACCGGCGATGGTCTGCGCAACCTCGTCAACACCTCGTTGCCCGACTCGCTCAAACGGATCATCCTCAACCGCAACATCTTTGGCCCACAGATCCTGGCGCTCGTCATTCTCATCACATCCACCATCATCCACAATGAACCCACTTCGCTGACCATCTTGCAGGAGGCCAAGATCCCCGAAGTCTTGTTCGACGCCATTGAAGCCGACATCGAGGCGCACTGGGAGGTTATCTATGCCATCCCTAACGCGATCGGGGCCATCTGCCTCAACCAGGCTGGTTTGGATCTCTTCAATTCCCGTCGATTGATTCCCAAGCTCTTTTCGCTCTTCACCTCGGAGCGCCACAGCAAAGTGTTCCAGGATCGCGACAACGCCAATGCATTCGGTGCCGCCATCGACGAACTCATGCGCCATCAGCCCAGTACCAAGCCGCTCGTCATGGACTCGATCATGCGCTCGCTCGACGACATCGGCCAGATGGCGAGCACCTTCGAGCTGCCGCAGGAACCCAAGGCGCGCGCCGCTTACGGTCTGCTCGCGGTCGGCGATGCTGCTGCCGATGGAGCCGCTGCCGCCGCCGCTGCCGGCTCGACAGGTGGTCGTGCAGTGGCGCTCGCAGACGTCGTTACGGATGAGCCCGATCCGATCCGCGAGGTTGACCTCACCAAGATCGAGTCGAACCCCGTCATCACCGCGATCGACGTCGTCTCACGCTTCCTCGAGGGACTCTTTCAGACTAGCTCGCACTGCAAGGACTTCATCAAGATGGACGGCCTCGACAAACTGCTCAGCTTCTACTCGTCGCCCTGCCTGCCTTACGACTTTTCCGCGTCGCTGCTCGCCGATTCGCTCGTGACGCTCATCCGCTTAATGGCCGAGATCAGCCCAAGCACCGTCCTGATCGCCATGCTCCGAGACATCAAGGCTGCGTCCGAAGAGGCGGCGGCGCTCTTCGACCTGCCCGAAAAGTCGTTCGCTTCTCTGACCTACGACAACACGGTCTCGCGTCTTTTGTGGATGGCGACGCCCCGCGACGAGGCGGATGCGGAGCGTGCAACCCTCGCCTTCCGCAAGCTCGTCGGCCTCTGCTCACGCGCCCAGCTCTTCACCGACGTCTGCACCATCACCTACGTCGGCCATAAGCTTCCGTCGGTCTTCCTGCAGACGCTCGTGTCCAGTTCCACGTCCGGCACGATCAGCTTGGCCGAGCTCGGCGCAATCCACCGTGCCTGCGCGTGGGAAAATATGTTGCTCAAGACGTCGTTGCCTCCTCCACCTCCTCCGCCTACAACGGACAAGGCTGCGGTGGGAGCCAAGCCTGAACACGACTCGCAGGCCTTAACACAGTCGCAATCCTCGTCAACGCTTGCCGAGTCATCTGTACAATCTTCTTCCGGCTCGAACGACGCCACGGGTCGATCGACCCAGGTAACACCGCAGCCTCAGCGTACTCAACAGCATGGCGTACCCAACGATCTCTTGCAGGATCTCGCGGGAACTGTCGAGCAGCGAGCACAGCCATCCGGCTCCTCTCAGCGCCAGGAGGATCAACCCAGCCAGAAAAATGCGGCTGCGCTGCGCTACGTGGCATCGCAGATCCCGTCTTCGTTGACAGCGCTCTTTGTGGAAACGGTTCGCTATCTGGCTCCGCGTCGTAGCGTCGACGCAGTACACAAGTCGGCTGCCTACACGGCCTCGGTGGAGATCGCCAAGTTCCTCAAAGAACACCTCACATGGCGGGAGTCGAGCAACAGCATCAACAGCTTTGCCTTTGCCACGCTCATGATCTGCCAAACCAGTTGCCTTCTGTTCGATGAACGTCCGAGCCCTTCGTCTGTCCAGCCTGCCATCCTGCGAGCCTTGGACAAGCACGGCGGTCTCGACTCGCTTTTCGACCTCTTCCGTCGCTATGTGGCCGAAATCGACCGCTTCTACAATAGCCATGGCAGCAGCATCACGTTGTCCGGCACCGACATGGACGAAGCCGGTATCAAGCTTGGTCACACCTGCGGCGGCTTGAAGGTGGCGCTCGGCGTGTTGCTGAAGCTAACGCAGTGCAAAGGGCTCATCGAATCGACCCAGACAACGCAGCTCGTTCGTGAAGGTGGCAAAGACGTGTTCGAGCCACACGCTTACTTGGCCAAGGTTCGCCTCGAGGTGCTGAACCTTCTGCTTGCCGCCTGGGACAAGCCTTGGCTGCCTACGCTGCCTGCATCGGTCAACCGCCTGATGCTGCAGAATCTCTTGACCATCCTCAGGGCGCAGAACGAGGCCGCGCCGACGCCTAAGAAGACGTCCACTGCGTCCGGTCCATCAGGCGCGGCTGGGTCCTTGGACTCGACGATTCCGACGCTGCTCAACATGCGCAATTCTTTTGCATTCGGCAGCGCACCTCAGGCAGTTCCGTCGCCCGTCCGCAGGCCACCTAACGAGGAGCGTGTTCGGACAATGGTTGACATGGGCTTCCCCGAAGGCGCAGCCCGCCACGCCCTCTCTCGCTGTCAGAACAATCTCAATGCGGCCACCGAGTATCTCTTGTCACACGATGACCTCGTCGTGCACTACCGGGATAACCCGAGCCAGTCGTGGAACGGCGACGGTGCCGCGGGCGCCACGGCTGCGCAAAGCGGAGATCGCGCGCCTGCCGAGTCGACGACAGCAGCAGCAGCTCCTGCTGCTGCACCAGCCGCCGCTGACGATGCAGATGTTTGGGTGGACGAAGAGGCCCGCACTCAGTCACGAGACGACAACGGTCCCGCCAATGCGGATGTGCAGGATACACCGATGGCGGATGCTGCAGCTGACAACGATGGCTCTGCGGACACCGGCGACCACAAACCAGAGGTGGACGACACTATGGACACCGACAAAGTGACCAAGGTCAAGGCCGACTTGGACGAGCGTCGGACCGCGCTTCGAGCTTCGCTAGTCGAGCGTGGACTTGAGCTGGCTGACCACCATCCAGCGCTCGTGTTCGAGGTCAAGTCAGCCATCCTGTTGCAAGCGTCTGAGCGAACAGCGGCGATGGGCCACATAGAAAAGCTGGTCAAGATCATTGACTCGGAAGCTTCCGCCGCCTTTGGCGCCAAGGCTGACTTTGTTGCTTTGCGCATGCAGCTGCTCGCCCTTGTCCTGCACGACGAGCAGATCTTCAAGCAGCTCGACCGTGACATGGTTGGCTCGATCCTGACATCGCTCGAAGGCCTCATCCAGTCATTCAGCTCCCGGCCTTCGTCAACGGTCGAGTCGAACATTGCTACACCAGCGTCGCAACCCGAGACCACCCAATCTGCCGCTACCTCGGAGCAAAGCACTCCTGACTCGAAGCCTAAGTGGCTGGCATCGCTAATCCTGGCGCTTGTCGGCATTCTCGGCTTCTCTGAAGACATCGCCGAAGTCAAGCCGGACGATGCGTTGCTCGAAGATTCGGCTGACGGAAAGCTTTCGCTGCCAGGTGGATCCGGCGAGCCGAGTGCCAAGTCGACCGAGTCTGCAGCCGCCACAGACGGCACATCCTTGGGCGATGCTTCCGCTCCCACCTCTGACAAGCTCGTCTTGCCACGCGTCCGTGTCGGCTCGCTGCCCATCTCGGACGCGCTGTTCCGCTTCGTCTTGCAGATCTTCCGCGAAGCAACGACGCTCGAACGGAATGATCTGCTGGCCGCCTTCCGTTTGCTGACCGTCTTGACGCGCAATCACTCGATCGCAGCCCGCTTCGCTCGAGAGGGAGGCGTTCGCTTGATCTTTGAGCCCTTCCGAGTGCTCGAACCCAAGCAAGTGTCGGGTTGCCAGCCTTTCGTAGCGCTCGTGCTCCGCCACATTGTCGAAGATTCTCAGACGCTGGCCTTCGTCATGGCTCAAGAGATCCACAGCCTGGTGGCACAGTCGCGCAACAAGACGAGCGATACCTCGACCGTTGTGCGTCAGCTCGATTGCGCCGTGTTGCGTGACCCGGACATTTTCCTCGAATCGGCAGCTGCCAAGCTCGAAATGACCGAGTACTCGCCGACCAAGGGCAGCGGTCACGTCAAACTGGTTCAGGGTACAGCTGGATCTGAGACTGGCGCCAAAGAGTCTCCCTCTGATCTCTCTGGCAACGGGCAGGCGAGTCTCGCCAGTCTTCGTCTCGGCGACGATCCGATGGATTCGACCGGTGATGGCGCAGATGCGAAAGCTGCAGACGAGCCTGGCTTCTTCAAGTCGGCGGCGCAATCTTCTTCGTCCAACGCACCCTCCGAGGAGCTCGACAGCCTGATGGCTTTCATGCTGACCGAGCTGCTCAGAAGTGCCTCCAAGAAAGCACAGCCGGCCACGCACGCTCTGGCGAGTGGTGTTGCTGACAATGCAAACGCCTCCACGGCCAGCCAAGCTGGATCTCGACTCGGTTCAGCAAGCGCGAGCGCCGGATCATCAGGCGGCACAATGGCCCACGCCGGCGCATCCGCAAGCGAGGGAGGAGCGCCCGTCAAGAGTGAAGAGGAGAAGCAGGATGACACTGCCTTCTTCTACTCGTGCTTCCTCATGCAGTGTCTCACGGAGCTCTTGTCGTCATATTCCTCGTGCAAGACCTCGTTCGTCAATTTCAGCAAGAAGAGATTGTTTGGCGCAGCTGCGACGCATGCAGCCTCGCAGTCCACCCATGCCGTCGGAGCGTCTGCCGGTGTCAGTTTTGCGCCTGGAACACCTGGAGGCAAAGAAGCGACTCGTTCGCGTGCTGGCATCCTGAGCACCTTCTTGTGCGAGCTTGTCCCTGCGGGCTTCTTGAGCTCGTATGGCAGTGCCGAGCTGCGTAAGAAGATGACGCTTTCCAATTGGGCCATGTCGGTGCTCGTGGCGCTCACGGCGGACGTCAGCGTGCACATCGACATCAAGGAGGTGCCTGCGGATCTGATCACGGTGCGCAAGATTGTGCTCGATTCGATCGCTCGCTCCATTAAGGAAGCTGCTTCCTCGTCGGAGCCAATCGAGGTGCGCTATGGTCGCCTGTATGCTCTTAGCGATCTCTGCTACCGATTGCTCATTGCTCGCCCCAATAGCACGGGCGGTAAGCAGACCGAGGACCTCACGCTTCACATGGCAAAGACGATGCTCGAGAAAAATTTTGTCACCGTGCTCACCAGCGCGATCGCCGATGTCGACCTGAACTTGCCTACGGTTAAATCGCTGCTCGAGGCCATCCTGCGTCCGCTCGAGCATCTTACGAAAGTCTCGATCAAGATGGGCAAGGCGAAGGACAAGACGAGCGGTCGCACCGTCATCGACGAGTCTGAGGAGGATTCCGAGTTTTCGTCGGATTACGACATGGAGGAAGACTTTGACGACGAGGACGAGATTGAGGAGGAAATTGAGCGTCAAGAGACGCCCGACTTCTATCGCAACTCGTCTCTCGGTATGCATACGGGTGAGATGGAGACCGGCCTGGACGATGACGAGATGTCGGACGAGGACACGGACGACGACGAAGACGAAATGGAGATGGAAGACTTCGATTCCGAGACCGGCAGCGAGCTGTCCACGGATGAGGAGCTCGAGGGCCTCGACGGCGACGATCCGCACATCATGGAGCTCACCGACTCGGACACCGACATGGGCGACTCGAGCGATGAGGACTCCGATTTGGACGACGACGATCACGCACACTCGCACGGCCATGGAAGTCCCCGCGACGATGTCAGCGTCGGAGACGAGGAGGACGGATGGACGACGGAAGAGGAGGAGATGGAAGACGAAGATGACTTCGATGACGAGGACGACGAGGCGCTTGACTTTATCTTTGAAGGCGGGGAAGACGGCATGCCCGCGATCCCAGAAGAGATGGGCGACGAACACGATGTGATCGCGATCGACGACGATGGCGGCGATGGTCTCATGGACGATGAAGAGATCGAGATGCTCGAAGAAGACTCCATGGACGATCCTGACGACATGTCGCAGCTCGAGCTTGCCGAGGAGTACGCTACCCCGGTTGACGATCGCTTCGGCGCCAACTGGGGCTGGACAGCCGCTGCCGATTCACGACCGTCTGGCTCAGGCATATATGGCGATCGTCCCCGAACAGCTGGCGTCTTTCCGCCCAACTTCTTCCTGCCCAACGCCATCGCCAACATGGGCAGTGGCACGGGCGGTCATCGCCGACGCAACCTGCTCGATTTCGACTCGATGATGGCGCCTCGCCGTACGGCACCGCCTTCGGAAGAGATCTCTTCACACCCCTTGCTGGTGGACCAGTCCGACGCCGACGCCAACCGTCACGCCGGCCGAGGCGCTCGCAGTGGCTCCGGCGGAGGACAGCTGCCGTCCGGCTACGCGGATTGGGCACAGTCTGTCGAGGAGTTTGTGGGCGAGGGCGCGTTGCAATTCCTGGAGAATCTCCTGTCGCGCGGCGGTGCAGCCGGCGCCCCTCAAGGCATCCGCATCGAGCTGGGTGACGGCGGCCGTATGCGAATCGACGGCATCGACGTGAGCGGCCGTCTCGGTCGCGGTGGACCTCACCACCTTCACCACCATCACCACAGCCACACGCAACACGGCCAAGCTGTGCTCGGCGGTGATGCGCAGCGCGCAACGAGCAGCCGACAGGCAGCGCAAAACGACCCTGTCACCCTTGCGCAATCGTTCACGCCTATGCCGACTCTCACGCGATGGTCCGAAGAGGCGCTCATCCTCCTGCCCAGCTCTACCGTATCAAATGAGCGCACCTCCAAGATGCGCAACCACCTCATCAACGCACTGCTGCCTGGCTTCCGGAAGCATCGCCTCGAGACGCGTCGCCAGCTCGAACAGGATCGTAAGGCACTCGAACAGGCCAAGGAGACGCGAGAGCAGGCCGAAGCCGAGATCAAGCGTCTGCGCGAGAGCAGGGACCGCATGCAGAAGGAGTTCGAGGAGAGGCGCGATCAGTTGCTTCAGGACCAGGAGCGTGCTCAGCAGATGGTCGCCGACGGCGATGGCGCACGCGACGCTCAGGCAAGCACCTCTTCTGACCAAGCTGCTTTAAATGACGCGCAGCATGGCGAAGATTCCGGCGCTGCCGCGACAGCATCGGCTGACAACGCCACTCCTGTCGTGGGCGACGATGTTGAGATGGCGGACGCGGAGACTGCTCCGAGTGGTGCTGCCGCTGCCCATGCGGAAGCGTCAACCAGTGCTGCAGCTGGGACTGCAGCCCAAGCTCAGCCTCCGGCAATTCCCGAAATCGCACGAGCAACGATCTTCATCAATGGCGAAGAGATTGACATCACCGACACGGGCATCGATCCTACCTTCCTGGAGGCGCTACCCGACGATCTGCGCGAAGAGGTTCTCAATCAACACTTCCGCGAGCGCCGAGCTGCCGAAGCTACCAGCAACCTACCGCAGCCTACGTCCATCGCACCAGAGTTCCTCGATGCTCTGCCGCCTGAGTTGCGCGCCGAGGTAATTCAGCAAGAAGCTCTCGAGGTTTCGCGACGCCGCATTCGCGAGGAGATGGCATCGCGCGGCGATGCCGATCGACAGAGCCAAAGCGCTGGCGGTCAAACCGCGGGAGACCGTGCCGATCCCGCCACGGCGCGCGCCGGCGGAGAGGCCGCGGGTGATGGCTCCGCGACCCGCCTGGATGGGTCTCGCGGCTTCCCATTCCCTGATGGCGACATTGAAGAGATGCTTCGCGAAGTCGGAGATACAGCGTTTGGCGATCTCGCGCCGATCACCAGCTTGGGCGGCGAGCGTGCCGACAATGGTCAGCGTCAGCACCGTCGCTTCGAAGATGAAGAGGACAGCCAAGATATTTCGAGCGGAACGATTCGTGGCCTCCCTGGCTCTGCCGCCGATCGCTTGGGCGCCATGCCGATCCGAATGCTCAACGTGTCAGGGGGTCCAGGGCCTGCTGATTTGCACGTGCGTGGGCGTGCTCCCACGGCGGGAGGAGCCGGTTCGACGCGCGACGGCATCCAACTCCTCGACAAATCCGGTGTGGCCACGCTGGTGCGCCTGCTCTTCTTCCCGCAGATGAACGCCAAGCAGACGGCGCTGCACAAGGTGCTTGCCAACCTGTGCGAGAACCTCAAGACACGCTCGGAGCTTCTTAACCTGCTCCTCATGGTGTTGGCGGAAGGATCGGTGGATGCACACGCTGTAGACCGCTCTTTCGTATCGATGAGCAACCGTGCCAACCGCATACACTCGACCCCTTCGAGGCCGACGCCGAAGCGAGCCAACTCGGGTCCCGCTAGTGCAGTCAACGGACTCGGCTCGACGCCAGGCGGTCAAGGTCACGGAACGAGCGGCTCGACGGCGCCGTTATCCAAGACGGGCGACGAGGCGCCGTTCCTGATCGCGTCTCGTAGCATCGACACGCTGCTGCACCTGACGTCGGTCAACACGCAGGCGGCGTTGTGGTTCTTGCGGAACGACGCGCGGCCTTCCAAGCGAGCCAAGGGCAAGGAAAAGGAAAGGGAGACGGATGCGTCGGAACGCGGCACAGCCCCGATCAATGTGTTGCTGGGATTGCTGTCCAAGGAGACGATCTTGGGCAATAGCCAGTTGGTGGACTCGCTGCTGGCACTCATCAGCTCGGTGACCAAGCCGTTGTACAATGCGCCGAGCAAGGCCGACGGCGAACCCAAAGGTGCGCCTGCCGACGGTGTCGCCAGTGCACCTGGTCAAGCGGCCACAAGTGCCGAGATGACACGCAGCGATGGTGCCCCGGCTGCCAGCAACAACGAAGCGGCGACGGCAGCCGCTATCTCGGACGACCGTGGAGATGATGTTGCAGCAGCAGCAGCAGCAGCAGCAGCACCATCCAAGAGTGGATCGCAGCCAAAAGCGGAGCTGGAGGATCTGCCGACGATCCCTGCGGATCGTCTGTGCAATTTGGTGAAGCCGTTGACGACTGCGCTGTCGAGCAAGGGCTTCCAACACACGCTCTGGATCGCGGCCCACGTGAACCGGATTGATGGGGCGCGCGAGACGATCTGCAGCGCTCTGCAAGCGCAGGCGAATACAGCATCGCGATCGCTGGTGGGTGATCTGGACGCGCTGCTTTCGACTTTGCCAGAGGGAGCGGCAGACGAAGAGGAGGAGGAGGACGGAGAAAAGAAGGCGGGATCAGGTGCGCAAGCGGGTGGCGGAGGAGCCCTGACGCCGGGAGCGGCGGCGACGGCGGCGGCTGCTGCAGCGTCTGCTGGAGTGACGCAGTCAGGGATCGTGATCAGCGGACCGACGGTGACGGATCGATTGTCGGCGATGAGCGGAGCCCAACGGATCGAGTCGAGGGCGCTGGCGACGTTGGCGAGTCCAACGAACGCACAGGCGGTGCTGTTGCGAAGTCTGCGTGCGCTCAATTACATCATGACGGGCCGCTGAGGAGCGCGCCAACGCCCGTTGGCATTGGTACACCACGGCACATTGCTGGCAAAGCATTGGATGACGAAAAGTATCTACAACTAGCACGTACGCACATATATTCTTCTTACACTTTCAATTGACGTGATTCTGTTTTACGGCGTCGAGCTGTGTGGTATGAGGCCTGTGAAGGACGTAAGCACTGGAAGAATCGGCGCTCTGAAGGGGGAGCTCGAGAGGCAGCTGCGCACGGATTGAACGTCTATCTGGCCGTATGCATTTCATCGTGCAAACTCAGAAGGGCATGGGAGCCGAACAGGCGTGGACGGCATACAAGCGAGATGTGCATGCGAGCTAAAAAGGACGTCGAGTGTGCAGCAAACAAAGAGGTCCGAGCGAGATGGAGGCTGAAAAAGATATAGTTTTTCACACTAGATCACGTCAAGAAGGGAGAGCGTGGTGTTGGTGGTGGTGGTGGTGGTCGCGTGCCGTGCGGCGCTGTTTGTTTAGGACCCTTGTTGCTTGTTTGCTGCGAGATGTGGCTCGCATAGGGCTGCGCTAGTGTGTTAATGCATTGCTGGAAGAAGAATCGAGGCGCGTGGCTGACGGCGGCGAGGCGAGAAGAGGAAGGGGGACGCCGTTGAGGCCTCTAAGCATGGTGTGCTGCCTCACGGTCGCCTTGCTCTGATTGGTAAGAGGCGGCTCATTGGTTGCAACCAAAAGGAGAGAGACGCGGGTTGCAGCCGAAAGAGAGTTTCAAAAGGTGCGGACTGTGACCGGATTGGTTGGGACGAACAGGCGAAAAAAGAGGAAGCTAAATGCAGTTGCAGAGTGGCAGAGTCGGAGAGTTTCAGAGATCCTGTATGGTTCGACAATGGCTCTCGAAATGTACGGGCGCGACCCGACAGAATGGCCTGCTGTGTCACACTACTTTAGCCCTTAAGCCAGCTAGAACAAGCCACGCGTTTGGATGCCAAAAGAGGCGGACAGGCTTACAGACACGCTGTTCCGCATCGCACCATTGCCGCCTCTAGCCTCGCTAAACTCCGCGTGGCGATTGATGCTCTGTCAGTGTCCCTCGCTCTGCGTTGTGGCGTTCTGGCGAGTTGAATGTTTTTTGGTCTTTTTCTCGACGTCCGACCCAACTCGGCGCTGTGCTGCCACGCGCGCCTCTAGTTGAGGCGGCAGCAGTAGCAGCAGCAGCAGCAGCAAAAGCAGCTCGGTCGATCCGCATCAGTCGGTGAGTCGAGCCGCTGTGCCGTAGCCGTCTCTGTGTGATCTTGTGGCTGCGAATGGCGTTTTAGCTTTTTAGCAGGGTGTGACTGCGAGAAACCTTGAGCGCTGCTGAGCTCTTTGTCTGATTTGACTTAGTCTGTTGTATGCAGCCTGCAGCTGTTCGCTTCTGCTGTTTGCGCATCGACCATTGACCCGTCTGCGCCAAACCCTGTTCTCGACTCTCGGACTCTCTTTCTCCCCTTCGCTCTCTTGCTCCTCTGTTTCATACATCGTCGACCCTCTCTCGCCATCCTTTTCCCGCTGGTACACATCGTCTACGGTCCGTCTCTTCGTCTTATCCGTGCATCGCCGCTCTGCTGCTGGAGGTACAGTGCGACCGCTTGCCGCCGTGCGCCGTTGCTTCTCTAGCCTCTATCATAAACTTACGCACTTGGAGCGATCGATTGTGATTCGCGTCACACAACCGTAGCCTCGCCTGACAACACCATTTCCTAGCCCAGTCGCCAGCGTTCCTGCATCTTTGCGTCCACCATCAGTTGATCGCTTCTTCGTTCCACCTCGTTCATCTCGAAATGAACCTGCGTTGACCTTCTTCCGCTCATCCAATTCCTTCTTGGCGGCAACTTCATCAGGAACCATTCAGCACCCACCATCCTTATACTCTGAAGCCAGTCCATCCCCTTGCGCTCCCCAAATTCCGCTTCCAGCGTAGCGTCGTTCCGGCTACTTTCGCGGCCGCATTGCGCTGCCCAACAACAGAACCTTGACTCCAGAGTTTGCCTCAGGTGCTCCACATCTACATTACTGAGGCGGCGCATATATCCACCAAGCCCGCCATTGCTATCGTCCTAACACGACCGTGCCTTCCTCCTTTCATCACCACACCGCCTCTGTTTTCCAGCAGCCTGCAGGCACAACGCGTTCTGTTATGTCCGACCCTTCCTTCTCATCCAATTCTCGGCCGGATTTGGACATCTCTCCGCTCTCCTCCTTGTCCACCCACGCTTCGGCCTTGCCGCCCTCTCAGCTTCATCCTTCGACCTCCTCCCACGCCGCAATCGTCGCAGAGGACAGTCGAGCAAGCAGTCGCAACGCCAACCGCAGGAGCTCGCTCTACTCGGATCAGTCTTTCTACTCGGCAAACGACTATCGCAGGCGCAACAAGCAGCCACGCGTAGCGCTCCATCCCGAAAACCAACCGGCATCGTTCAGCTTTGTTTGTCTCGGCACCGGCGGTGGACCATTGGAAGGCGACTGCTCGTGCTACCTGCTCAAGCCCGCCGATCAGGACTGGCAGGATGGCTCGATTGTCGTCGAAGGCGGCTCGTGGTTAGGCGCGCTCACCGATGTGCTCGATCAGCATGGGCCTGAATCGGCCTTCTACGACTTCGATTTCCCGGCGACCACGCCTTCCGCCTACCTGCGTGCTGGTCTTATGGCGTCTTTCTCACGCGCGTTTTTGATATCTCACGCACATCTCGATCACATTCTCGGTCTCGTTCTCGGCTCTGCCTCTCTGCCGGGCAAGAGGACGGTGTTTGGGCTCAAACCCACGCTCGAAAACATCCTCGACATGTTCAACGGCAAGATTTGGCCCAAGCTCGCTTCCTGGAACGAGGACGAACCGCACACCATGTATCACATGCGAAGCTTGGACAACCAACGTCCCTTCTCGGTCAGCGAGACGCTCAGCGTGCTTCCCTTTGCTCTTTCGCACGGACTCAATCCGTCGGAACCGCCTGCACCACCTACGCCCACCTACACGCCCGCGCAGCTCAACTCGAACTACTTTAGCAAGAGGATGTCCTTGCCCATTGGAACGCAGATGGCGTCGTTCCAGCTGTCGAGAGGCGCTGGATTGGAGGAGAGGTCGAGGGGGTTGGAGAGTATCGAGCAGGGGAGCGAGGCGGATGTGGCGGCGTTCAGGAGGCCTTCGTTCAACGCCAGTCCCTTCTTCGCGACCAACAGGGCTGGTTCGAATGGGTCCTTGACCCCCGTGGTGAACAAGGTGGGGGAGCCGGTGAGCCCGAGGGCGAGTCCGGCGACGGGAGGGGGAGGGGGGATGGCGAGCACGAGTTCGAGTTCGAGTGAGTTGTCGTCGACGGCGATGGGGGTTTCGCTGAGTTCGGGAGGCGGACAGGGGGGACAGGGTGTCGCGAGGGGCACGCCGGAGAGGAATAAGAGTAGGAGGCCCAGGACAGCGCAGGGTCCGGAGAGGAGGGTGTCGCCTCCGACCGCGTGGAATCCACCTCCTCAAGCAGCAGCCGCCGCGGCAGCAGCAGCAGCAGGCGGTGCAGGCACTAGACAGCCGCCTCGACGGGTATCCATCGATCGCACGCCTCCATCGCTCGACTCGACCGCATTCTTCATCACGCACAAACACCACGACAAGGACGTCCTATTCTTTGGCGACGTTGAACCCGATTGCGTCTCCAAGAGTCCGCGCAACCGCCAAGTTTGGAGTCATGCCGCCGAACGGTTCGCCCAGGGAAAGTTGAGTGCGATTTTCCTCGAGTGCAGTTTCCCGCGCAACCACCCGACCGAGTTTCTGTACGGCCATTTGTCGGTGGAGCATCTGTTTGATGAGTTGAGGGTGTTGGCCATGATGGTCAAGAGGTACAGGACTCGGCGGGGTAGTTTTACGGGAGGAAAGGCGAATGGTGGAGGAGGAGCGGGGTTGCCGCATTTGGCACCGAGTCCGTTGGGTACGGCTGGTGTTGGGGGTGGGGGTAGCGTGTATGATGCGGATGAAGAATTGAAGGGTCAGCTGGAGGGGTTGGGTGTGATAGTGATACATGTCAAGCCGGCGTTGTTCCCGACGTTTGTGACCGACGAAGTTGGAAGCGACGCTGGGTCGACCAGGGGTGAAGTGCATGGTGCGGGGGAGGAGGAGGAGGTTCAGCCGAGGTTGGACGAGAGGACTGCCCCGCAGAAGATCCTGGATGAGTTGAATCAGGAAGAGCTCGAGGCCAGATTGGGTGTCCGCTTTGTTATGGCCGAGAAGGGCATGCGGATTGAATGTTGAAAGGGTGACTTTGTAGTGGTGGGATTGTGAATGGGAAAAAAAAAAGTGATGCTGTTTTGATACGCGGTGTGAGCTGTGTGAACATTGAAAGGTGAGGAGGAGAGAGGCAGATGGAGGAGGAAGTGTGGCGGAGCCGCTAGCATGTGTACGACGAAAGGAGTAGGATGTCTGTGGAATCTCAAGAGCGGATCTTCCGAGTTGCTCAGGGAGGCATCCTGCACAATCGAACACAGCGGAAAGGGGACAGAAACCCAAGCGAGACAAGCGAGAGAGAGATATGCATTATACTCCAAAAAACCAAAAGTGAATGAGAGAAACGTGTACCTGCACATTATGAAAAAGACAGCCGCATGGACAGATCCTCTTGCGAGGCGTTCAATAGTGCGGGGTGCTGCCAAAGCCACCCTCCGGAGGCGGGAGGAGGCTGTACCCTGCAGCATCGTAGTTTTCGCCCGCGATCCTGTTTCCCCACCAGTTGAGCTGCAGCGTACCGTTCTTCGGCAGGATGAGTGCAAAGAAGATGACGATGGTGCTGATGATGGTGCCGCTGTCGAGAGCTGCTGCGAGGACGAAGTTGTACTTGCTCCACCAGCGGAAGTTGTACTTCCTAACGAGGTATTGGAATACGAAACCCACGGCGAACCAGCTCGAGTAGTTGATGCCAGAGGCAGGGGGGATGAACGAGACACCGGCAAAGATGACCGGCCAGCTGACGTAGCGGATCCAACTCCTGGGGTAGCGTCGTGCCAGCATCCAGAAGGGGACGGGGATGAGGGCGCCGAACAGCATGGCCCAGTACATGGCGCGGTACATGGAATCGCGTCCGAACATTCGCGCTGGTCCGATGGCACCCCAGATGAGCGAAGCCGTGTAGAAGACTCGAATGTGCGGACACGTGAACGAGTTGGGCTGTTCGGGCGAACAGATGCCTTCGATGTTGCTAAACATCCAGGATTTCACGCCGAGCTGAACGAAGCACGCCACGATCACGCCAGAGAGTTGCGCCAAGAAGGTGAGTCGCGGTGGGATCTTCATGTAGTGGCCCAGCTTGAGGTCCTGGACGAACTGGAGGCCACCAAAGAGTCCCTGGAGTGCAAAGGCTTTGAAGATCATGTTGGGGAGGGGTTTGCCGGGAAGCATGTATCCGACCAGCAGTTCTCCGATCAGGTTGGTACCAATCGCTTGACCGGTCATGGCGTACACGAACCCGGCAGGGAGAATGTAGATGGTCGGAATGAGAATCGACAGGATCAATCCCCAGATGGGAAGACCGGTGTCGTACACCTCCACCATCACGACGCCAAACACGAGCGCGATCAGGAACACCGCGGCATACCACCAGTCGGGCGTCTCCGGGTAGTGACGCATAAACTTGGCGTGCACGTCGTCCTCTTCGGTTCTGATCCTCATGAATCCCTTCTTCAACGCTTTGCCGTGATACAAGACGGTATGCGTCAAGACCGAAGTCAACATGGCAAATCCAGTCGTGTAGACCAGCGACAGGGTGGTCGAAAGGTACAGCGGAGAGTAGCTCTCGTAGGCAGCTTGATCCAGGTCACCGCCGTTGACAATGACGCGCGAAATGTCGTACGGCTGACCAAACCTGTCCCACGAGGCACCGCTGTTGAACGGCAGATAGGACTGGTACCAGGCGTTCTTGAACCACATGATGGGTGCTGCGATCCAGACGAAAATGACGAAACCGAAAAAGATGTTGCATTCGGCCCACCAGGGTGTGACGAGGGGAGAGCCAATGTAGGCGATCTGCGTCCAGTCAATGGTGAGCGTCGACAATCCGAGGCCAGTGATGCTGCCAAAGACGACATTGACAGGCATGTTCCTGGGCCAGATCCAGCAGACCCAGTTGAACACGGAGAGCGAGGTGAAGAGATATCCGGGAACCCAGTAGAGTAAGAAGGCGCCGGTGCCGAAAACAATGAAGAAACGGAATCTGGTCATGGTACCGTCCGCGCCGTCTTCTTCGGCATGAAGCGTGTTGAGGATGGTCGCAGAGACCAAGTTTTGAGGCCAGATCATGCTGGCTGGCCAAACCAGGAAACGTCTGCACATTCCGGCAAGGCCGAATCCAATGATCTGAGAGCTGAGGACGAAAAGAATGTCGAAGCCGATCGCCCTTGGCTCGCCATAGTATCGATCGGAATCTTGCACGATGATGACGTTGATACCGTAAGCGGTGATGATGGAAATGCTGGCCATGATGGAAGTGAGTGCATGCTCCTTGATGTTGTAAATGCCGGGATTGAGGGAGAACTCTGCTCCACCCAACCATCGCGGCAAAGTCCATACGCGGATTGGCATGATGGCGGCGAGCAGCTTTCCGATAGGGTAGGCAACGAGGAGAACGATAGTGCTGGAAAAGGTAGGGGCCGGGTATCGGAGCGAGAAGAACATGTTGGCGCCCGTAGCGAGGATGGTGAGGAAGAAGGAGATGAACCACATTCGAAGCGTGTTGACGGGCATCTCGGTGTCGTCAATGTTGGAGACGGAGGCGCGCACTTCGGGATAGGGTGAGTCCTCTTCCATCTCCATCTCGAGCTCGACCATGCGTACACCCCTGGAGCCAACCTCGGCGTCCTCCATGGCAGGGTGGACGAGTCCATGGCCTTGACCCATGTCGTTGAAGTTGACCATGTGGAATTCGTCCTTGTAAGCGTCGTCGTAGGCATATTCGGCCGAGTCGAGCGGATACTTGATGTCGTCGCTGTCGGGGCTGCGACGGAGCTCAGGAACAGAGGAAGAGTAGTGGTCGATTTGAGCGCTCTGACGTTTTCCCTGGGCTGGAATGCGCTGGTCAAGAGAGATGCCGCCACTGGCGGTGGTGCCAATGTCGCGTGCGCCATGTGGCAGCGAAGCGCGTATCTCGGAGTTGCCACTGCGACTGGCGGGTAACGAGTCGACCTCGGGGAGGGCGTCCATGGAAGGGAAAGCAGCGTAGGATCGAGCGTGATTGAGCGGCTGTCCGGAAGGATCGCGGGTAAAGGTGCTGGTGGAATCGTAGGAGCGGTTGTCGGTAGAAGCGCGAGCTTTGGCGGATTGCAGCAAGTCTACAGGCAAACCGGCGGATGGCTGGGCACCTGCATCGTTGATGGTGGCCTGGGACGCCGGCAAAGATGTGGCGACCGCTTGGTGTTGACCCAGCTGAGTGTGCGAGGGCACTTCTGGTTGTGCTGAAGCCAGATTTTGAGCCGAAACATCGACGAGACGACCTTGTGAATCGTAGACAGCGCCAGTAGCTTCGTCGTAGTAGTAGGTCTCGTTCTCGTCGGCGTCGGTTGCGGGACCAGTGGCACCAGCATTTCGACTTTGTTGCTGATTCTGGTTATCTATGGAAGGGTCGAGTGGGTTTTGCTGAAGCTCGGGAGCTGGGCCGAGATCGGGAGGAACGAAGGCAAAGACGTCGCCGTCATCATCGGATTCGTACTCTTCTTCGTCCCATTGCTCTTCCTCTTCAATGTAGGTTTGTTGAGCAAAGGCACCCTGGCCTTGTGTGGGAGGCCTTTGGTTCGCAGTACCTCCGCGTGTACCGGGACGACCGGTGGTGGGCCTGCCGGTGGTGGGTCGACCTGTTGTGGGCCTCCCAGTGGTGGGTCTTCCTGACGAGTTCATTCTGAAGTGAAGTTGAGCGGGCTGAGACCAACGCGCGGATATTGATGTGATGCCAGGGTCAGGATGATGGGAGACGAAGCGATGCTGGTTCTAGTCGAGAGTCGCGTCGATAGGTGGGCGATCGGATGCAGTCGCGTTGTGAATGCGGAGATGGAAGTGGAATGTAGCCACAGCTTATCGAGAATGGTCGCGGGGCGGGATGATGGAGCCGCAAAATGGGACGCTGCACCCTCCGGTGGGAAGCGATGAAGAGGAAGAACGCTGAATCGTGCGCTGGAATGCGGTGGCAAGTCCGAGAGACAGTGCGTTGGAAAGAGGCGAAGGCAGACGACTGAGGTCGGCAGTTGCCACTGTGAGCACGCAGCGAACCGAAGGCAGCTGCGACCAAGATAGCGGACGAGGTGGTACAGGTGATCGAGTGGTGGAGAGAATCAAGGTTGAGTCGATCCAAGGAGAGGAGACGAGATGAGATGGCGTGGAAATGAGTGTCGAGCAAACTCGAGTGACAGGCTGCTGCTGGCTTGACAGCGACAAACCAGTCGACTGGGCTGAGACTGTCTGCTCAACTGCTCAATATTGCGAATCCTCTCTCTCTTTTTCTCTGCGCGTAGACTTTCTTTTTGCCCCAGAATCAGCGGCGAAATTCACCGCGGCTTGGCGAGTTGAGCGAGGCGTTGGCGCTTGTGCCTGACCGACTGCTGGTGCTCAGGCAGGCACGACTCATCCGAGCAGCCAGCGCCAAAGCGAGCGAGATCGAGCAACGGACCTACAGAGGGGCGGTAGCGCCGGTAGAGGCAGAGCAATAGCGCAGTGCCACCCTGCGGTGCATGTGCCCAGTCAAGGAAACCACGTTCGGCAAGGCGATATCTTATACTCCATGCAGAAAGTGAGCTTTTCTTAGCAGCAGGACATGAGAGACTGCGAAAGTGTCGCTTGGAGGCACCGAGCAGAAAGACAAGAAGGGGAGAGCCATTTCATATTTTTAGAGTTGAGACTACCAAGAGCTGAATCTTGCACACGCACGCACGCACGCACGCTGCAACATCGCACGCTGCGCATGCACACTCGCAGCTGCCACAAAGCGTAACAAGGTTGAAATGTCAATTCGAGAGAGCCACAAGTAGAAATCCAAAGCCAGCTTCGGCTAGACAATAGGCGCAAAAATGGCGTGGCAGATCTCTGCGGCTCCCGTCAAGCTCTTCCCCGTTTGCTCTCAGGACCCGACAGCGACTGTGACAGGAGCAATGCCGCTCGACCGTTTTTTTACCAGAAAAAAAGGATTCAACCTTGACGTTATCGGAGGCAGGCTGCACTGCTGGGTTGCAAAAGCAGTGGCAGAATTTCATGCTATATTTCCCTGAACGCCTGACCAGGACTCCTCCTTGCATGGCCTCTCTGACTGCCTTCCAGCTCCGCAACCAAAAGGCCGAAGCGGCGAAGAGAGAAAAAAAAATAGAGGAAACAGGGGCCAACCGTGTGTCACATACAGGCATTCGGGCTGTCCGACGGACCGGAACCACTGGTTCCCAGATCCTGACAGGTCGAAAAGATCGACTCTGCTACTACTGCCGCAAGTCCGACCGCTTCCTGTGCCTGGAGTGACACGCCCCTTGCACTCACATCAAATCCGAATTCACTTGTTTCGATCGTCGGCAAAGCGCCTTCTTTCGTTGTACGGCTTCTTACCTTCTCAGCTCGCCTCATACTGACAGCTCCTTTTAATAGACAGGATGCATAGCAATGTGACAAAATACAATAGAGGACACCATCCGAGTCGTGCGCTTGCACCTTGCATTACACCTGCACAAAGTCGTCGTGATCATCGCCGCTCTCTGCGCCAGCATCTCCGCTCTTGAGCTCGGACCAGTCGCCCGAGGCCTTGGACAGATACCGCCTCGACATCATCTCCTCATCCTTGTCACCGCTAGTGCTCTGCGACGACTCTTGATCATCACCCTCGTCCTCTGCCGTCGCTTCGACTTGAGGTGCGGCTGTACCGTTCGACAGACGCGATCGTTTGGCCGCAGCCCCGCTCAGCACAGGCATGCGTCCCAGCTGCTCCCCCTGCTGTTTCGACAGATCCTGCGATCGTCGACCTGCTACGAACGCCAAGAACGGATCGGCGGCTTTGCTCTGCGTTGACGACGTTCCTGGTCGACTCGGGCTGTCGGCTGACCTGTCACCATCGCCCCCGGAAGCTGCGGCCTCGACTCCTCGTTGCGGCGAAGACAGCGTGATTCCGTGCTCCGACTCGGTCTCTTCCATGCTGTTATCGCCTTGCTCAGAATCGCGCTCCCGCTGTCCTTCCGCTGAGCTTGGCGTTTCGCTCGCCTCCTCATCGGGCTCGCCTTCGTTCTCGATCAGCTCACCCGAGCCGCTCGAGTCGCGGTCCACGTTGAGCAGATGATGCGGTTCGTCTCCAAGCCTTTCCCCGTCTTCAAAGTCATCGTCCTCGTCGTTGTTGCTGTATTCGAACAGAGCTCCCTTGTTGGCTTCTTCCAGCCAATCCGAATCGAGATCGAGCTCCGTCGTGCGCTTCTTGGCGCCGAAGATGTTCGCCCGTGAGCGTTCCAGATACTGTGCCGACTGTGCTTGCGTCGTCCCTGCTTCCGACGCCTCGTCGGATACTTCTGCAGCCGAAGTGTGCTCGCTTTCTTCGCCTTGCCCTTTCTCAATCGAGTCGGTCCCGACAGTTTGGCTCTCCTCGTCATCCATCTGGAACACATCGCCTTCTTCACCGTCGGCGTCCACAAATTGCGCATCTACGAACTGGTCTGGGAAGCCTCCTTCGCCCTCAGGGCGATGCGGGCCGCCATCGGCAGGTCCCAGTACCAATTTGCGAGGCTGCGCGTCAGCCTCTCTTGGAAGCTTCGAGTGCTTGCCAAGCTCTTCTTCCGACAGAATGTCCGAAACGGCTTGACGAACCTCGTCCGACTCGTCGTGGGCTAGCTTGGCGATCAGCTTGTTGAGCTCCTCCGATCTCGACTGTGGCAGGGCATACAGCTCGTCCTTGCGGCACATTTGGCCCAGCGTACGTGACAGCGCGATGCGAACGTCCACCACCTTGTCTTCTCCCATCTGGTTCAGCCGACCGAGCAACAGCAGCTCGCATGACGATCGCTGGATGCCCGCGTCCACCAGCGCTGCCACGCAGAGCAGACATGCCACCCGCAGACGATAGCCCGTGCTGATACCCAGGTCACTCACCATGCCCAGGAAGCCGTCGGCGATCACCTGGTCGTGCTCGGCGAACGCCTTGTAAAGGTTTGGCACGCAGTGGATACCCGCGTCCCGCACCGCACTGATCGGGTCGGCGAGCGCCAGCTGCATCAAAGATACAAGGTGACCCTCCTCATCCTCGAGCAGGAACTGCTTGGCCATGCTAGGGATGTGCTGTGCTAGCCGTTCACGCAGACGCCAATCTCGCAGCGCGCCTGTCGACCAGAGAGACAGCAACTGCGAAAGCGTCCTCTCTGCATCCACCTGCGGCAAACACGAGAGAAAGACGTCCATGTTGTCAAACATGGCGCTTCTCACATCGACATCGTCGTCCGAGACAAAGCGCGTCGCTGCCGGCAGCAGATCGTCGCGTGTGGCTTCTTGGCCGATCATTTTGGCGATCTCGTGCAGCGAAGCCGCCAGACTCTTGCGAACCTTGGGCTTGTCGCTGCTCGTCAGCTCGGCATGCGCTTGCTTGAGCCTGCTCCACTGATCCCCGCCCAGCGTCAGTACCACAGCAGGTAGGTTGTAGGCGACGACGAGCGGACGCTCGGGATCGAAGTTGTTTACGCGGAAATTGCTATCCCACGCTCCCGCGTCCATCATGGAGCTCTCGTTTCCGCCGTAGCCGAAACTCGCCAGGAGCGAGTCCTGCTCGTGGTCTGTACGGAGTGACGAGGACATGCCCAGATCCGGGCTCGCATCCATCATCATGGCGCTCTCCTCTTCGAACAGCGCTTCGGTGCCTTCGGGGTCGCTCGTCTTGTCAAACGTGAGCGAGGCGTCGCCCTGTTGCGGAGGCCCGTCGAAAGGCTCGCCGAGGAAGAAACGCACCAGCTCCTCCGGCACTCTACTCTCGATCTCGTGGAACATGTAGATCACTTCGCCGATGATCTCGAGCGCCGCCATCCTCAACTGACGCGAGACGTCGTTGACCAACGCTCGCATGAACAAAAGAGTCTGCTCGCGGCGCATGTTGGCCTCGAGCTTGCCGAGCGTAGCAGGGATCGAGAAGCAGGCGGCCTGGCGAACGTGCCAGTTACGGTCGTGGATAGCCTTGTTCAATGCCGGAAGCACCGTCTGTTGCACTGTCTCGGCGGTCATGTTGCGCGACAAGGGTCCGAGCGAGCTGGCAACCTCCTTTCGAACGTAGAACGCACCATCTTCGATGAGCTTGAGAACCTCGGGAGCATACCTTTCCAGCAGCGCGTCTTGTGGGATGAGCTCGTCGGCTGCCAGCGCTGCCAGCAAACTGACGGACGCCATACGCCCGACGGCCGATTCTTCGTCCTCGTCAATCTGCACGTCGCTCGCCGTGCCGTCGCTCTGCTGGCCAAACATGTTACCACCTTGGCCCCAAGCGTCAGTGTCTAACGGACCATCCTCTTCGTCCATAGCATCGTGCGAGGCCGTCTGCGTTTCAGAAGATGAGTCAGGCTCGTGACTAGCCTTGACACTGTACGAGCCGTTCTCGGCCTGGTCTTCCTCCATGGCCTCATCTGCACTGTCGGAGCTGTGCGGATCGTTGTCGATGGACGTTGATGATGTTTGTTCATCCTGCTGCTGTTCACCGTCTTCATGTTGGTGCTCGCTATTGCGACCGTGATGGTGGATCTGGGCGAGGGCAAGGGCGACGTTGACGAGCAGCTCGTTCTTGACAGCTGCTCTGGCCTGGTCGTCAAACCGATAGTCTTCGTGCGGCACCGGCTGTCCGTCTCGGCCAGATGCATGGGTAATGTAGCTCTCCAGATCTTGCTCTTGCTGTCGTGCTTGAACTTCTTGCTGATCCTTCTCGGCAAGCTCCTCTCTGGACAGCTCGATGTCACGACGATCGAGGCGGTAGAAGAGGTGCACCAGCGACTGCTGTGTGGCTCCGGCAATGACGGTATTCTGGTTGAGGAGCAGAGCGCAGAGCAGCGTTGTGAAGGCGGTGAGGCTGATCTTGGGGCGTGACGCTCTTTCTGGCTCGTCATCGTCCGCATTGTGCATCTCGCTGGCTTCGTCAGCGAGCTCGGCGATTGGGCAGTTGCGGAAGAAGTACCACATGACTCGGCCCACTTCTGGCGCGAAAGCAGCGCAGACGTCTGGCTCGTCGGTCGCTAGACCATTGAGGAGAGGGATGATGTACTCGACGGCATCGTTGAGCTCCACCTCTCGGATCCAGTCAGGGAGCGACTGCGACACGAGGACTCTGTGGTAGGCCATGTCGCTTTTCGCAAATAGGAAGATGCGTTCGAGCGTGTTGAGCCCTTCATCGGCATTTTCGATACCAACGCCGTAGCCGTGTTCATCTTCGTCATCGTCATCGTCGTCCTGATCATGGTCGACACCGGCCTCGCCTTCCTCCATGGTGGCGTCAAGCGGGTGCGCCATGCCAGCGTCGAGACCGAGCGCGGAGGGCATGACGGAGTCCGAGATCTGAGCGTCACCTGTGATGCCGAGCTGCTGCTGCGTGTCTTGCTGACCGGGCTCGTCACGGAAAAAGTTAAGCATGGCGCTGCTCGACGACCCCTTCTGTGCGGCGAGAGCACGGGCGGAATTTTCGGCTTGGGCGAGCGGATCGAGTGGGCTGCGTGGATGATCGAGGATGGCGATGGGCGGTGGGACCACGCCGGATCTGGTGAGACTCGGCCGCTTGGGTAGCGAGGGGCGGTCTGGTGCGGAAAGGGCACCACTGCTGCTGCTACTCGGCGACGATGGCTTGGCGGCAACATCGTGCGATTCGATGGACTGCTCGTCCGCATCGAGCTCTCGTCCGCGCTCTTGACGAGGCGATCGCTGCTCGTCGTCCTCGTCGATATCGTCGGCGTCATCGGCGATGTCCTCGTCGTCGTACTCTGAGCCATCCTGATCTTCATCGTTGGTACCCACGCTCTCCCTTTCGGAATTGGAGCCGTCCTCCTCGGAGCCGACATCGTCGGGGTCATCACTCAGCTCGTAGCCTGAACGCGGTGGCATTGCGATGAAGCTACGCGTCTTGGGCGGACTTTCGCTTAGGCCCATATTGCCAGTGCTGGAGGCAGATGTGGCCGGAGCTGAAAGCTCAAGAAAGGGGGAGCGAGGCGAAGTAGGCGATATTTTGGGCGAGGGCGTGCGGGTCGGAAGCGGTAACGATTGAGAGATGGGCACAGAGCCGCCGAGACGTTGCTTGCTTGGATCTGCGGCAATAGCTGCCGAAGGCGACTCGGCACGCTCGGGAAGCCACGAGGAGCCGGTGCTGCTATTACGATGCGATACGAGCGCGTTGGCGGCATCGACGTGTGGCGTCGCCTCTGTAGCTGGCGAAAGGACTTTGCTGGCCGGATTTTGAGCGGCAGAGGTAAACGCAGCGGTGGGCGCTTTGACACTGTCGGCAGCTGAGGCCGGAGTGAAGCCGATTTTGACGACAGGTTCTGACCTTGCTGTCTCGAGGCTTCTGCCTGGGCTCTTGGTCGGGTCGTGGCTCTCGCGCAAGCTGCTCGGACTCGCGCGCAATATCGGAGAGGACGAGGAGCCACGCAGCTCGTGCGGCCGTCGTGCTTTGGGTCGTCCGAGCACGGTTGTAGATGTGGCGGCAGGAGAGCCCGAGTCGAAAGAGGTGGAAGGAGATCGCGAGAGGTTGGTCGAGTCGGATGAGCCGGAGGGAGATGCGCGACCAGGCGAGCCAGCGACGGGCGAGGCGGATCCGATCCTGCGCAGCTGGTCGGCGCGGTCGGGCGTGGAAGATCTCGGCCAAACGGAATCCCAGCTGTGCTGCGCATCCGGGTTGACAGGAACGGCAGGTGGCGAGGTGGAAGGCAAGAAGATGGGCGAAGGTGCACGAAAGGGCGCAGTAGCTAGATCGGCGCTGGCACGACGAGCGTGCGCAAGACCGGCGTGTGCAGACATGGTCGACTGGAGGCGCGGAGAGATGGGTGCACCCGAAAAGGCACGAGCAGGAGACGAGGTGCGTCGAGTGCTACCTTCGACCAGGTGGTGGGAGGTGCCGTTGGGTTGGTGTCGATCGGCGTTGCGAGCTCCGTATCGGCGGGCATCGGATGCAAAAGGAGCCTCGGGGGAAGCACTGCCCGTGCTGCTACTGCTGCTAGAATTGGAGCCAGCGCTCACTTTGCGTGTCGATGGGTGAAGGACAGGCGAAGTGGAAGCGGAGAGATGACTGTTGGAAGCTGTCTTGGAGCGAGAGACGGACAGGCCCGAGGGATGGTCGTGCGATCCGTTGACCAGTCGAGACGGGTCCCACGAGCTTGATGGTGTAGCGTGAGCCGAGTCTGACGATGCAGCATGAGCATCTCCTCCTACAAAATCCGATATGGCCCAGGATCGGTCGCCCGTATTCGAGGAGGTCTGCAGAGAGCCAAAGCCGAGGATTGGACTAGTGCGGTCCTTTGTGTCGATCGAGTGATTGCGATTGTGATGGTGATGTCTGCCTCGAGCTGCTGCATTTTTGGGACGAGAGGAAGGTTGATCGAGTCTGGGCGAGAGGCTGAAGTTGGCGTTGATGCCATCTTCCGAGACCTTGATCTCTGGCTCCCTGGGACGATCTTCCGCCATGATTGCACGGACTAGAGAGACAGGGCGAAGGCGAAGAGCGACGTTGTTCGGTCTGTTTGCCTACAAGCAGGGCCCACAGATCAGAATACGTGCGCCTGCGATTGTAACCGAGGCTGAAAGGGGGGTCCCGAGCTGACGGCGGTTGGCGTCTACGACCGCGACATGATTGCGGAAGAGGGGTGAGAGGATGCGTGGGTATTGGATTGTGGGAGATCGATTGTACCAGACAGTTGTTGCAGATCGAGCCTGAGACGACTTCTGTGACGAGCTTACAGAGGCGTCCAAGGAAGACTGGCGGATATCGGTGACGGCTCCGTAACGGGCTTTGCTGTGCCAAGCTGCTCGCAGGCGAGTTTCTTTTGTTTTGCGTGTGACGATGAAAGAGAAGGGGAAAGCTGATAGTCGAGCAAAGCTTGCTCGGCAGAGCTCGCGTCTGGGATGTCTTCAACAATCACCTTGAGGGCACAAATCGCTCGACCAGACCGGTTGATCGGCCGCTGAGGTTGTGTCGACGACGAGGAGCAAGCGTACCAAACAAAAAATTGCACCGCCTGCCTTCCGCTCACTCGACCGACGCTCGTCGCTTCCTGCCGGACTGGAGAAAAAACAACATGGCAAAAGAAAAAGGAAAAGAGAAAAACAGAAACAGAAGACAAGCAGACGTGGATCTCACATACACGCCAAGAAAACATGAGGCTTGCGGCTCGCGGCTCGCCTGAAATCTCACTTTTGTATCTGGCCCACCATGCCGCTTGACGATCCCAACCCTGGTTGCAAGCGAGGGGACCCTGAGTTGGCTCTGCGCGCTTTTCGGCTCGTCGTCCAGCGGTACAAAAAGACCAAACAAAATAAGTTGACGAACGGCCTGATCACCACGGCGTTCGTCCTCGATGTGTACCCTCCTCTCGCTGACAAGTAGGCTTTCGTGACGACGGAACATGACTGTCATTCGCACCTTGGTACCACTAAACGTTCACAGTAAACGGACCGTTTGAAGCAGTTAGGCGCCGCAGCCTTGACCTGACTAACTCCTGTGACACAGCTTGTCCACCTTGAATCGTGGCTATGAGGTTGAAGTGCGTCGGCTAATCCCAGTGTGACTGGACGCTCTGCTCAAGACCGAAATAGCTGCACAGTCTAGCCCAGCAATGTTGCTACGAGCTGTGATGTAGGAAGCGAGAGCCGTGTGCTATCGGCAGCCATGAAAGGGAACAGGTTGCTTCAGGTGACGTGGCCACCAAGTCACATCACAATCTTTTACGAGATCTTGTTTGGAATGGTTCGATATCAAAGGCTGGACGGGACAGGGCGAGGCGAGGCGAGGCGTGGCAGAGATAGGATTACAAACAGAAGCGAAGAAGGAAATGCGAAAAGTAACTGAGGAACCGGTGCTGTAGTCGAGCTGGTGCAAGCCGAGTAGATGATCGCACGTAGGATCGCCGACGTAATTAGAAGCTGAAAACGTTGGTGCGGTAGACAGTGAACTTGGCGGGCGGCTATGAGCGCTGGCTAATTGAGTGAGGAATCCCAAGCAAGCTGCTTGAGCCGAACGGATGCCCGCAGCGCCACAGTTGGTTGTGCGTAAGGCAGAAAGAAAGAGCTTGGTGGATGGCGCCAAAGCGATCGCTGCGAGGATATCGGCATGATACCCCACCTCGAAGGGCAGGCAAGAGCATCCCAAGCGTTTACCAGCCGGTCCTCGCAGCCGCGATCTAGAGCTGACCGAAGGTGTTTTCGCCCGAGTACGAGACGTAGAGGAAGCCATCTTCATCCTTGTGCTCCTCGTAGATGGCGCTCATCAACGCTGCTGTAGCTGGAAGCACCTCGTCGACAAAGATGAAGATGGCCTTTTCGGGAGCAAGCTTGATACGTTTGCGGATCACATAGACGAATTGACCCACGGTGAGATCCGAGGGGACGAGGTACTTCTTCTTGTCGATCGTCGGGATGTCGGTGCGGTCGGCCTTCTCGCAGATGACGGGGATGCGGTCCGGATACTTCTGGCGGATCCTCTCGGCTTCAGCCTTGCGCTTCTCAAAAGAATGCTCGTTCTTGAAAGCGGAACGCATCTTGACGATGGTGTGCGGTGCTAGACGAACAGCTTATCGATCAGAGGAGGGACGTTTTGCTCCGAGAAGGGTTTCGCCGTTCGGCACGCTCTCTCAGCGTGTGGTTCTTGGAGCAACGGCTTCAAGCGGGTTTGCGCAGGAGCGTTGACTGCTGCAAGTATCAGTGTCGGCAACGTATCAGTGTTGGAGGGAAAGCGGATGCGGTCGAGGATGTGGTCCTTTATCGGCAGCAGAGGCACAGCTGGCACGACTCCCGATTCGTACACGCTGTCGCTTTCGTGGGCCCTAAAGAGGTTGAAACTGCGGCGCTGTAGGTTGATCGGAGCAATGCAGTTGCACCGATGGCAGGATGATTGACGGCGGCGATGATGGTATTATAAAAGTGACGATGATTCGGTGGATGGCAATGGAGGTGTGCATACGACGCAAAATAGCTAGACCCTTGCGCTACCTCTGTAACTTATCGTGTGTCGGGCTGGTGCTTGATTTGTGGAGGAGGCGCGGTCAGATAGACTCGCCATCCGCCTTTCACTCGGCACAGGAGATTGACTGGGTCGATGCACGCGCGCTCCGCTTTCAAGCTGCGCTTTGCTGCGACTGCGCCCGCTCAGCCAGAGCCGGTTCAGGTCCCTGTCTATTCACGGACCAACTGACACGGAAAGAGGACCCTGTTTGGCCGAAATTGCAGGCGCGAGAGAAACGGGCTGCACGAACCCTGTGTCAGCGTTCGTGATTGCCAACGCTGCTTTCGTGCGTACACTGACCACATGCATTTACGCTGAAAGGCAATGTCAGATCGACCCGACTGGCTCGACTGGCTTGAGAAATGAATGTTAAGCCGACATAAATGTGGATCGCTTTTTGGCTGTCGGCAGCAACGCATGGATCGCGCTCTGGAAGAAAATGCGACGCGCTCCCGCTTTGTGCTCTTGTGCTCTCTCACTCAGCTCCAAGTGTGTGTGCAATTTGCGCAGCACAAGCCTCTGTCGACTTCCGAAACGACGGCTGTTGCTCTCTCTACCCGTCACCCTTGTTCGCCTTCTTTCCTCTCGCTCACCAGCACCACTGCGATAGCCAGCTCACCTGGCTCTTTAAATCAACGACATCGATCATCTCCCCATCGCTAGCAAACCCAAGACACCGGGAGCATTCAGGGCTATAATCCTGTTTCTGTCTGGCTTCGCAGGCGCACCGTGTGCACGCCGCACATACAGCTGAACAAGCGACGAGGCATACTCCATCATGTCGGAACAGATTCAGATCGACACTGGCGCCTTCCAGCGAAGAGTTCAGAAGCTTCTCTCAAGCTGGAAGGATGGCAGCGCAGACTTCGAGCAGCTAGGCCAGGTCGATTCGCTTCTCGTCGTCATGGGCGGACAGAACGACGACCTCATCTACTCCAAGACTACCGCCATACACTCTTGGTTGCTAGGCTACGAGTTCCCTTCCACCGTCATCCTCTTCACCAAAGATGCCATCACCTTCGTCACCAGCGCCTCCAAAGCAGTCCACCTCGAGGCGCTCAAAAAGGGCAGCTCCGGCTTAACCGTCGACATCCTCAAGCGATCCAAGGACGAGGCGGCCAACCGTGCCATCTGGGACGATCTCATCTCCCGCATCGACGCTCAAGGCTCCAAGGTCGGATGTCTTCCCAAGGACAAGCCTGTCGGCAAGTTTGCCGACGAGTGGCAGGCCATCTTTGAAAAGGCCCAGAGCTCCAAGGATTTCAAATTGATCGACGTGAGCGCCTCTCTCAGCGCTGTCTGGGCCGCAAAGGACGACGACGAGGTCAAGTCCATCAAGTACGCCTCCAAGATGAGCTCGGCCGTCATGTCCGGCTACTTTGAAAACGAAATGTCCACCATCCTCGACGAAGGCAAAAAAGTCACTCACGAGCAGCTCTCGGAACGCATCGAGGGCAAGCTCGACGACACCAAAATGTGGAAAAGGGTCAAAGGTCTCGATGGTGCCGATCTGTCGCTGGCGGATTGGTGCTACACACCCATCGTCCAGTCCGGTGGAGAGTATGACCTCAAGACGTCCGCCGTATCCACCACAAAGCGTCTGCAAGGTGCTGATGGCAATGGCGGCGTCGTCATCGCAAGCATGGGCATCAAGTATCGCAACTACTGCTCAAATATCGGCCGAACGTACCTCATTGACCCCCACAGCAGCCAGCAAAAGATGTACGCCTTCTTGCACGAGCTCCAGACCGAACTTGCCGACAAGCACTTGCGCGCCGGCGCCACGTGCAAGGACATCTACACCAAAGCAGTCGACATCGTCCGTGCCAAGGATGACAAGCTCGTCGCCTCCTTTGTCAAGAACATCGGCTTCGGCATCGGCCTGGAATTCCGCGACAGTGCATACGTGCTTTCGGCCAAGAACAACCGTCCGCTGCAGCGTGACATGGTCGTCAACCTCTCAGTCGGCTTCCAGGACTTGGACGACCCCAACCACAAGGGCGAAGTGTACTCGCTCCTCTTGATCGACACGCTCAAAGTCAACGACGGCGCTGCAGCCACCTTCCTCACCGACCGTGTACGTGGCACCAACGACATGGCCTTCTTCTTCAAAGATGACGAGGAGGAAGAGGAAGAAGAGGAACGCAGGAGCCCCGCCAAACCAGACGGCAAGGTGACGCCAGGCGGCAAGGTGCTTCGAAACAAGAACCGAGGTGCCGCGCTCGACGACACGGCAGCCGAAAAGATGAAGCTGCACCAGAAGGAGCTCGCGAAGCAGAAGCAAGAAGACGGGCTCGCGCGATTCGCGGGCGAAGACGGCGAAGGCAATGCCTCCAACGAAAAGGTATTCAAGAAGTTTGAAAGCTACAAAAGAGAGAATTTGCTGCCCACCAAAGTGGCCGATCTCAAGATCATGGTCGACCACCGCGCTCAGTCCATCATCCTGCCCATCTACGGCTACGCCGTACCCTTCCACATCAACACGCTCAAGAACGTCAGCAAGAGCGACGAGGGCGAGTACACGTACCTGCGCCTCAACTTTGTCACACCTGGTCAGATTGCCGGCAAAAAAGAGGACGTGCCGTTCGATGACCCGGACGCCACATTCGTGCGCAGCATGAGCTATCGCTCCACCGACTCGTCGCGCTTCACGGAGCTCTTCCGCGAGATCACCGAGTTGCGAAAGTCGGCGACCAAGCGCGACGCCGAGGAGAAGGAGCTTGCCGATGTTGTCGAGCAGGACAAGCTGATCCTCTCCAAGTCGAGGGCGTACACGCTTCCCGAGGTGTTCCCGCGACCCGCCATGGAAGGCAAACGAGTGCCGGGCGACCTCACTATCCACCAGAACGGTCTGCGCTTCTCTTCTCCGTTGCGGCCGGACCAGAAGATCGACTTGCTCTTCTCCAACATGAAGCACCTCTTCTTCCAGCCTTGTGATAAGGAGTTGATCGTCATCGTCCACGTGCATCTCAAATCGCCCATTATGATCGGCAAGCGAAAGGCCAAGGATGTCCAGTTCTACCGCGAGGCGTCGGACGTGCAGTTCGACGAGACTGGAAACCGCAAGCGCAAGTACCGATCGGGTGACGAGGATGAGATCGAGCTCGAGCAGGAGGAGCGTCGTCGCAGGTCGCAGCTCAACAAGGAGTTCAAGGTGTTTGCCGAGCGCATCGCCGAAGCGTCCGAGGGTCGTGTCAGCGTCGACGTGCCGTACCGCGAGCTTGGGTTCAACGGTGTGCCCTTCCGAACCAACGTCCTGCTGCAACCCACCACGGACTGCCTCGTGCATCTCACGGATCCGCCTTTCCTCGTCATCACGTTGACCGACGTCGAAATCGTGCACTTGGAACGTGTGCAGTTCGGGCTGCAGTCGTTCGATATGGTGTTTGTGTTTTCCGACTTTTCGCGTGCGCCGATGCACGTCACTTCGATCCCGACCACATCGTTGGACGATGTCAAGCAGTGGCTCGACTCGGTAGACATTTGCGTGACCGAAGGTGCTGTCAACTTGAATTGGGGCGCGATCATGAAGACGGTCAACGAGGATCCGTACGACTTTTTCGTCGAGGGTGGCTGGGGTTTCCTGCAGTCTGGATCGGACGATGGCGGATCGTCCGAGAGCGAGTCTGGGTCAGAGTTTGGTAGCGACATGGACGATGGGCAGGAGGAGACGGATGAGGATTCCGAGTCGGGCAGCGACTTTGGGGATTCGGCTGAGGATGAGAGTGGATCGGAAGGGTTCGAGGATGAGAGCGACGAGGGCGAGGATTGGGATGAATTGGAGAGGAAGGCTGCTCGTGCCGATGAGAAGAAGCGCAGGCAGGGTGGATCGGATGATGAGGAGGATTCGGGCAAGAAGAGCAAGCGTCGTTGAGGGTCGAGGTCGTGTACGAATCTAGCAACTTTATCCTGTTGGCACTGACGACAAGAGCTTCCTGGTGGATGGGACCGGTTGAGTTAAGTGACTGGGTTGTGGCAATCTCTGCAGAGACGGGGCGGGCACTTAGAGTGAGGTGACATGGACTGACATTCTGGCATCCTAGGTATCATTCTGACTGCAACTAAACACGACTTGCTTCAATCTTCATCCTCTGTCAACTCGCTCAGATCCGACTCTTGATCGTGGTCGCTATCATCACGTATCCTTTCCTGTCTCTGCGCATCTGCTGCGTCTACGTCATCGTATCCTTCGAGATGCACTTGATCGGGGAACCATCCAAAGGTGCTCATATTGACTCTGAACTTGGCGTTCGGATTCGCGTGGCCGAAATCGATGGTGACGCCCTCACCTCTACCGTGGATGACGGTGACGCCTTCCTCTTGGAGTCGTTGCGCTTGGCGTGTTGCTGCGTGACCGCCGTCTCCGCGGTCGGCGATGGCTCCGGACGACGAGATGACTCGATGCCATGGGACGGAGGGGTCTTGGAGGAATTTGAGGGCGGCGCCGACGAGACGCGAATGGGAGGGGTGGCCGATGAGGCGTGCGATGTGGCCGTAGGAGGTTACGCGTCCGGGAGGGATGAGGCGGGTGATGTCGTAGACCTGAGCTGTGGGGTGTGCGGGTCACGGATTGGGAAGAGAGGGGATGAGAATAGATGAATTGGAAGATCTTACGAGTGTGTGTATGGTCATTGAACGTACCGTGGAAGATCTCAGGATTGACTTGTGGCATTGTTTGTATGACTCGCTGAAGTGAGCCGCAGCCGGACGGCAGCGATGGCTGATGAGCACCACGAAGCAGTTGAAGATGGAGGACGAAGAATTAAGGTTTGTGCTGCAACGCCAAAACTGGCCAATGCACATTTGTGCGAGGCAGAATTCCCGCGGATGTTTGTTCTTCCTCCTTGATATCCGGCTTTACACGAGCCACGATGGCCGACGTGGGACTGGAACGTCCATCGTCTCTTCCCGTTCTTCTTCCTACTCCTTCTTGACCACCACCACGTTTATTACCAACACCTTTCTCGGTCTCTCCACTCAAGATGCTGGCCGCAGCCCTTGCACCGCTGGCCACCGTCAACGCGCGTCTGATCCAACCCGTTCACCCCACCCTCTATCCCTTCCCACTCGCTACCACCCTCCACGCCCTTCGCGTAGCCATTGCGTACCGAGCCATCTGCTCCGGCTTCCTCGCCCGTCGTCGATCCGAATCCAAGCACTCGCCTGCCGACCTCCACGTCTCGCGCGTACGCGATGCAGCAGGCTTCCTCGTCATGGCATGGGGCGGAGGATTCATCTCCAACTACGTCCTCTGTCAAATCCCCGGTCAGCTTCTGACCGTCTGGCCTTGGATCAACTACCTCTCGGTCTACTCCGTCGTCACCGTGCTGATTTCCATCGCTGGTGCTGGACCCAGCGCAAAGTTGCTCGATCTGTGGCTGCCCGTGTTGGACGGTGCTACCCGAACCGCAGCCACCTATGGAGGTATTCAGATGGTACTGAATCACGCGAATCCGGCTGCCAGGAACAGCTTGCTGTTGCAGGTGATCATCGGGACTATCTCGGCCTGTGGTGGTGGTATCAGTGCATTTACGCTGAACGTGTTCGATCCGTTGGGATGGAGCGTCAGCACCCCGCCGTTCTTGAAAGCTAGGAGTTTGGTCGAGTTTACGGATATCTTTGCGCCGGCTCTGGCGAGCGCCGTGTATGGAGTCCTCACGCTGAGCCACCCAGGATACGGCTCAGTGTTGACGTTGGTGCACGGGGAGAGCAAGGGTCTGTTGAGTCAGGAAGGTGGAAAGGCAGTCATTTCGTTGGTGATCGGAACGTGTTTCTTTGCGAGGGCGGTTTGGTTGCATGTCGTTTTGCCGGCGAGACAGCAGAGCGAGAGACCGATCAAGAGCAACAAGGCGGTCAGGAACGTCGCTGCTAAGAAGGCGTAAGTGCTCAGCGTTCTCGGATGGGAAGGGAGAAGATCAGGAATGACGAACGACATGCACAAGGGAACGAAAAGCCTAGGACGATGTTTGTATTGCGATCAGATGCGATTTCCGTGTATGCGATTATATGCGATAACTGTTTCCATCAACTCTATGAATCCATCTCACTCTTATAGCTTGGCCCTCTCCTCTCCTTCGGCAATCACCTTTTCCAGGATCTCGTTGACCTTGTCCGCAATCTGATTACCCAACGCATGACCTGCCTTTTCGAAGCGATGATACTCTGCGCTCTCCAGCTTCTCCTTCAAGAACTTCGAGTTTCTCGGATCGACCAGGTAGTCCGTGTCGCCGGTCAAGATGCAGATCTTGGCTACGCTCTTGTTGATCTTGTCGAGATCCGCGTCGGAGATGTGGTGCGTGACAGCGGCCTTCATCTGGCTGACTGCGCCGTGGAGCGATTGTCGGATGGTAAAGTGGAAGCGCCATTTGAACATGTCGTAGAGGACTTGCTGGTTGGATCTGCCTTTAGGATCCTTTGTGGAAGGTTGTTCGAGCCATACTTGGGGGAAAAGGGTGGTGATGAGACGGTTGAGACGGTACGGTTCGCTGTCGAAACCCAAGACTCTTCCGCCGAGAACGCGGGCCAAGGAAGTTAGACCGTACGTAGGGGTCCTGTACCTCCTCCCTGCAGCAGTGGAGATGAGCGTCAGGCTCTTGATCACCTCTGGTCTCTGTCTTGCCATTTCCAATGCGATCATTCCACCCATCGAGACGCCTGCGACATGGACACTCCTCTCGCCATCCTTCAACCACCCCACATGTTTCAACAGCTCGAACGCATCCACCGCCATCTCTGACGTCTTGTACCACCCGGCGGGAGTTTCCGAGTTGCTGACGCCTCGGTTGTCAAAGACGAGACACGAGTATCGTGGATCCTTGCAGAGGTATTCGACTTGAGGCAACCATCCGAAGCACGAGTTGTTGAGACCCATGACAAAGATCACTTTGATGGGACCGGTGCCGTGCACCTCGTAGTATAGTTTGAAGCCGTCGAGCGGGCCGGATTTGGTGAGGCCAGAGCGACCGGCGCCGATGACGGCGTGGCCTTTCTGGTGGACCGTGGCGGGGTTGAAGACGGTGGGGAAGTATTCTTTGCCAGCGTCGGCTTTGGCAGAGTCGAGATGAGATTGCGTGGCTCCAGTGTAGGCGGCGCCTAGGGGAAGGAGGGCTTCCGTGGCCATGGTTGCAGATGAGATGAAGGGAGGAACGAGGGGTTTCCAGTTGGAGTGTAGTTCCTATTGGTTCGTGGGGGTGTACAGAGAATCCAGGAAGACGATGAAGACGATGACCTTGTATGAATATGAGTCCGTGAGAGAGGAGATGGGATGTACGGTGTTCTTGGATGGTGGTGACCATTAAACGGTGGGAGAAAGAAACACACGCTTCCAGTGGCTACGGCTGTATGCGGTGGTGCCTGGTACCACAGTGTGTCACGCAGCCTTTCACGTGCTGTGCTGAGCGAGCTCCACACTGCGAGCGACATCGCTTGCACGGACCGAACAAGGCCGTATGCGACCTTCGCAGCGGCTACGCCCCAATTTTTTTGAAGTATTTCCGGTCCTCTTTTTCGACGTAAATTTTTCGGAGGCGTCTTTGATTATGCTTAGGTTTGCATCCTGGAGGTTGTGATGCCAGGCAAATAACCGGTTTGACTGTATTGGCGATGCTGGTCATGCTTGACCCGGCTCCTGACACACGCTGTGCCATGGTCAACATGCACTCGTATAGCTTGTGCAGAAGTGTTGACATAAGAAGGCAACGATGGTTGCAGCCAATAGTACAGTGTTTAGTACAAATACAACAAGGATCATCATACAACACCTCGACCTGAACAATAACATCGCAGAGCCTAGATACCAGTGATCGCGCCTTGTTTCCTGGTGTCATGCAGAGCTTTCGCCATAGCCTCGAGCCAAATCTCGCAATCGATGGGTGCTTGTGCCATGCCGATGTGGTGTGCATGCGCAAGCACAGGCAACCGTCTCAACGATCGCCCCGACAATCCTTTGCAGCCGTTTGCGATCTCTAGCAGCTTTTCTCCTGCCCTGCTCTCCGCACCAGCTGCTGGCAGCTCGTCGTCCGTCTCCAGCGCCATCTGCGATCGTAATACATCCTGATACTTCGGCAAACTCACCTGGCCCACCAATCCGACTCGCATCAACTCCTTCAAGCAGCTCTCCAGGATCCAATACACCGCCTCTGCCGGAGGCAAGCCGACGTACTGCTTGATATCGGCCCTATCGACGAACGCGTTGTCGATTGAATCTGTCATGTTGGACGTTGTCATGATCAGCACGTTCTTCCTGTGCTTCAACTTGTCCAACTGCGTCAGCAATGCGTTGACCACACGGATCGAATCCGTAGGCTCGCTACCTTGCGCAGCGGCGCTTCTAGCTGCGGTGAGAGATTCCACTTCATCGATCAGCACCACCACAAACGCCTCTTCGTCGTCCACCATCTCCGTGATCATGCTGAACAACCGCTGTACGAGTTTTCCGGACTCCGAAAACCATTTGCTGAACAACGAGTGCGAGTTGATCTCGACCAGTTTTCCGTGGGAATAGCGATGCGATAACCGGATGGCGAGCTTTTGTGCCAAGGCTTTGCAGAGCGACGTCTTGCCCGTTCCCGGTGGTCCATGCAGCAGAACCACGCGGTTCCAAGAGACGAGATTGAAATCGACAGAGGCATCCGAGAAGAGGAGCGTGGTGTAAATGTAGTTGAGCAGTTTGGGTTTGATGTCGTCCGAGTAGATGAGCGTATCCCATATACCGTCGAGGGAGAGGTTGGGAAGTTCAGAGACAGCAGCTGCGGTGGTCTCGTCGGGGTCGTCGGCGTTTGGATCTGCAGCCGAGAATTCGTCGATGATGTCGGTCGAGGACGGTTGGTAGACATGGATCTGTAGGGCTGCGTCGGTCACAGAGACTGCTGTTGAGGTCGAAGATGATGAGGAAGCGGCGATTTCGGCGATTCGTATCCTGTTGACATTGATACTTAGGAACGGAGAGCTGGTCCAATCTGTGACCTCTGTTTCGCTTTGTAAGGTCGTAAACGTAGCCGTCAGGAACGAGATGACTTCGGACCGTACCTGCTCGTCGCTAGCCGTGGAGTGAGGTTTGAGGCGTACTTCTACGTGCACGGCTGTGCTGCCACCGGCGGCGTGTATCGTTTCGCTCGTCGCATGCGACGACGTTGTCCTGCTCCCGTTCTGCATTGTGTGTGACCGGCCCGGGCCAGCTTTCTCCTTGCTCGCTCGTGTACGGGGAGCGTGCTTGATGATTGATCTGGTGTCACCGAATACGCTCCGCTTCAAGACCCGCTGCTCGAAGGGAAGAAGGTCGAGGTAATGTCGACAGCAACAACCACTTGCAGACTTGTCCAAAGATCTTGAAACCATTTCGGTGCTCGAAACCAACACTTTTGGCCTTTCATTCTCAACCAACACCATCGACCAGATTCGCGAGAAGGCCTGGTCACGTGTATCAGCACTTTATCAGGATGTTAACTGTAGAAACTTTTACATTCAAGGTTGCATCGAAAATGAAATCTGATCTTGGGAAAAATTCGGCGATATCTGTCAATTTCTGCTGGCCTCGATGACCGTAGCTTGGAAATTTGTTCCCGGCCGCCTTGACATGCCGCTTCCAGCACATCATCAATTTTTGCCGGCCCGAGTAGGAATCTTGCTTGTGGCGATGCTGAAGGCTTGCATGTTTGACTCAGTGCCGCAAGGTGTACAGCCTGCCGATGCCGCGACGCGAACGGCCAGCACGTAACACAAGGTCCGAGAACGGAGCTTCGGCATGATCCTCCGGGTGCAACATAGTCGCTGGCCAGCAGTAGTCATCGGGCCAAACGCAGATCAAGACTTCAGCTTGACTCTCGAACGACAACGTCACTCATTGAGCCAACCGCCGTTGTAGCTTCTGTATCTCAACTCTGGAAAACACCACGCGGCAGACCCAAGTTATTCTTCCAGCAAGAACAAATCAGTTGGCCCGCAGATAAGTCACGCCGGACTCGCGCAGCATTCTCGGCTTCTCTACAAATTTCTTTTGCGAGTCTCTCTTGTCCTTCGCCTTCCTGCAGCCTCTGCAGAGAAAAGCCGTCAACCAAGCAACGGACGAATTGGCACAGCACGCTGCAGAGCAACGCAGCTCAGTCAGATGTTTCGCAGATCGTTGTCGTTGGCGAGTGACGATGCTGTCATGGACCTGGGGAGCTAGCGGCGTCTCTGTTTGCGATTCAGTAGTCTCACGGTGGTTACCCTGTCTGTACGCCCTGTCTGTACGCCCTGTCTTCTTTCCCATCAATTCTCAGCGGTCCCTTTGCTTCGCATCGGCCCTGAAGCGAATCTTGTCTCTGAACGCATGCAGAATCATGAGTCTTCTGCATGCCTTACAAGTCTCGGACAAACCAGCTAGACTGGTTCAGCTGGGACCTAAACAAATGTCCGAGCCGGCTTAGCCAACGGTGTGTGCCTCGGTGCACCACACTCTCGACGATCGTGGAGCAACTCGAGTTCTGCCTTGCTCGGCTACGTACAACCGATCCCGCTCTGGAAACTCAAATCGTCCTCGGCTTTCAGAGAAGAAAAGGGTGAGCGTTGCTTGCCTGTGAGGCTTGCCAATTTTTTCTCCCTCATCATCTTGCAGTAGCCACCGCACAAGTTGGCAGGGCCGCGAGAGTGAGAAATACGGCAAAAGGTAGGCAGGACACCAAGAACATGCCCAAGAGCCCAAGACTTCCCGTAGCAGTGCTTGGCCGGTGCGGCATCTGCGACGCGGGTCTCGGTAGTGGGCAGGCCCAACGTTGGGTCTGACTAATCTGGTCACTGACAGCCGCGAATCAACCTCCAAGAACGTCAGTGTTGCTCTGGCTGAATCTGCAGCGGGACCTCACCACCCTCGATTGGCTGGGCGGTGACTTTGCCTGCTACGTGGAAGCCACTGAGAGGGCGTGAACAAGTCCACCCAAGTGAGCAATGTTTGTAGCCTCGTACGAGCCGTAGTGCTTCCGACCACAGCTTATCGCTTCACTCCCTCACTCTTGCATGATGTTGGAATGACACGACAATCAGAGACAGTGGAGGATTCAGTGGGTGGTCTTGGTTTCAGGGGCCCATCTTTGTGAAAAAGGGCCACGTTCGGCCGCTTGCGACCGTCCATGGTCCCTATACTGATTTCAATGGCAGCGTTAGCTCGGCAAGAACCTCAAAGACGGCCATTTTACTCCACGAAGCGAGGCGCAATTTAGTCCTTCCAAGCCCTTCGGTCTCGGTGAAGCGAGTTCATTTCGTCACGTCAGGAGAGGTGTGGGCAAGAGCGAGCGCAGCAGCCAATGCGGGAGTCCGGGCAGACGACGGGCGGTGGCGGGCAAAGGGCTTCAACGGGCAGGGGCCCGTCTTGCAGAAGGCAGGGAGCAAGTTTTTAACGCCTTGCACTATCAAGCCGGGTTCTCTCCTGCAGCCCAAGGCGGAGAGCTAGGACACGAGGCTTTCCAGCTCGCGTACATCGGCATCTCTCTCAAGCGCTCGGCGCCATGTTTGAACAACGACCAAGCAACGTCCGAATCCAGCTGCATAAGACGACGATGAGGGAAAACCCGCTGCTTATTGCTCGAAAGCTTCAGCAGTGACCAGACACCGGTCAGCACGCAAGTCAGGCTCTGCAGCGACGATTTCAGAAATGGGAGATCCGGATTGGCTGGCCGTGGGAAGCGATCTTGGATGCAGTCAATTTGGTGGTACTGTGGGCCTCGAGGGGTCTAGAAAAGCATCAAGGTCGCAACATGATGTGCATTGGTTGGCCTGGTTATTGAAAATAAGTGAGCTGAGCTCACCAGGAATGGATAAATCACCGTCTGCCTGACTCCGGCGCGACTCGATGATCTGACGTCCCCGGCGATCAGGATGCAGAAGGGAAGCCGCGTTGAGGGTCCGACTGTGTCGACACAGGGGTATACGGAGCAGTGGCGGCTATGAAAGCGCAGCAAGATTCGAGGTCCATTTGCTTCGCTCGTCCATGGGGAGCGCTATTGATGCAGGTCCAATGGCGAAAAAGAGACAATTCTCGGATTCGGGTTCAGCCTCGCGGCCAGCGCAACATATGTGTCGAAACCGTGGCGTGGCACGGGAGCGCTTGATCAGTTTTGCAATCAACTCAGACCAGTACGGCGTGGCAGTCGTGGGCACAATACGAGGATCGGTATGACGGCCTGTGAAGACCCAGAGCGGCCGGCAATGAAACCGCTGAGAGGCGTAAGCAGCAAAGCAAGGCACGGGGGAAAACCTCGAGGAGATGAAAAAAGGCATTGAGGTGAGGCGAAGCGAGAACGGCAAAGCGGGGCTTGAATGAAGGCGAGAAGGGGTGGGACTGGTGTTCGCCTGGTAGCACTTGGCAGGAAGAGCGGCTCAGCGACACGCCAGGAGGTACGGCTCGCGTCGACAAGTCGACATCTTGGTTTGGCCGAATACAGTGAAGGAACGACGAATTCAATTGACTAGCGACGGGGTCCGCTGCGACTCGAGGCAAAGCCACGATGTGATAAATTTGATTGGATCGGAGCTCAAAACTTGAGCCCCTAGATGGCCCTGAGAGCGAAATCAAGGTAGTGTCGTGCGGCGACCCGATCCTCGACTACTGGCCTCGTTCCAGAAAAAGGATGTCACTTTGGCCCACTGACAACTCCATGGCGCTGTCGCTACCCAACACCGCCCATCGTTTCAAGGCACGGGGCCATTTAGGCGCGACGAAGCAGAAATGTCATTTGCATGAAACGAATCTCCAGGTTGGCAGCGCTTGCCCGAAGCAGCACGGTGTCACTCAGCGCAACAGCGCCGTGATCCAAGCGAGTGAGGAAATCAATCCCTTCCGTTTTGTGACAAGTCTCGATCCTCCGAGCTAAGACCAAAGGGTCGTCGGAGTCTGCCGAAAGAGGTCAAGCAGAGCATGCCAGCGTCGACGGAACTGGGTGTGAATGAAGCTTCTTGATGGATGAGGTAGATGCCTCGGATCGTGTCCCGAGCGAGTTTCGGACTGATCCGAGGAACTCCCCGTGCCTCATCTCTTTAGGTTCGGTTGCTGAAAGTCTTTGCCGTTTGCACCAGAGACAAGTCATCGATGTCTCTGTGCTAATTTGGCCTCAGCTAGGAGCATCCGACGGAAACTGCGACCTTGACCGCCATGCTGTATAGCCTGCCGAGCTTTCTTGTGTAGCTCGTCGACGGCTTGTCTGACAAGCTAGCCGGTGTGACTCAGGTTCCAACGAGCCGAGGCAAGCTCTCTCGCGCTACCTGCTCGGCTGTATGCCACTCAGGCGGTGATGTGCACTTTATCAGCAAAAATTGACGGAAGGAAACTGCAACACCTGTCTCGCTCCAACTGCCGTCGCTGGAGTCTCAAAATTGGGATCCCTGTTGCAAGCGAGCACCGCTGCATGCTGCGCTCCGATCCATGCATTGTTGATACAAAGTCAGACTCAATTCGAGCTTGACCGCATGTTTGTCGAGTGCTTCGAGTTGAAAGGTGGTACCTGTTTCGTCGATAATCTCAAGCTGCGAGTCAGTGGAAGAATCGAATGCTGTTGGTTGCAACTTCACTGAGAATAGTGCAGAAACGGCGAACGGGAAGGGCGGCCATCTTTCTATAGGCGAGGAAGCGCAGGCCAAGCTACTTGGCAAGAGGGTCAGCCAACGGTGAAATTTCGTAGTGTCACGCTCCGCAACTGTGCTTCCGACGCCGACCCTGCCGCTTCTTTTGCGCCTCATGCCACACTTCGGTCAACGTCTGTGGATCGACTCACATCACGGTTGCCTTCTCAGAGGGAGAGAGCACGAAGTCACACCACGAGCCATTTACGGCACTGCCCAAGGGGTGCACGAAGCAAACAGGGAACGGTAGTCGAAGGGAAGCAAGGTTATTTGTTGAATCAAAATTCTACTCCGGGCCCTGCTGCAGCCGTGCCGTCTCCGAGGTAGAATCTCATCTCGTGTGCCTCACAGCCCTGACAGACTGTAATTCTCCCGTTGCTGCATGCACGCTTGATTCGATTTTCTGTAATTTTCTTTCCTGGTGGGTCTGGGTCGGCTGCATAGAGCCTCGCGGTAAATGCTGGTTCCGCATGCTTGGTTTGGATTGGCGTTGACCCCATGCAGCCATGGCGTAATTTTCTGATATTGCGTTGCCGTTGCTGTCTGCCGATGTTTTTGGCAACGCATGCCGGGGAGGGGAGGCCCGGCCACGTCTTTGCCGTAATCGTCGCTTCTGAAGTGACCACGTCGGCCTGCTTCCTGTCAGTGACAAAACAGAAGACCAAAAATAAAGCAGAGAATTGATGCGCAGCTGCAGCTTTTCGCCGAGCAGTCACCATTCGCGATCCCTTGTTCTTGGAACACCGCGGACCTACATCACCACACGATGCAATTGCAACGCAGTGTAGCAAAATCGGCCACTCGCCGCGAATTATCTCCACGTCGACATCTCGATTACCTGTGCAGCATGCTGTGCTTCTTCCGAGACATGCGTGCGGATGCTTGCGGTCGTCGCTGCATTCTCAGCCAAGAGTCAGGCGAGCAACTCGAGCCTATTGCACTAAGAAGTGGTTTGACCCACATCGCTGCTAGTTACGGTGCACTGCACTGTGGTCGGTAGCTTGTTTGCGACAGGGGCCGCTGTGTTGCAGGATAGCAGATGGTGTGCAGACGTGTGCGACCCTCCATGCAGCACTTGGTTTCACATTGGGTGGTACGTGGTTGCTCGCTTAACAGTGACTGGAATTTCAACTTGGTGTTGTGCCTGGTGCCGCTCCTCGTTGCCCCTGATGTTGGTCGGTTGTGTGCGAGCAAGACCTTGAAGACGTCCAAACTTGGTGTGGGTGACTTCTGGATACTCCCTGTACGGACAAGTCTGTTGCTAGAAGGTTGTAACGATATCGCTCGAAACGCTCCCACGTCACAACACCACGAGCAACCAAAGACGAACGACGAAGGTGGATACAATCAGACGCCGTTTTCCCGCTTGCGTCTGGGTAGATGCCTTTTGTTTTCTTGGCCCTGTCTCGCTGCCCTCGAAAAGAGGAGGCAGCCGTGTTCCATTTCAGTGTTTCGGTGAGTGCAAATGGAAATCATTCTCAGCTCCTGCGATTCAAATCTACGGCGGGTCCACCTGCTGTGGTATTTTGGGTTCTCGCTTACCATTTAGCGCCTCTCTTGACCCATGCCTTTTTGACTGCCCAGCAGCATGAAATGCCATGACTTCTCTCTGCAATGCAGGGAATGATTGAACACCTCAAATGGTCTGACGAGGCCACAGATACGAGCCTGGGGAGCTCGGGCTGGTTCAATGCTGATCGTGAGGAGCATACGGAACGGGAAGCCGCAATCTCGCTTTGTCCTGCGGAACTGTACCACAGTTCGGCTATAGGTCTAGGCTAGTGGAGGCGGGCTGAGAAATTTCGCATGGCGCTTCCAACGATGCCTCAGGACGCATCGTTGTGCGCTGTTTCCAGCTGAGCTTGGATCGTTTGCATGAACAAGGCACGATGCAAGGGGCGGGCGTGCTCAAGTTTGGTCTCCAGGACGTGGGTGAGATGTACTCGCACCATTGCCTCTTGCAACACTCGACCAAGAAGCGACACCCTGACTTGGCTCGTATCGACCCCGTTGCCTGCAAAGCAGCTGCTCAGGCTGGTCATGCTCGACTAGGAGCTAGACTAAGCTCGAATAGGTGTGCATTATGACCTCAGCCTGGCGACGTAGCACGGAGCGGACTCTTGGCTGCCACCTCGAAACTGCAGCTGGCGTCAGCGAAGATGTGAACTGGCGTCACGAATCCCTAGTGCCTAACTTGTGTCACACACGAGGCCTCGGCTGCAGCAGAAAATGTGGCATTCACTTCGGGTGTCGAAGATGCGCAAGAGTGTTTGACTGAGTCGTTGGTGACCATGTCCAACGTCGAATGTCGAAAATAAGTAATATATTATAAAACAATATATCGCGCAAGAATGGTTTGGGGAGCGAGAGACAGGTGGCAAGCAATGGAGGGGAGGGTGTGGGACGCATCTCTGTCGAGAGGTGCAAGTTCTGAGATGCTGGCCGGCGTTCCAAAAAGGAGGCCTCCGACACGTCAGAGCTCGCCAAAGGCCTCAAGCGAGCGAGGCACATCCACGAACCACGTCTAGCGGCTTTTCGCTTCGATTCGACTGTGTCCAAGCTGTCTGGAGGCTTGGGCTGTGACAGGTCATAGGTCTCCCTGTCTCGAGGTTGATGCTCCTCGGCACTTTGACCACGAATTGACATATGCGATCGTCAATTTGGATCAAATTTCGCAGCTCCGCAATTGACTTGCCGCCTTTGGGTCTCGTGCTGCACTCCGCCGCTCCCTGTGTATCACGGGAATACATGAGTCGTTTGGCTACGCCTAAGCAGACTCTCAGGTACATTCGCTGCGTCTGCGCATTTGCTGCACGGCACAGGTTGCCGTCGTCCGAGACGCCTGTTCAGATCGCGTGCGGCACAAAGTTACCGAGACCTGCCTGCCTTTCTCGCTCTTCGAGATAGTGCCGCGTTGGTAGTCGGCTGTGCCTTCCGAGCATACCTGCTTTGCTCAGAGTGACAACTCCCCATTGAGCCAAATTGCACGTTTCGTGACATGATTTGAGGCTCGTGAACGACGATGCTGATCAACTCTGAGTTAGAAAATGGGCGTGTCTATCGGCTTTTCCGTGAAAGGATCCAGCTCGCGTGGAGACAACTCTTCAGTGAAGAAACACACTTTTGCTGTGCGGTCTAATGCGTGCACGACAGCCTACGCAGTCGCAGTTGCCCGGCCAACGTTGAAAATCGCCTAGCCCCATTGTTCTTTCCTCCTGCTTCTTGGACTGCGACTGACACACCACTTCTGCACCACGGTGCACGGCACTTCCCCTGGCTCGTCGCTCGGCGCGCCCTGCTTCATAGGGCTCGGTTCCCGTCGCCGTAGAGAGCCGTGACGATTCATCTGCAGATCGATGGCCGTATCAGTACACCAGCGAGGGCTTTGCTACTCCTGCACGCTGCCGTGCAAGGAGCTGAGGCGGCCTTCGGCAGCGGAGCATCGAGTCTGGCCAAAGCCGATCAGCCTCGAAAGAGCATGAGCAGTAGGCTCGATCTGAGGCGGTGACGACGATGAGCCCTTCGCTGTCCACAGTCAGCAGCCGAAACCCAAATCCCACCACGCTGCTCTGCGTTGGGTGAAACGGCCAAGCATGCACTCTGCATTTTGCACCACCAAAACCCACAGTAAATAGGGTTTTCCTATTTTTCCTAAACCAAATTCGAAGAAACGGCCAGATGGAGGAGGCCCGCAAAGTGGCTTTCTAACTAGTTCGAATGAAGAAAAGGTTTCCAACTCCCGTTTGCCCGCACAGCTGATCCGTAAGCCGCGGTCTCACCCAGAAATGTTGGCCGCCATTCTCTCTTCATTTTCGCTCGAACGAGTCCGGCTGCTCCGACTACTAGCCACGCTGTACCAACGATCGCTCCCGAACAAAGTAAGCCTTGGAGGCTTGGCTGGCTTTTCTCGCCCAATTTCTTGGATCTGTGGGAGACCAGTTGGAGCAACACCGCCCGTCCTGGTTGCGAGCCCGCGAGCCCGCTGACATGCATGTGGTCGGGCACTTCCGCTTCCCCTTTCCCTTTCCCTTTCCCTTTCAGTTGTTGTTGTATTTTATTAATAGTCTTATTTATCATAATTGTTTCCCCAATTTCCTCTCCCGTTGCGCCTCGCCTTTGTTGCAGCTCCGCCCTCCACTCTCTCATCTCGATTCATTGTGATTGAACGGAGGAGCGGAGCTGGGTGTTGGTCGGTCGGTTGGGCTGGGTTGAGTGACTTTGATTTCCCGCAACGCGCTGTCGCTCCGCTTCTCGGCACAGACGTGTGCGTGTGCGTGCGTGTTTGTGCGTGGGTTGGGATTGTGTGTGTGTGTGACTTTTCCAGGTTTTGGTGGCTTTCGGAGTGTTTCTCTCTCTGCTACTGCTGCTGATGCAGTTCCGCTTCCGCTTCCGCTGTATGCTTTTTGCTTACTGTCTCGTCTGCCCCCCTCTCCTCGTCGGCTGGTAGAATAAGTCCATACCTACCATATTCCTTCTGACATCCGACTCGATCCAAAGCAGTGCTGGACACACTTCGACTTTCGGAGCCTTCCCACCTTCTCATCTTCTCCATCCTCATCCTCATCTACACCTACCACTCAGCATCACCGACTTTCCATATCACCTACTCCATCTTCCTTTCTGGCTACGACTCTCTCCCACGCTCTCCTTGCTTGCGTCGCTGCTCTCTTGACGGCACCGCATCTCTCCTTCTTCTACGCCTTGTGATCACCCGCACCCGATCCTTTCATCACTTCTTGCATTGGTCACATCCCTCAGCCATCAAAGCGCTCTTACTTTGCTCCAGCCTTTGTCTCTCTCCACCGTTCGCAACCAGAGCCAACTGTATCTTTTCGCAGCACCAAGCCTCGTCTCCTGCTTAGGCCACTCTTCACACACATACACGAATCTGCCAAGTTCTGACGACGCCACCTACCATTACCTCCAAGGCTCGCCTTACGTCTCCCAACAGCACCAGGACCCTCACGATCTTCTGCTGAGTTCCAAATGCTCGCTACTTGCATCTCGCACTAAGACTGGCATTCATCGACCATCGACACTTTGTTCCGAGGCCATCTGGAGCAGCTCTGATACCTATTCGATCTGCCACCCTTGCCGACCTCTCACCATGGTCTATATCGCACAGCCGCAGGCGCCATTGCCGCTATCCCAAGGCTTCTCCAAGGATCTACCTTGTGACGGTGCTGTCTACTACGGTAAGGAGAACTGGCCGCGTTCCCAAAAGCAGCCCGGCGCCGTCCCATCAACACTGAAGCAAGCGGAGCCAGTCGCGCCCTTCGCCGTTGCTTTCCCCACAACATCGGACTCGGACGCAGAGGTGGAAGCTGCTACCGCGGTCGCCTCTGCCAAGCCTAGCAATGACGATGCCGATCTCAAGTCTTCCTCCTCGGTCAGCGACTGGTGCGCACAGATGGTGTGCTACATCTGGTTCAGCGGCATCGACAACCACGAACCCACCTATTCGCTTTCAACCGCCTCTAGCCCCGCCTCTCGTCCAAGCCGTCTATCCGTATCTAGCTCGCCCATCGCTTCCGCATCATCTACCGCACACAGGCGCCACTCGAAGAAGTTGAGCCTCGGCAGCCTCTCTGAGGCCGTCTCGTTTTCGGTACGTGACCTTCACAACGCCGTCGAAGCTCATGCACGCTCTGCTGTCGATTCCACCCGCTCACGGCCGAGCGCGAGCGAACGCTCCAACGACCCTCGTGTGCTCCGCCTCTTTCCTCGACGCCGTTTCACCGACTTTGTCCGTAACATGCTCAACACGACGCAGGTCTCCAAGTCGGTCATCATCCTCGCACTCCTATACATCCACAGGTTAAAGTCCAAGAACCCAGGCCTCCGGGGCCAGGACGGCAGCGAATTTCGCCTGTTTGTCACCGCCCTCATGCTTGCCAACAAGTTCCTCGACGACCACACCTATACCAATAAGACCTGGTCCGAGCTATCTGGCCTCAAGCTCAAGGACGTCACAAAGATGGAAATCGAGTTCTGGCTTGGCCTCTCTTCCAACATCCACGCTTCCGACGTCGACTTCCGCAGCTGGATCGGCACCCTTGAGATTCTCGCCGAACGTCGTCAGCTCGCTCTCGGCGCCCACGAAGCCGAAAAGGTGCGCCAGGCTGCTCTCCGCCAGCAAGGATTTGCCCAACAACACCAACAGCAGCAGCTGCTATGCGACTCGGCAAGGCAGCCAGCACTTCTCTCCCCCGTCCAGGCACCTGGTCTCGGCTCGATGTACGACGCACCTCGCCGCATCGCTCACAACTCTCGTGTCACTCAACCGCGATCTTGGTCGCCAGACCACCTCGCCGTCGACACTCGACCTCGCTCCTCGTCGGCCGCTACGGCCACGAGCCACCTAAGCCACGTCTACGCCTCTGCTCCCGCGCCAGCCCCTGCGTCCCGCTTCGACTTTGATGCCAGTGTGCAAGCAATGATGAACAGCGCCGGCTACCCGACGCCTGCTGCATCCTCTGCTGACTCGAGGTTGCCCGCCGCCCTCTTCCCAACCACCGCAGCGCAGTCCGAACTCAGCACCGGCAGCAAGCGGAGCTACGCACAGACGAGCCCACTCGGCGTACCCCAGTGCTACTATTCGGCCACGCCTTCGCCCGAGCGCAGCGCCAAGCGACGCCACATGGGCAGCGAAGACCGAGCGCTGCAGGCGTTCACGTCGGGCCCACGCAACTACGGTCTCAGTCCCCCCTTTGCTCAGCCGTGCCCGCGAAGCGTGTTCGAGCCGCTTGTCTCGACGCCAAACACGTTGCTGGCACCCTATGTCATGCAACAGCAGCACGCAGGTTCGGGTGGGATGATGGCAAAGAACCACGCCTTGGCTTACTGGCAGCTGGCTGCCGGCTACGACCGTGGTATCTTGGGCGTTCACATGCCTTGCGCATCCGACTACTTCCACTGGCAGCCAACGCAGCCAACGCAGCCCACCAATGACGAGCAAGGGCAGATGGACAATGTCGAGATCGGCAAGCCTCTGTCCGCTACGATGCCATTCCCCACACCACCCATCGATGCATTCTCCCCCTTCCACCACCAGCACCACGCACACGGCTACAAGCCGAACCCCATGCACGGCGGTCACCACTATGCAAACGCAACCGCCCCTCACGCAGCGCCTTTCAACAACGCAGAAGCACACTACGTCGACCCTCTCTTCATTCGCTACTAGTTCCTTGATCCTTCCAAAACGTCTAATCAACAAGCACAAACATGGTCTCTCTCATAGCATTCGTCTCCATCTCATTGTACTTTTAAAAAGCATATTCTGACTCACTCTAGTACGGTTGTTCTCGGTGCAATTTGCAAGCATTTCGCAGATATCAAGATTGTATGAACGAGATGCGATTGCGATTGCGAGATGTGTGGATGGAGCTGAAGGTTGATTGCGATGCGCGGAGCGTGAGCTGCAATGGGATGCAGACGATGTGGAAACTTCGAGGAAGGGAGAAGGGTGGTTCACAGAAGACCAGCGTTGGCGCTGGCCAGACGGGTATCGTTGACGTTGTATTTGGCAATGACGCGTTCGGTCGAGACGTAAACGTGTTCTGCATCTGGATCCCAACACAGACCGCTGATGTTGATCGAGTGGGAGTGGCCCGTTTCGGAACGATAGCTGGACGGTAGAGGTTGTGTGAGTGCTGCGGTCAGCAGATCCTCTCGTCGTGTGCTTGAGGTGGTCGAGGTGGTCGAGGTAGGATTGCTGAGCCAGTCGGGGAAGTAGTTGGAACCTCTCGTAGAAGGGGTGGTGCTGCTGGAGTTGGTTTCCGAGTTGCGATCGACGAGGTTGATGGCACGATTCCACTCCCTCATGAAGGTGGCGTGGATCATACTTCTCCTCTCTCGATCTCTCGCGATTGACTCTTCTCCTCCAGTAACCATTCTGAACCTCTCGTCTGCTGCCAGACGTCTCTCGATCCATCCTTCTCCAACGACACTGCTGCTGCCCGTAGGACTACACGCGGCATCCCTCGGAGCAGTTGGAGCGTTGACCCTCTGCGTCTCTGAAAACGTCACCGTATCCGTCACGCCCCAGAAGTTCCTGTGCTCTGTGAACGCCAAAAACCTCCCGCAAGGTGAAAACTTGGCCACCCTCGCCGCTCCACTGCCGGAACTCGCCTGACTCGTGCTGACCGCTGCCAGCCGTCGGCTGCTGCGTACGTCCCACACCGACACGACACCGTCTTGACTGGCCACGGCGAACTTGGAGCCATCAGGTGACCAGGTGGTGGAGAAGCATGCATCGCTCGAAGCGCTGTAGGTGGCTATCTTGACGTGTTCGCCCGATCGGGAGACGGAATGGATGAACACCTCAGGTGTGTCGCCCACGGCGATGAGCGTACGTTGATCGGGTGAGAGGGATGAGTGGTTAATCGCAGTGGGGAACTGGAGCGTGGTATTGCGGGATAGACCAGGCAAGCCGGATTCGATGCGGCCGCCGGCTCCTGGGGTCGACTTGGGCGGACGAAGCTTGTAAAGCTTGATAGATTGGTCGTTGTTTGAAACCATGACTTTGATAGGTGCGACAATGGGGTCTGTCGGGCTGCTGTTGGTGATTGCGGAGACGCTGGCGCGTCCTTGCGGAGAGCGACGCCATCGAGAGGAGCGATTGGCGGTGCTAGGATCGAAGCCATACGCCGCTGCCAGCTCCTCAAAGACGCTTTCGGAGAGTTCGGCTTCCATCTCCTCGTCGCCAAAGAGCAAACCTGGCCTGACGACGTTGGATGAAGATGCAAATGAAGACGGCTCATCCCTGGCCCAAGGAGAGTAGGAGTGTGTTGGATATGCATCGACTACGTCTTTGGAAGAGCGTGTGGAAGCAGATGCAGTGGGCGGTGAGGTACAGGCATGTGAGCTGCTGGAAGGGCGATTGAGATCGGGCTGAATCGTGATAGCATTGTTGATGGAACCTCCTGTAGGAGTGCGTAGCAGCCAAGGTGCAGGTGGCCTCTCTACGTATGACTGGTCGAGCTGGAGCTGAGGAGCAGAAGAGGAAGGGGAGTGTAGAGGACGCAGTGCTAGTTCTCCGTGCTGACCACCAGCAGCGAGAAGACCGCAGCCAGTGGTGAGACAATTGGGCTGGAAGTCGAGCGTGCAGTAGGTGGCTGTTGGCTTGTGGCTGGTGAAGTCAGCTTGCTCGACCTGGAGACGGCTAACAAAGAGGACCTTGTCCTTGACGCCGGTGTGCTGAAGGAGATCGCGCAATTGAAGATGGTGGATGTTGACGCGAGCCTGGATGATCTCGGGATCCGAATCGATATGATCGACGCCGCGTGCCATGATGGCGAGTGTGAGAGGAGGGGGCGGGCGCGCAGTGTGGGCACCCAATCCGTGATGATGGCTATGACGCAGAGTGAGGGTTCATTGGGCAGGGAGCGCTGAGCAAGATCGAGCTGAGTTGAGCTGGTCGAGAGGGATTGCGATGACCTGGTGAAGTGACAGTGGGAGGAGGAGTGGTGGTCCAGAGTCCTTTCGGATGATGCAATGGGTCCATATCAATATCGAACGTCGAGGGTCGAGCGACTTACAGTATCCAGACAGAGAGAGGCGCAGGCCGTCAGCGCAGAGCAGAGTTGATGCATGCACGCACGCCTCTGCATCTTGTCACATGCGACCCTCGACTCGCTCTGGACAGGGCACTTGAGCAGAGGCTGCCCGCTTTTCTCCACATTTTCAGCCGTCATCATGGTGAAATAGCAATGTCGATTTTGCTATTTGGAGAATGTTCCACCACCATTGGTGGTCAGTTGTTCGTTCAGTCCAGCATCGCTCTGTGACATATGAGAGGGAAATCATCCAGAGTCTTCGTTGTCTTGCCTCAAGCTCAATGCTGTGAAGGGGAAGAGGACTGACGATTGGTGGATCGCATCGGCTATGTCGCGGGCTGTCTATCGGTCCAAGATCGGTTACAACGTGTTAGGCTCGTAGGTCTCACATAAAAATATCTGGAAGAAATTGAATGAGCGGCTTGTCTCACACTGCCTATTGTCAGCGTCTGCCACAGCGAAGGCTGACTTCCGAAGCACTTCACAAAGGACGCAAGCACGAACCTCAAGAACCGTATTGGTACAGCGCTATCGAGTCGGCCAAGCCCACACGATGAGAGTCTTTCTCGACCGCCACCCGAGTCTGATCCGCAACACTTCCAATGACCGAGATCAGCGGTCTCTGATAGGTCCTATTCTTTGTTTGTATAATTTCCTTAAAATAAATAAATACTTCTCCAAATTGAAATTGCGGAAAGAGGACGGGGGCTAGCGCTGTGTTCCTCCCTATCGGCCCTGTCTGCATGACAGCCGAGAGGCCAAACAAGAAGGCAGACAGGGAAAAAATGTCCACCAGCGCCAAATTGGACCCATCGCCGTCAGCCCCTTTGTTATCCGCCAATCCTCCCTCTTGATGGCGATTGGCGCATACAAACTTGACCGCCTGTCGTCGCATCATGCTCACCCCTCGCAATACAGCGTCAAGAGTATTACGAGCAAGACACGCTCTGTCTTGGTGCACTCGCCAGCGAAGGGAGGTTTTCTATAAGCGCTTGATGATGGGGTAGGGTGTCGTGTCGACCATCCGTCCCACGCAACCAGGTCTTCGGCCTTCTCTCTACCGCTCGAAACGTTCCTGACTTCCCTTTCCAACCACTTTCCGAGAAGGGGCGATACGCTCGTACTGAGGCTCAGTGGTCACACGAAGCAAGAGGCGACCGATTGTTCTGGATGTGCCGTTCACTTGATCCACTACGTTTCGGCTCGTTGTGGACAAGGGCTTCTGATTCAGCACCTAACGTCATCTTTGCTTCGCGGCACAGAACGTTCCCAGTTCCTTCACAGACGATGCCTGCACTAGCCTTAAGCTCAATCATCCGCGAACGACCCGAAGTAAGGGGAACCCGGACGTCCTTCGGAAGTGGCGCCTGATGTCGTGTGTGGCCTCCTACTCCCTTCTCCGGTTCTGACGCCCCGACTTGAAGAGCCCCTATTCTGAAATGAGCGCCTAATATGGCTGCTCTGGATAGCATGAACATCCTACACTCGAAATGGATCTATGTAGAGCAATATGTACGAGCTTTCGCGAAGATGTCTTGCAGTTTCTACGGGCAAGGGGCTCCCCTGTTCGCGAAGGCTCATACCCAATCTGAGCTCCAAAGCCCTCGTGTACAGTGGCCATTGAGGCGGTCTCATGGAGAGCCCTTTTAAAGCGCTGAGCGTAGCTTGATGGTCAGGTCGTACGAACATGCGTCCCAAAATGCAGCTTGTGGACGGTTCGTGCCAATGTGGTGCTCCTCGACTCGATCGAACTGCGAATTCGGAAGTTGGCGTGTCAAAAAAATATTCCTGCCTGCGCATGACTGGCTGGCTGGCCGGCTGTCCTGTCTCTGTGTTTGAGATGACTTTGTGTCTTTAATGCCGCGTGTCTTTCGTGTCAAAATCAATCAGACAGAATCTTGTCTGAGAACAAAGCGTACCTGTGTCAAGCTTGCTTCCACGGCCTACCCGCACACTCTATTCTTCGGCCCAGCACCTATCACCGCCACTGTCTGTTACCGGTCTCAGAGAGAAAGAAACCCTTCCCGCATCCGCTCTCTCACGCAACCTCCAAAACGCAACCGTAACGTAACGCACCGCTTGCTGGCTGTTCCCATCCTCATCTTTCACCCAACTCTTCACTCTCGGGCGCAGTCTACCATCATCCCGACCCCCCATCATCCCTCACAGCATTTCATCCGCCTCCGATTCGTCCATAAAGGGCAACTATCTTTGCACACAGGTACGTCAGGCTCCATTCACCCCTCGACTCCACTCCCATTTGAGGTTTGTGTGCTCCCCCGTTTGCTCGCCCGTTTCTGCTATGATCTGCTTCCATATGTCCGCCCGTGCCTTCCCACCGATGGTGTTTCCAGGGCGATGCGCCGGTTCCGCCTTGCCAGGAAGAACAGGGAGCGATGCCTCGTTGCTCTGATTCAAGATGTGCCGCCTGCCCATACCTGCCCTCGTCATGCGGGGCTCAGACGCTGTAGCTTGGCTGCCATCACGCACCGAACTTATCACTGAGGTCACTCGGCGGCTTGTTGTTTCAGGTGCGAGACCCTCGTGTAGCTCGTGTCCTGTCCTACCCGGTCACTCTCGCAAACGTGCCTCGCACCATACACTTGTTTTGGCGCCCTCCCTCTTTCGTTGGCGCCTCTCTTTCTTGACCACATTGGCTTTCAGCGCAGACGAGCCGTTTCCTGTCTGCTTTGTGCCGGCTCTGCTGTGTCTGCCAGATCGCAGGCTCTGTCGAGGCCATCACACCATTCCCTAACTCCCCATCCTGAACCACCCGACTGGCAAGCGCAGTCTTCCGCACATCTTCGCTCTCATGGCCACGACCTATCGAGCCGCACGTTTCGCTGCTGCGCATTCTAGCTGATCCAGACGACTGACGCCTATTTTCACGATCCTCTGTGCGCCCGTTCCTTTGGCTAACTCATGCGACGGCGACGGCGTTGGTTGGGTTATTTTTTCCCCTTTCCCACCTTAATCTGCCCTTCCACTAATAATTTGCGCCTGCATCTCTGCGCGAAACGTCGAAACCGTCATCATCGTTCTCCCTTCCGCACTCTCCCTCCGGCACCGCCTAAATCCTCCGTCCCCCCCTCTCACCATTTTCTTCCCTCTCCTCTCTGCTGACCATCTCCTTACCGGCACCGCTCGTGATCGACATCTTCCGCGGTCTGCCCTACATGCTTTCACCTTCGGCACTCTTTCTGCCCTTTTGCGCACTCTTCTAGCAGCATTTCAGGGTCTCTGGTACGTGGCTGCGCCGTCCCATTTTTTCTTCTTTCCCGCCCTTGCACTTGCGACCGTCGACTCTCAGCACCAGACTCCCGCATCATTGATGTTCCATCAATTTCACAACATTGCTTTGCCCTAGAACAGCTGGCGTAGCATCAGCAGAGCTCACCACGCTCTGGTGCTGGCTGCCGCTCACGCTCCCAGACGAGGCTCCGGTCCGCAGGTCCTCCTGTCAGATTTCCAGCTCGGTCTCTTGTCCTTCCCTGACTCATATCGGAAGCGTTCCGATTGCTCAGAACAAGAGCCGGCTCTTCCTTTGTTGACTGCTGGGCCCTTGTGCTGCTGCGGGATCCGTTTCGTGGGCTCGTCGCTCCATCAGGATCCGTAAGTGTCGGCTCTTCCGAGACTTTTGCCAACATGGCAACCTCTTCGCTTGCTCCGACGGGTTTGACCGCCTCCAAGTCTGGTCTACAACAACAGCAGCAACAACAGGCCCTTCTAGATGCCACGGCTCCCTCCGTCTCGGCAGCCAAGTCGGCAGCTCCCGTCACCCGCGTTGCCATTAGAGACGGAAAGATGATCGGCATCAACGACCACATCTATCTCTCACCCGCATGGGCACCAGGCGCCGGCGAGCCGTACATGGTCGCTCGAGTCATGGAGTTTGTCACCGCAGCTTCCTCCCGCAGTGGTGCAGCAGCGCTCGCAAGCTCATCCGGCACGCTGCAAGTCAGAGCCAATGTCTTCCTCCGCATGCGCGACATCAGCCTTCGCAGCACCAACGATCCTCGCCTACTCGTCGCCACCATGCACTCGGACGTCTTCAGTCTCGAAAACGTGCGTGGCATCTGCGAAGTCCGCCACCGAGACTTGATAGGCTCAGGCACCGCGCCGGACGTCACTCAGTGGAAGAAGAAGGAGGACCATTTCTACTACTACCAGCTCTACGACCGCTACATCCATCGCTTCTACGACGTCGTTCCCACCGAAAAAGTTCAGAACGCGCCACCAGAGGTGCTCACCACGCTGCGTACTCGCTACTCTTTCGTCGTCGCCGAGACCGGCATGATCAACGACCTCACCGACGCTCTTCGAGGATGCGCCGTCTGCCACCGTTGGGCATCAGGTCCTGAATCGGTTCGCTGCGACACTTGCAAGAAGTTCTTCCACATGAAATGCCTCAACCCACCACTCGTCTCCAAGCCTGCCAAAGGATACAGCTGGACCTGCGCACCATGTTCGCGCCGACACGAGCAGGATGTCGAGCTCACTCTACACACGGGAGGACAGCTCATGTCGGCCTCTTCGAGCGCCAATGGCGGCACGTCCAACAGCCAACCTAGGTATCAGATCACAGCTGTTGCCAACAGAGGCCGTGGCGCGCCGCGTGGCCGTGTTCGACAGTCTCTCATCAGGCGAGGCACTGCAGGCAGAGGTGATGACCTGGTTTCAGCGAGCAACACCCCCGACAGCAGCCCTGTGCCCGAAAAGACGAACGACGATATTCGCGGCACACGTTGCTTCAATCGCTGGCCCTATCGCTACTTCGGTCAGCATACGAACGCTATGGACGTGCTTGATCCACATGACTCGGTCTATCCCATCGCGACCACTCGACTTGGACCAAAATACCAGGCGTCCCTACCCACGTGGGAAGAGCAGCAGGAGGCGGGTCTCGGCGTACACTGCCGCACCAAGGAGAAGATCAAGGAAGATGAGGCCGCAGCAACCGCAGCGGCAACAGGCGAAGAAGCAGCGCTTTCAGCGAGCGCAGTCCAGCCCAGCGCTCCACCCACGAACTCACACAAGAAGAAGGGCCGACCTTTCAAGCGCAAGCGTGAGGCTGCCGAAAGGTCCGACACTCCTACCACGGGTACTAGCACTCCAGCCGCTGCGCCTATCCCGCTCTCTACGGAGGATCCCGAATTCGAGCGAGGCGGTGATACGAGCGTCGAAGCCATCTTCTTGCCATCTATGCCAGAGAACGAGCAGGTGCTTAACGCATACGTCCAAGCTGTGCAATCGCACTTCAAGACAGTCCCACCTCATCATGTTGATCTGCTCAATCGCACTCTCAAGACGTTCACCGAAAAGGAAGGTGATCCGGTGCAGGCGCTAATGTCCATGTCCGCAAGCACCACAAAGCAGCTGCGCATCGACCACTGGACGTCCAAGGAAGCCAAGCAGTTCGATTCGGGTATCGCACAAGTCAACTCGGACATGAAGCAGCTCAAAAAGTTCATTCCTAGCAAGAAAGTGGCCGAAATTGTGCGCTACTTCGCCGTCTGGAAGATGGCCAGGATCAAGGCTGACTTCGAAGCGTCGCAGCAGCACCAGCAACAGCAACCGGTCAAAGCGGCGTCAACTGGCTCGAAGAAGGACAGAGCGAATGGAGCCAATCGCCCATCCTCGACCGCCACTGCGCCAGCGGCTCCCAAGCCTACCACGTCGCGCGCGGTCTCGCCCTCGCTGTCGGTATACGGTGATGATGCACCGTCTGGTCCGGCCACCGCATGCGCCATGTGCTCGACCACCTCGAGCCGTATTTGGTACAAGGGACCTGCCTCGCTCGCCAACCGCGTGCTGTGCGTCAACTGCGGTATCTACTGGCGCAAGTATGCTGCTGAGACGTTCAACCCTGACCTCGTATCGGTCAATACACGGAACAAGTCGAACACGGCTGTGGCCGCAGCCGCCAACGCCTCTGGCGTCTCCGAAGACGGCCTCGGGGTGGCACCACCGTCCAAACTTGCTCGCACCTCGCGCGATGGCAAAGGCTCCACGCCGGGTACGAGTCCAGCACCTGCGGCTCCGCCACCGGTGCCGCGCCCGGAACCGCTCAAGTGCGTCATGTGCAAGCGCATCGAGCCCAAGAAGAAGCTGGCGCAGTGCAGGCAGTGTTCGCTCAGCGTTCATCAGGGATGCTACGGTCTGACCGACGCCGAGATCGAGATGGACGTATGGATGTGCGATCCGTGTAACAACGAGCAGACGCAGGAGTCCGCTCTGTTGCCGAGATGCATCTTGTGCTCGACCGCGGCGCAGGAGGACTCGGCGGCCAACTCGGCGAAGCATGCGGCTGCGGCTGGTGGAGGTGAGGGCAAGGCGAGGGGTCGGCCCAAAGCGTCTGCCGTCGCTGCTGAAGATGCGGTCAAGAGGGAGACGGCTTCCACGCCTATCGCCGCCAACGTCATCAAAGCGCCGCTCGGTGCGCTCGACGCCTTCAAGCCTACCGAATGCAACAACTGGGCGCACGTGCTCTGTTCGGTCTTCATCCCCGAAGTGGTCTACTCGGACACCACGCGACTCAAGACGGTCGAATCGTGCGGTAACCTGCCCACCTGGCGCTACGAATCGCTGTGTTGCATCTGCAACACGCCTCGCGGCGCTTGCGTCAGCTGTTCCGAACCAAACTGTCGGAAGACGTTCCATGTCAGCTGTGCACACAACCAGCAAGGCTACACTCTGGCATTTGAGATCATCCCCGTCAAAAGCACGAGGCGCGAGGTCATTCCGACGTTGACGTTCAAAGGTGAAACCGGACACATGGTGCCTCAGCTGTGGTGTAGGGACCACAAGGAGGTGGCCAAGAGCAAGAAGCTGTACGATCTGGCAGAGGTGGATCAGAAGAGCGGATTGACGAGCCTGCAGATGTTTGTGCGGGCCAACAAGAATCTGAACGAGGGTTCGGGTGCAGGAGAATATGCGCTGCTCAGAAGGGCCAAGAGGTACGATTCGTTGCTCGGCGGTTGGGTTGCAGAAGGATCGCCCGTTGCAGGCAACAAGAGTCTGACGGGTGACGGAGAAGGGAAGAAGAGCAAGTGTTGCGTCGGATGCAGGACTGCCTTCTCGCCTTTCTGGTGGAAGCTGCCACCACCTAGCACGTCGACGGCTGGAGGGGATGCACAAGCGGACGCACTCGGAGTCAAAGCAGAATCGACCCAGATCCAGCTCTCGTCGACCACGAAGAAGCAAGGCGATCTGTGTTGCAACTACTGCAAGCAGACGAGGTATCAGGATCGATTTGTTGATGTATAATTCTGCACAGACGCACGTTCACGAACTTGGTAGAATCAAGAAGGAGCAACACAGAGAGATCGTTACTCCGTTCAAAGAAGATTTTTGGCTCCATCAATGTGCGATTAATATTGAAGATGAAGTTTCCGTAGTGCGATCATGTTTGCTTGTCCCGGCGCTGCAGCTCAGACTTTTGCGGCAGGGAAGGTGGCGTTGCGTTATCCTGGTGAAGCGTGTTCATTGAGCACTGGGGGCAGCCGTCGCAGTGGACGGGCTGGCGGCTGAAGCAGACGGTGGTTGTGGCAGTGCGACGCTCGACTCTGTGCCCTTCGATGAGACCGCCTCTTGTGACTCGGGCTGATCCCCGCCCGTCTCCTCAGCCACTCTCCCCGCATCGCTCGCACTGCCATCCACCGCCGCAGCCGCAGCCGCGGCGACCGCGCTCAAGCTATCCAAACTCTGCTGACCCGACGCCTGACCCTGCAGAACACTCTCCTCCTCGTCGGTGGTCAACTGCGGTATCTCGGGCAACGCTGCCAACAGATCATCCGCCTTGCTGGCTGGCGGAGCCTGACCTTCGACATTGCTTCCGCTCAACGCAGCGAGCGCGACCCTCAAGGTGTGGTTGTCCTGCCTCAACCCGTCGATAGTCTGCAACGTCTCGGCGTACCGACGCTTGCACTCGGTGGCCACGTTGATGGCCACCTCTAGACGCGCGGCTTTGGACTCGAGGACCTTGACGTACTTGTCGCGACGTTCGCGGAAGGCGCGTTGGGCGGCCCGGTTCTGTGCGGCGCGCTTGGAGGTGGAGAGCTGACGGGTGGGTTTGAAGCTCGGTGAGGATGCGTTGGCGGCGGTGGCGGGAGATTCTTCGGTGGCGGGGGGAGTGGAGGAGAGGTTCGCTTGGGCTTGGGCGAGATGCTGTTGGTAGGCTTTTTGGATTTCGGCGGGGAGGTTGCCGTCGGACCAGGATTCGGGGAAGGGGAGGTTGTCACCGTTCTGTGCGGCAGCCACCGCCGCTGCGGCAGCTGCTTCTGCTACATCGTGATCGTCATCGTTCCTCGCTGCTTTGGAACCCCTTCTTCCCCTTCCAGCAGCGGTAGGAGAAGCGTGCAGTGAAGACCGCCTCTTGCTTCCTCTCTTTTCTCCACCCGCGGAATCCTCGCCATTGTTGACGGGCAAGCTATCGTGGTGCACATGAGGATTTTCGACGTGGCCATGTTGCTGATGCTCTTGCTCCATTGCATCGCTGTCGGCGCTGTGCTGTTGGTCGTACTGCTGCTGGGAAGCGGCTTGCGCCAGCTGCATGACCGCTTCCATGGCGTGAGCATGGTCGGCATCTTGAACTGCCGCTTCGGCAGGCGCTGCCTCTGCTGCTGGTGGCGCACTTTCGGACGCGTTGGAAATGTGGGGATCGAGGTTGCTGTGCGTGTACTCCGAAGCTGTTTGCAGTATGTTCGAAGGTGGGGAAGGAGAGGTCGATGAGAGAGGGTCCTGCTTAGTCATGCGCTGTCATACCGAAAGGCCACTTACAATTGAAATCGTCGGCGGCCGCATCTTGTTGTTGCTGCTGCTGAGCAGCGGCCTTGGCGTCCATCTTGAATGAGAAGCACTTCACTATTGGCGATGTTGAATATCGGTCCGAAGTGGAAATCGAGCAATCGTCACAGAGTCGCGGCGTCGGAGTGCTGAGAAAATGTGGGATAGCGGCGCGTCGCGAGGGATCGTTTACGCGGATGGATCGTTAGAATGAGACGCTCTGGGAGTCCGATGATAGCAAATTGGTGAGGTCAGCCAGCTATACGCTTCCCTGTGTTTGTCTGAGCTGCCGAGAGCTGCTTGCGGTGATATGGACGATGTTGAGGAAGAGCTCCGACGAGGATGGTGGAGGAGGAGGAAGACGAGGAGGAGTTGCTGAGTCAGGCTCACGCATTCAAGATTGCAGAATGCGAAAAAGGAGGATCGATCCCACGCCGGATCGGGCAGCCTCGCGGTTGCATCTGGCAGCCGCTGAGCCCGCAAGGCAGCAGCGGCACAGCCGAGAATTGAGTAACTGCAGTCTGCAGCCTCGGATTTTATGATGTTCTGGATGCTCCCCGCATCAGCCAAGTTGAGCGTAATAATCAGCGGAAATTGGGCTTTGAGTGAGTTGACTGCTCTGAAGCCTTGACTTTGTTTGGCATTTGCCGAAGTGGCTACGACACTCCCAACTGCACAGCACTGCAGTGCAACTCGTGTCGCTCGACTTAGGCTATCAGACAAGCGAAACCCAACATGGCGGCACGGCGACGGCACAGATAGATTACACACCTCGCCCTCGTCCATCTTGACACTGTCACCTCGATATCTTTGCCTCTACCATCATCTCAATCAAGCTGGCGTCGTCTGGTGCTTCTCTTCGACCGCTATCGCATACTCCTTGAAATTCAGCGCAATCTTGCCCTTGTCGTCCCTCGGAGTTGACATCGCCTGGCACCAGCAACCTCACACCCCTTCCCTACTGCTCATCGTTCAGCTACGTTTGCACTCCCGTACTGTCATTGAGGGCATGGCGATGCTTGCGCCTCGTTGACGGCCCAGCGTAACAGCAGCCACTTCATCCACATTGGTCTCGTAGCGCACCATGCAGAACGCTCGCAAAGACGATTCCGCCCCGCCGCGGTCTGCACACGACTCTTCGTCATTCTCAGCATCATCGCCAATAGGCTCCTCCTCCAACTCGCTTTTCTCCTCTTCACGGTCCAACTCACAGCCCCAAGCCGGCACTGGCTCCCGCTCTGGCACTGACAGCACATACGCTTTCCGTCAGTCTGTCCTCGACATGGATGCCCTTCTCACCTTCACAGACAACGATCGCGACGCCGACGATGCTTTCGATCCCGTCCTCCCCGCCTCAAAGCCACGCTTCAAGCGTCCATTCGGCATGTCGGGTGAACGCCTGTTTAACCAGCAACTCAAGTCCATTGGCCACGCACAGGATCCCAGCCCAACCGTGAAACCATTCGACGTTATCCACATTCCAGATGAGCCCGTGTATCAGCGACCGCCCACCGCAGATGATACGCTTGCGCTTCTGCTTCCTCTTCTCATCCTCCTCTCCACTCTGCTCTTTCTCCTACTTCTCTTCATCATCCTCGTCATTGTCGTTCGACGCAGGGCCCGCATCTCACTCGGTGATTCAGATGGCCCGCTCGACGTTGGTCGCGAGGAAGAGCTCGAAGGTACGGGTGGACTGGATGGCATCGAGCAGCGCTGGCTCGAGACCGTAGAAGATCCCATTCAGCGTGGCTATCGCCGTGCCAAGGACTGGATCCTCGCCTATCCACCAGGCACTCAGTCCACCGACATCACCCTCAGCCAATTCCTCAGCATCCAAGAGAAGGGCGTCAGCGCATGGTCCTTCGATCCAGATTACGAGAGCAACCCTTCCGTCTTTGTCGAGGCTAGGACCGAGATCACCTTCATCGCAGATGGCGAAGGTATGGCTCCACAAGAGGGTGGAGGCGTCTGCGTCCAGAGCAACTTGCCCCTTCCTAAGATCAACGAGGTCTACTACTGGGAGGTCAAGATGTTCAACAAGCCTGACACCACCAACGTCGCCGTCGGTCTTACCACAAAGCCATATCCGCAGTTCCGTTTGCCTGGTTGGTCCAAATACTCGATTGGCTACTTTTCCAGCGACGGCTTCAAATGTCACAACTATCCTTTCGCAGCACAATCATACGGTCCCGCTTACGGTCAAGGCGATGTCATCGGCATCGGCTATCGTCCAAGAACGGGCACCGTGTTTTTCACTCGCAACGGCAAGCGACTCGAAGACGCCTTTATCGGTCTCAATCGCTACAATCTGTTCCCAACGGTCGGAGCTGATGGTGCCTGCGAGGTCCATGTCAACCTTGGACAGGCCGGCTTTGTCTTCATCGAGGCCAACGTCAAGAAATGGGGTCTGGCTCCCATGGTGGGGACGCTCGCTCCTCCACCAGCCTACGGTCAGGAACGTGGTACCATTCTGATGGAGAGTGGTCAGGGTAGCTCGGCTGATGCCAACGGTCAGGCGTCCTCTTCTGCTCCTGCTCCGAGGTCCGAATCGCCGCCTCCACCCATCTCGCCCTACGAAGAGCGATCCCCTTCTCAATCGCACAATCGGCTGCCAAGCCAAGCAAGCACACTCTCGCCGGCGCCTGTGCGCACATCCTCGTTGCACCCCAACCGTGCAGCGCTCGACGCACCGCGTCCTACGAGCAGGGCTTTAGAGCGAGACGATTCGTCCGACGGCAGCCCTCCCAACCCACCAACACCGCATCGCCTCGACATTTCGCTTCACTCGCTCTCTGATACGTCAACGCGAGGAAGCAATGGTCATGCGGGTGCAGTCCAAGATTCGTACTTTCCTGCATCACCTGCTTCGTCTGCAGATGCGCTTCCGCCACCTGCCACGTCGAACCATTCCCCGCCTTCCTACGCAGCAGCGGTGGAGCATGGCTCTTTGGGTGGCACGTCAGCCTCGCACCATCAAGCACGTCGCGGTTCAGGTAGGACTCACCAGCTGGCCAACGCGGTGCTCGGCATGCTGAGCGATCGTGGACTTTTGCAGCCCATCAATCACAACAACCCGTCGCCGCAGCCAAGTCCCAACGTGGGTGGCAGTGGATACGGCGCTTACGGCAGCGGCTACGGTGGTGGATTGTCAGAAGCCGAATACGAACGAATGTTGAGGCAGAACACGGCGCGGAACAGCCGCAGCGGTGCCAGCACGGGCAGTGCATCGTCGACAGCAGCGACAGCGGATTACAGTCTGCAAGGTTGGGCGAATTGGCTAGGTCTTCGTGTAGGCGGCAACAGCGGCAGCACTAGCAGTAGTAGCAGTAGCAGCGCCAGCAGCAGCAGGAACAGTCGTAGTGCTTCGGGTGGGAGAGCTTCGGGAGCAACCTCGACTGTCAGCAGCTCCAGCCGCGCTTGAAGAGTAGGATTTGGAATGTCAATTGCATCACTCTTTTCACAAGGTTTCGAGGTGTCCACGTGTGAGTGTGAGTTCGATGGGCGGTGATATGAGCTTTGGAGTGGTTGGAGGAGGACGTCTCGAGACGACCTTCTTGGAGCGTGAACATGCGTGAGACGGGATGCGCATTTGTCAGCTCGAAACAAAGAACGCACGGGCGATCACACATTCTGACCGCAGAACACATTGCGGTGTGTATAAGAGAGCAAGACCAGGGAGGGTATTGATGAGATTAACAGTATCGAGCCACAAGAGACAATGCAGGGAGTAGGTGGGAAAGGACAGAATCGTGTATGGTATGTGTGTCCCGTTGTCTGCATCAGATTAACAGCAAGAAACTACGTCTTTGTCGTCGATACGTTCTGGGACAACCAACTCAAACCCTCATACAACCCTTCACCGCTAGTAGCGCAACTGGGATGTACGAACCAGCTCCTATCCCTCATCCTATGCAAGCCCAACTTCTCCGTCACCTCGGCCGGACTCATTGCACCGGGCAAATCCTGTTTATTCGCAAACACCAACAGCAGGCAATCCTTCATCTCCCTATCACCGATGATCCTATGCAATTCCTGTCTCGCTTCGTCGATTCGGTCTCGATCTTGACTGTCCACAACGAACACGAGTCCCTGGGTTCCGGTGTAGTAGTGTCTCCAGAGCGGACGGATCTTGTCCTGTCCACCTACGTCCCAGACGTTGAACTTGACGTTCTTGTATTGGACGGTCTCGACGTTGAATCCGACGGTGGGGATGGTGGTGACGGACTGGTTGAGTTTGAGTTTGTAGAGGATGGTGGTTTTACCGGCTGCGTCGAGACCGAGCATGAGGATGCGCATTTCTTTGTTGCCAAAGATTTTGCCCATGGCCCGGCTGAGGCTGGAACCCATGGTGGAGGCGGTGGAGAGGGGGTGAGACGGGGGAGAAAAGGTGCTGGTTGTGGTGTTGGAGAGAAGGTCGCGGTGCTAGCTGGCAACGGACTACGAGAGAGGGCCGCTGAGAGAAAGAAGCTGGATAGGATGGGCACACGTGCGGTGGAGAGTATCAGATGCAAGTCCAAATGTGTGACAGAAGGCAGAGACGTTTGCTGCTGCCTTTGGAAGCAAATCGGGGTTGCGCACTTGTCGTAATGACAGGGATGGCTGTCACCTTGGTTGGCAGTCGAGGTTGCTTGTCTGTTTTGACCTGGAGCGCCCTTGAGGTATCAGAAGGTCCGTTTGAACGAGTGTGTTGCGTGAGACAATAACTATGGTCGCAGCGTCTTTCTACGCGTTCTTCGAATGGTGCAGCAATGCGAGAAAAGGCTGCGAGGGTAGCGATGATGGTGATGGTGTAGACGAAAGGGTTCGATGTCAGCTCGTTCGGATATGTGTGTGTGTTGGGCCAGCAAAGTGTGCGTGCGTGCGTGCGTGCGTGCCTGTTCACGCGACGAGAGTGTGATTTCCGTCTCGCACGCCCTTTTCGGAAACGCCCAGGAGACAGGGGCCTCCAAGCGAAACGCGGGCGGGGTGTAAAGATGAAAGAATCGACAAACCGCTTCGCTGTGTGAGACATAATAATGGTTTTTCTGGAATTTTGACGTTCCGCGGTTAGCCAGCTCACGAGCTCAACACGCGGCGAAAGTTGGCAACACTAAGCGAGGCCACAAGCAAGCTGCGGGGGAATCTGCAAAAACAGCCGCCCGGTCGCTTTCGATTTCTGTGACCGCACGGTGCGAAAAGACGCTACAGATAGATGCACGAAAAATCAGGCGGAAAATTCTGGTGCACTTTATGGCTATCCTTGGTTCAAATCCACAATGTTCACCAGTCGGTCGGTCATCTTGCCTTGTCACAGAACGACAAGTGATCGACGTCTTGCATGACGATAATATAGCAATGGAGTTTTCTTCACGGAGAGGTATACATGCAATGATGAAACTGACGAGTGTCTCGCCAGCTCGAGCTTGTTGAGAAGCTCTGTCAGTAGTAGGTTCGTCCCAAAAACCCTTTATACCGAACCAGAGAGACCAGGAGCAGGGCCAGTCTGACCAGAAGGAACGTTGCCCTTAACACCGGCGGTCTTCTCGAAGGCTTGGACGAAGTCGGCCTTGATGTCCTCAATCCACTCGTAACCGACGCTGACACGGATGAGATCCTTGGTCACACCCGAGCTCAACTGGTCCTCGTCCGAGAGCTGCTGGTGCGTGGTGCTGGCAGGGTGGATGATGAGCGTCTTGGCGTCACCTACGTTGGCCAAGTTGGTGGCGAGCTTCAAGCTGTCGACAAACGCCGATCCGGTAGCAGCGTCACCCTTGATACCGAACGAGAGCACACCGCCGAATCCGCGCTGCAGGTACTTCTTGGCAACCTCGTGCGAAGGGTGGCTCTTGAGACCGGGGTACGAGACCCACGAGACCTGAGGGTGAGCCTCGAGCCACTGAGCCAGGGCCAGAGCGTTCTCGACAATACGGCCCACACGCAGCGAGAGAGTCTCGAGACCTTGCAGAAGCAGGAACGAGCCGAAGGGGTTCTGGCAAGGGCCCAAGTCACGGAGGATGACCACACGCAGGTAGATTGCGAAAGTGATGGGTCCAAAGGTGTCCCAGAACTTGAGGCCGTGGTAGCCTGCCGAGGGCTCGGTGAACTGAGGGAACTTGCCGCTCTTGCTCCAGTCAAACTTGCCGCTGTCGACGATGACACCGCCGATGGTGGTACCGTGACCGCCGATCCACTTGGTCGCAGAGTGCACCACCACGTCGGCACCGTGCTCGATCGGTCGCACCAGGTATCCACCAGCACCGAACGTGTTGTCGACGATCAGAGGGATGCCGTGGTCGTGTGCGACCTTGGCGATAGCAGCAATGTCGTGAACGATGTAGCGAGGGTTAGCGATCGACTCGATGTAGATCGCCTTGGTCTTGGCGTCAATGGCAGCAGCGTACGCCTCGGGCGACTCGGACTTGACGAACTTGGTAGTGATGCCAAGACGGGGGAACAGGTTGGCCCAGGCGTTGTAGGTACCACCGTAGAGGTACGAGGACGAGACAATGTTGTCACCCGTACCGCAGAGACCCATGACGACCATACCCTGGGCGGCCTGACCAGACGAGGTGGCCAGAGCAGCGGCACCACCCTCGAGAGCAGCAATACGCTTTTCAAAGACATCGTTGGTGGGGTTCATGAGACGCGAGTAGCTTTAGTCGCACGAATCGAGAGATGAGAGCAAACAAGATCGTCAGTATCGCCTTCCTGCGCTTGTCGCACGCTTGCCGAGGCAGAAATGCACTCACATGTTGCCAAACTTGCGCAGACCGAAGAGGTCGGCACCGTGAGCCGAGTCATTGAAGGCGAACGAGCTGTTGGCGTAGATAGGGACAGCAAGGGCGTTGGTGGCAGGGTCCACCTCCTGGCCAGCGTGCAGCTGGAGCGTATCGAAGTTCGAAGCAAAGTTGGCAGACATTGTGGGGTGTGTATGTAGAGGAAGGGGAAGAAACGAGAAGACAATGCAAGCAGAGGATGGTGGAAGAGGCTCAGACGAAGCTCGGCGTCAAGCGCAATGTATTTATTGGTCCGTGGACCGACACAGACGACAAAGCGAAGGAACAAGGAAAGCGGAAGCTTTTTTTCAACAGCGACGTCGGGGGATGAGCGGCAGGGCACCGTGTCTGCACACTGCCTGACAAGAAGGTCCAAGGCAACGTGCTCGATGGAGGGTCGCTTGCTTGCTTTGCCGACAGAGTCACCAGACGCAGAGAGAGGGGGAAGGACCACAAAGACTCTAGCTGCAAGTCTCGTGGCGTGCTCGGACAATCTAGCGTACTCGTTTGATCTTCCAATCCTAGTCGTGCTTCCACGCTGCGCCTCCCCTTTTGTTTTGCTTGCTCAAATGCAAAGCCGGACACGTCTTGCTCTGTGTCCCCCGCTGTTTGACTTTTGATCAACGTGACCCACTTTCATCCAGCTAAGTTAGCTGCTGAAGAGGAGCAGAAGCCTGCTCGGCTGGGGACACAAGCCGGAGGCGAAGCCGATCAGGCGCCAGACTGCCGCCTCGAATCTTGTGTTGCTCTGCTGAAGACCGACAAGAAGCTGGAGCAGATCTTCTCGAAATTGGTCTGTGCTGATATGCTGCATGGCCTGTCAGGGTCTGCGCGAAGCGGGGCCATTCAAAGAGGAAAGGATGCAGCAGACACCATCACGTCCACGAATGGCGTGCTTTTGCTTTGCCGGAAGCTGACAGATTTTCTCTCTGCCTTCAGGTTTGTTCTTTCTTGACGAACTAACAAAGGCGAGCAAAATTTGTTAGACCGGCTCGTTTATTTTCCTTGCGTGTTTGTTCGATCTCGCACGGCCCGCTCGCGGTGTCGAAAGTGGTGCACACATGTCCCTTGACACGACTCCATCAACCGCTACCTCATCCGCTCGTTCAGGTCGCTCGTCTCTGCAGAAACATTCCTCTATCCGACACCTGGGATCTGCTGGCCTTTGCGGCGTCGTGGTAATTGCACATCAGACATGACGGATCCTCTGGATCTCTCGCTCGATTTGCTGCGTCGTTTGCCGCCCTCCAAGGTGGAGCAGAACCTCGACTCGATCGTCAAGCTTATCCCCTCATATGCAGACGATCTCTACTCGTCGGTCGACCAGCCGCTCAAAGTCAAGCTTGACCAGTCAAAGCAAGGCTCTGGGCGAGAATACTTGTGCTGCGACTACAACAAGGATGGCGACAGCTGGCGATCGTGGATCTCAGACACTTACCACCCACCTATCACACCGAGCGCTGACGACACTGCCGATGGAGAGCCAGGGACAAGACCCAGCGCACCGCTGAGATCGCTGGAGCTCAAGGCAAATGACGCGTTCGAGACGTACGCGCGGCTCTACTACGACAACGCCCTCTCCAGTGTCTACCTCTGGGACCTGGACAGCGATCCAAGCTCGCTTTCTGGCGCTACGGTTGCAGGCACCCAGGCGCCATCCACGTTCGCCGGCGTAGTTCTGCTGAAGAAGAGTAAGTCTTCCCCGCTGCTGAAGAAAGAGGCTAAAGGCCGGCTTAAGCTGTCACACACCGTTACTGACCACCAGCGCACATCTGCTTCTATCTCTTCGTTGGATGCAACGCAAAACAGCCATCGGTCAGGACGGCAGCAACGGCATTTCTGGCGCCTGGGACTCAATCCATGTATTCGAGGCAACAGAACGCGCCGGCGGCGGGTCCAAGTCTGCCTCTACCGGCACGGGCGTCAGCGCAAGCTACAAGCTCACCTCCACTGTCATGCTTGGCCTCGTCCGCCGCGACGAAGGCGCCGAAGATACATCGGACCTCAAACCATCTTCCACGAAAGTGGGGACCGTCGAGATCGCCGGCAGTCTTACGCGCCAATCGGAAGCGGACTATGCGCTTCCAGACTTTGTGTCGCATGTCTCCAACGTCGGCCGCATGATCGAGGACATGGAGGCAAAGATGCGCAACCAGCTTCAGGAGGTATACTTTGGCAAAACACGAGATGTGGTCAGTCACCTGCGAAGCACGCAAAGCTTGGAGAAGGAGCGCAGGGCGAAAGACCTGCAGAAGGAGCTTATGGGTCTGTGGAAGAAGTAGCGGCGAGCATCGTGAATCAAAACATCCAACCTGCCCATCATTAAAGTCACACACGTTGATCGTTCTTTCGCAGCTGACTCTTCCTGAAAGGTGACCGAGGCTGTCTCGAAGCTTTGTCAAGATGCATTCTTGACGGATGCCGAAGAGCAGGCCAGCCGCGAACCCCTGTCCTTTATTGGTCTAACACGGAACTATTTATTTGAAGGCCCCTGCACGGCGACTGATGCAACCTGATGCAGGGTTCTTTTGTCAGGGTTCCAAGAAGGCGAAATTGTCAGGGCGGTGCACCGCCTCTCCACATGCCAAATTGCGGGTGCTCGACGAACGGTGGAGAACTGAGCTTCGCCTCTGATCGTCTATCCTTGCAGCGCTGTACGGGATTGCGACCGCCTCCCGCACCCTCAACAACAGCAAACCTGCAGCGAGTGACATCCCGCGAATGACCGTAGAGGTCTGAATCAAGAAGCTAGCAACGTAGCAGGCGCGCAGACGGTCAGCCTCTGTTCATTTCGCCACCTCGATCTGCCGGCTGCCGTCAACGACCATCCCAACCTTGTGCAAATCCTCTACGATGGTTCATCCTCTCGTCATCACGGCTGCTGCGACCGCAGGCGTCGGTGCAGCAGTAGCCTTCGAACTCGCCGTCTTCCGGCCCTGGCGCGACGAGAATTGGCCGCATGGCTTTGGCGAAGGCGTTCGCAACGAGTTCCTCAAACTCCGTCGAGAACTTGAGCAGGCAGTCGACGAGATCTCTGGCGACTTACGCACGCTTCGAGACGGTCGAAGACGTGCCAACCAGCGTAATGGCAGCCCGCATCGTCGGCTCAGCGACGATGAGCTGGACGACTTCCGCAGAGGCGTAGGCGAAGAGGCGAGCAGCGAGAGCGCTCAGCACGAATTTGAGATGCACGAACGTCAGGCTTCCGCCTACCGAGATCGACTGAAAGCTCCGATGACCGACAGCCTTACAAGCGGCAGGGATCAGCAAGATGCTACGCTGAGACGAAGGAGACCAGCAGGCGCAGATGCTGCAGGAGAAAGACGATCGGCCGTTACTGTGCCAGTGATCGATTTGAGGAGATCCAAGTCGCCAGAAGTTCCGCATCACAGTCTTGGCGATGACCTGTCGACCTCGTCAAAGGCGAATGACACGACCTCAGCGACGCCCAGTCCTCTCGAGACCATGCTCAAGAATGATTCCGATGGCAAGACATTGGAAATTTCGCAGACTGGGATGATTGGAGACGAGGCTGACAGCGACGCTGCGAGGAATGGACTGCTTGGCCTCGATTTCTGCGGACAGGCGTCGTTATCTCCCAGTCATCAGGACAGCCGAGCCACGACTATAGATCCATTCGAAGATGTGGTCGACGGCACTGCATCGTCTTGGCATGCTGTGTTCAGCGACCGAACGACCGAGCGCGATGCTCAGGACTTGGAAGACGGAACGGACGAGGGACACTTGGTCTTGGACACCAACGGGCTTTCACAAACACTCTCGGACCAGCAGCATTCTTTCCACGACCTGTACATCGATACTCGAGGTAGCAACGCCTCCGGGTCTCCCAATTCCGTGTACCGCTCCAACAGGGCGCTGCACTCCCCAAGCCTATCAGCAGTCCGTACGAGTTCGAACTCGGGACGCTCAGGAAGCGAGCCGGACTTTGAAGTGCTCAGCGATACAGCCGACTCACAAGGAAGGTGGAGTCATGTTGATGCGCCACCCAGCCCGACTATCTCTAGTGGCAGTGAACCGGCCGCTGTGCGAGGTATCGACGCGATGTCGGTGGCTAGCGACGGCCAGGAAAGCTGGGCCGAGCTGAGCGAGCCTGGTTCGGATGGAGATGACGCTGGTCGAGGAGACACCAGAGTGCGCTCTCTACGTGGCTAGTTGCTGACGCTGGAAGCTGCCTTCAAACCTTTGTCGCGATATCGTTTCTGTTCTGTTCTGCCTTGCATTGCATCTTGTATCCGATTGCCTTTCTCATAATCACACACGGATGAGTGAGAGGGTGTTCCTCACTACGAGCGTGGGTGACTGCAGCTAGCAGGAATGGCAGTATCACTGCGAGGGCGGTGGGCAAGCGGAGTCAAAGAGCGCTGTTGCGAGCGGTGAACCGGAACTGAGGATTTGTTTGTATCGATCTCGGAACAGCGGTGCGGACAGAGCGGCAAATTGCCGCCCCGCGGGTTGCGCAACCCAAGACGAATCGGGATCGCCGGTAATCTCGTCCCTTATGTGCCAATTACGACGGCGAATTACGGAGAGAAAGGGTCGGATAGCAATCGAGAGAACGTGCTCAGAAAGCTAGGGCAAGAGAGCTATCCGCCAGACCCCTTTCGAAAACAGACCGAGGCGCTTCCGAACACGAGGCGGGAAGACAATTATCGATTAAAGAAGGTTGCAAAGCCACGTTGTCTCCATGGTTCGAAAAGCATCTCGTGCAAACTTTCGATAGCCTCCTCCGCTAACCTCGCCCAGCACCGAAAGTGCCAGGACAGCAGTGCTCCCCGTATCGAAGCAAAGACATGCGAAGGGAATGATGCGATCGAAAGCGAGCAGTAAGATTGAGTCCAGGACCGATGGATATGCAATCGTCCCGATCCCAGACCTTCGGACCGTCCCGTCCTTCTGAGCGGCAGAATGGTAGCTAGAGCAAGCGCTGCAGGTGTGCATGCGTCGGAAAGGCAGCAACATCGAGACCATCTTTGCCACGTCCACACACAAACACAAACAAGGCACCTCTCAGTCTGAGAATCGTCCTTCTTCATCACGAGGTTTTGATTGGGCGTCGCGATGATATGCGGAGGATCGACTCTGCACAGCTAGAAAGGGTCGTGGCAAGCTTCTTTCGCGAGCTGCAATAGGGGACCGGCGACATGATGAGGGTGGAGGCAGTTTTCCCTTGGCCACCACCGCGAAGAAAAGTTCCAAAATTTGACAAACACCAAAAAATGCAAGTCCGATTTCCTCGGCTAAGTTAGGGGAGTTTCTCGACAGCGTAGGCACTTGGTCAGTGTTGCGCCTTAGCACCCTTCCGCAAGCGGTTCAGTGTCGCTAAATTATGCGGCAAATTGGCTTCCTTGAGTGAAGCAGCAGAGTGTTGCTCTGCTGTTGGCACTGGCCGCTGCGTACGTCGGTGGCTTCTAGGAGCCAATCGCGGCGCTCATGCACGGCGTTTCGAATTTGTGTCTGGACATCCACCTGCCACGACGACCACACAACCAACACCTGCGCACTGACTTTGGCTCTTTTTGTCTCGAATCGATCGGAGGCGGCGCCGAGGCGTGTTGTGTCTCTGCGCCATTTCTCTCATCTTGCTCGCTTTGGCCACCCAGCTCACAGTATCGCCGCCTCGTGCCTCGCTGGTTTGGCATTTCTTCTGTTTCGCCCGCAACGCATCGGAAATCGCTCGTGCATCAACTCACATCGCCACATCTGCACTGTCTCTCTCCTTCGGTCCTTCCCGTGTCTGCCTTGCACTCGCACAATCCACACAGACCAATATATCCTCTTGCATCACTTCACCATTCCTTGTCTTCTCACCACACCGTCACATCCTCGTACCCTTCCCTCTCCTCAGCTAGGATCATAGCTTTCTCGTCGCTAACATGTCGTCGAACGCTACCCTTTCCACGCCCAACAGCGGCGCACAGATCAAGGCCTCGCGCACCCGTGGTGCCTCCCACATCGTAAGTGGTCCCAACACATCTCTCTGCCTTTGGCTGGCGTAGGCGGCGATGCCATCTTCGTCTCGTGCAATTTGTGCTGAGCTGCACCGAGTCCGCTTGGCATGCGTGCAGGCAATCTTCCGCAGCCAAACAAGTTGATACTGACTTTGGTTCCGCTCTCGCATCTCTTGCCGAATTCGCCGCTAAACAGGATTTCAAGTCGGCCACCACCGGTGTTGCTGCCAAGGCCATGCGCAATGAGATCAACGCTCTTGTCTCTGGCATCGAAGACCCCGCTGTTCGCAAGGCCTTCGACGCCGAAATGTCCAACTTTTTCACCCTCTTCAACCGCTACCTCTCCGAGAAGGCCAAGGGCGAGAAGCTGTAAGTTCGAAGAAACAAATATCGGTGTTAGACGAGGACTCCTGACTGACTTTTGCTGCTGCTACACCTCAAATTTCGGCTCTGAAACAGCGTCTGGGACAAGATCCAGCCCCCTTCCCCCGAGCAGATTACCCCTTATGCCGAGCTCCGAAAGGCCACCGACCCCTCGGTCCTCAACAAGCTCGCCGTCCTCAAGCTCAACGGTGGTCTCGGCACCACCATGGGCTGCACCGGCCCCAAGTCGGTCATCGAGGTCCGTGATGGCATGACCTTCCTCGATCTTTCGGTCCGACAGATTGAGCACCTCAACAGCTCGCACAACGTCAACGTTCCCTTCATCCTCATGAACTCCTTCAACACCGACGACGACACTGCCCGCGTCATTCAAAAGTACGCCAACCACAACGTCGAGATCCTCACTTTCAACCAGTCCCGATACCCGCGTGTCAACAAGGAGTCGCTCCTCCCTTGCCCTCGCTCCGCCACGGACAACAAGAACCTCTGGTACCCTCCCGGTCACGGAGATCTTTTCGATGCCATGAACAACTCGGGTCTCCTCGACCGTTTGATCGCTGCCGGAAAGGAGTACCTCTTCGTCTCGAACGTCGACAACTTGGGCGCAGACGTCGACCTCAACATCTTCCAGCACATGATCGACACTCAGGCCGAATTCATCTCCGAGGTCACTGACAAGACCAAGGCAGACGTCAAAGGTGGTACTTTGATCGACTACGAGGGCACCATTCGTCTTCTCGAAATTGCACAGGTCCCCTCGGAGCACGTCGAGGACTTCAAGTCGGTCAAGAAGTTCAAGATCTTCAACACCAACAATTTGTGGCTCAACCTGCGCGCCGTCAAGCGTGTCCTCGACAACGAGGAGCTCGATCTCGAGATCATCGTCAACAACAAGGCGCTCGAATCTGGCGAGGCCGTCATCCAGCTCGAGACTGCCGTGGGTGCAGCTATCAAGCACTTCCGCGGTGCCAAGGGTGTCAACGTGCCACGATCTCGTTTCCTGCCCGTCAAGTCGTGCTCCGATCTGTTGCTCATCACTTCGGATCTGTACTCGCTCGAACACGGCAAGCTGGTCATGAACCCTGGTCGTATGTTCTCCCAGACTCCCGTCGTTAAGCTCGGTGACACGTTCAAGAAGGTCGCCCAATTCCAGAAGAGGTTCAAGTCGATCCCGGAGATGATCGAGTTGGATCACTTGACCGTGCAGGGCGATGTGGTTTTCGGCAGGAACATCACTCTTCGCGGTACCGTCATCATTGTGGCCAACGAGGGTAACAAGATCGAGATTCCAGAAGGAAGCGTGCTCGAGAACAAGCTGATCTCGGGTAACTTGGCTATCATCGACCACTAGATGTCGTTCATCGAAACGATGGAGGACTGGATTTGTGTTTTTTTGATCGATTCACGTAACATTGCAAATACGTTTTCAGCATGTGCAGACCGGGTGGGGAATGCGCCGAGAAAGGGAGTGCTCCCAAGTCGTGTGTTCGAGCAAACTTGGGTTCGGGATCTAAACCAACGTCTGAGCGCGAAAGAGCCGATTCGGGAGACCTCATGACAATTCAGCAAAGAAGCCAGGAGTTTACAGTTGACATTTGCCTCGCTGTGCACCTCTAGAGCAGTTCTAGATCGAGCTTGTACAGTGGATCCAACTGTACGGCGTGCAGAGCGGATCTTGCCGACTCGGCATTATCTCTTGTCTCGAACCTGATCGCTGCTGTCCAACCAGCATCCTCTCCGTCCTCCGTTTTGACGGCATCTTCAACGATGACCTCGACGAATCCTGAACGTGACTGAAATAGGGTCTCCAACACATGCGCCTCTACGCTGCTCGGAACGCCTTTTGCTCTCAACACCACGCCTTCCGTCTTGACCCTCTTTCTTGCATCTCTCTCCTCTCCCTCCACCTCTTCCGTAACCTCTTCAGTGTCGTCGTCATCTGGCAACCCGAGTGCGCGTTTCTCACCTCTCCTGCTGCTGCTCACTTTACTCTGTTCCAGCTCCTGTTCCAGCAGTACATCGCTTCCGAGCTCTCGCCGGAGCAGTGCTTTTGATTTGGAGCCGGTAGAGTACTCGATCTGGAGGGATTTACCGTAGAAGGGGAAGCCTTGGAGTGCGCGTAAGGCAGCGGTGGAGGTGGATACGTTTTCGAATACGATGAATGCCTGACCTCGCATGGAAGGTGCGCGGGTTGCGACGATGTCGAGTATGCGGCCGTAGGTGCTGAATAGCGAGAGGAGCTGAGAACGTAGCTCTGTGGAGAGAGGGCACGAAGAGGGATGAGGGTCAGCAAGGGAAGTGATAGAAAGGCGTAAGGGGGAAGGAGACAAGATGAGCTTACCTGGCTTTTTGATCTTGCCTTCGATGTTCTTGACAAAGAGCGTGGGTGATGGTGCTGCGGTAGAGGTGCTCGCGATGGCACCGTTGGTGGATGTGGTTGCGACAGCCATCGTGTCGAAAGGTATCGAGGTTGCTGGAGGATGTCGGGGAGAAGGATGCTTCTTCACAAGCTGGCAATGGACTCAAGGATCAGCGCGCCGCAGTGACACGAGGATCCAAAGCAGGATGAAATCGACGCTGAAAGAGTGACGGGTCAAGATCAGGTAGCGGGAGCGGGAGAAGAAGAAGTTGATTGGGAAGTGCAGTCGATCCGCATTCTCGTGACAGGCAAAATTGTCGGGAGTCGGACCGCGGGCCAACACCTGATTAATGCAGCGATGTAACAATTCCAATCCAAAATATTCGCACACCAAGCCTCCTCGAGACCTTCTTGTGACACCTAGGACTCTCTATCGAACCAGTCACAGCCACTATCACGAGCACAATGCAGACAGTATAGACGTGTGTGGTCAGAATTTCAGTCATGATAGCAGTTCGACATCAGCGCAACACCTTCTTAATTGTCAGCAACGAGACGAATATCGTACGTCAACTCGGTCTGACTTCCGCTCTTCTTGGCCTCGTCGCCCTCGGGCGTCTTGAACTCGACGGTGAGCGCGCTCTTGTCCGCAAACACGGCATCGGCACCCAGATAGTTGCATTGGGAATCAAAGATCTGCGTGATCAGCTGTTTGTACCCCTTCGCCTCGATCAACAGATGGATGTGAGCCGGACGCATCGGACTTCGATCGAGCAGCTTGAGGATGTCGCCTGCACCGCCGTCGTACGGGATGGGGTAGGCGGTGGGTACGAGGCATCGGAGCGAGTAGTAGCCGTTGGAGTCGGTGGTGAATTTGCCACGGTAGTTGAAGTCGGGCTGGTCCGGGTCTTGCTGTTCGTAGAGTCCGTTGGGGCCGGTGTGCCAGACGTCGATCTTGGCTCCTACCACGGGGGAACCGGTAGCAGCGTCCGAGACCCGACCGTGCATGAAGCAGGTTCGACCCGGCTTGCCTTCGGAGGACTTGATGTCGTGATCGAGAACGATGTCGCTTCCGTTGGGGTACTCGGGCGCACCAAGTCGGTAGAACGGTCCCAAGATGGCCGACTGCGTCGCTTCCAATCCGCCTTCGGTTTTGGCTGAGGAGGAAGAAGCGGATTGAGCTCGTTCGTATGTCATGCTATCGACGAGAGACTCCAATCCGAGAACGTCAGAGATGAGGATGAGTTCGTTGCGTCGTTCGTCGGACATCTTGCCCGAACGGATCAGCAGGTCGCACGCTCCCAGCCACTCTTCGTTGGTGAGCTGAACCTCGCGTGCAAACGTGTGCAGGTGCTTCATCAGGCTGTCCAACACAAACTTGGCGCGTGGGATGGCGGCGGGTCCCGAAACATCTTGGCACGACTTTGTGTAGGGGTCGAGGGTAGAGGAGCCGTTGCCGTTGGTGGCGGTCATGGTGATCTAGTCCTTTTGTGGTGAGAGAAGGGTGAGGTGGTGTACGGGGGGGATTGCCGAATGTAGTCTTCTGTACGGAATGTGAGGTTGGAGGAGGGGGAAAACAGAGTAGCGAGGGAAGGGTAGTATTTAAGGTTTCAACCAGAGGATCGTGATGGGGAGGAAGAGAGCAGCTGTGGTACCGACATGTGCGCTCATGCAAATGTCGCTGATGACGGTCTATGACTTGGTCATCAGTCTTGTTGATTGAATGCTCTTTTGGCTTGCAGATTTGGAGGCACTGTACCCACACGATGGGACACGCACAGATACCACGGCAAGACGCCAGTTGGTGTGGCCCAAAATGCAAGCGCTTCCGAGCAACAACACCTCTCACGCCCACAGACACGGATGTTTCGGCAGCCAATGAAAGCCTGTGCGAGGCAGCAAGGAGAAATAAAATGCGGGGAAGGGGCTAAAATCCGAGGGGGCCGAGGACAATGTCCGTTGGCGACAATTCGCACACCGACGACACTGCATCCTCTTCAGCAACAAGTGAAGCGAGGACCAATAGGTGCGCTTCTATTGGCGCGTTTCCCTTCTATTTGCTAGTGCAGAACAGAACGAGACCCTTCAGGCTCTTATCGGTCCGTTCAAGGGCCGGATCAGATCCGAGCTCGAGTTTCTGTACGCTTCCTTCTGCGGCCGCCACCGACGCTGACCCTCGAGGAAGTCCTGTACGCAGTTGACTAATGAAGCATGTCCACCAAATCAGATGGTGGCACCTGTAGCAGTCGTTTCCGGGTCTCGGCAAGCCTTCCCACGACTTGCGTTGCCTCGTACCACTTGTTTGTCCGTTGCACGCGGCGAAGCTTAATATTATTAACAGTACCGTTGCTCAGCCACTGACGACAACCGGTCCCACCACCCGTGGGCTCTTCTGCAGAAGGGGTCATACACATTCCGAGCGTCGCATCGTGGTAGAAGCTTTGCTCGGGCGAGCAGCGTCGGGCGCCGTATCGGGGTCCACTTCGTACAGAAGCTCACAAGATCGGCTGCTCGAATCAAAAGGTTTTCGGCAATGCTTTTCGCCCGATTGCCGTTTGCCGGCAAGCTCGGCGACTATGCATAGGGCGAGGCAAGGTGAACCCCGCATTTCAGAAGCGTGTGTCGCTTGAATCATCATCCGAATCGTTCTTAAACACCAACATCGTCTCGACTTGTAGCAATTATGCCAGTCTGCGCACTCCACCTCGTGCAGCTGCACGACGCTTCCTCCAGGGGCGTTGATGGCTTCCTCAACAAGCTGTTCGGTGCTACCAGCAAGCCTGACGAGCTGAGTGTGGTCACGGTGAGCCTCGTTCGGTCTCCCATCATTCGTCCTACGCTGGTTGACCACAAGGTGCTTAATGATACACCTTGGACGCTGCTTCTGGTACTCGGAGGCAGCTCGGCCCACACGCTTCCCTCGGTGTTGGCCTCGAGCGTCAAAACGCACTACTCTCTTGTTTCAGGAATCCCTTCCAAGATCGTCAACAACTACGACAGTATCTCTGACAAGCTTCGCAATGTACAACCGCCACCACCTCTGCTCGAAATCAAACTTGACGACAAAGGCGATGTTATCGTCCCCGAGAACAAGAAGTCAAGCGCATCGACACGAGACGATGGACAAGACCTCAGCCTGTCGCCTGCACTTCTCAACCTCGCCAAACATTTGAACCACTCTGCCCACCATCATGGTCCCGTTTCCATGCTCAACCTGCTCCACTTCCACACCCACGAGGGAGCTGTAGAGTCGTATCACGAATACGGACGTCGTTTCGCCACCGTCGCTGGTAAGAGAGGTGGCAACGCCAAACTCGTCGGCATCGTCATTGATCCGCTCAAGGAGCCGCTGAAGGACTCCCGTAAGGATAGGAAGAAGGATCAATGGTGGAACGAGTGCACGCTGGTTCACTATCCGAGCATCAACCACTTTATCGACATGTCGGTCGATGACGAGTACCAGTTCATCAACAAGGAGTACAGGTTGAAGGGGATTAAGGATACCGCGCTCATCTGCACGACTGAGATCGATTCCACTAAGTTCAGGAGGAGTTCGCAGGGGGCAAAATTGTAGACAGAGGCATGCAATGATTCGATATCTTATGCACCAAGAACAATGTGCAATGCTGTTTTGGTTGGGTGGTGAGTTGTCTATGCTGAGGTTTTCGTCCCTTCCACTAGCTGCTGCTGCTGCTGCTGCTGCTTCTGCATCCTCCGCCTCGCCAAGCCTTTCAAAGCCCACGACACGTTCTCGTACACGACAAAAGTGACGCATGTGCCAGGCAGAATCCTGACCAGATTTGGCACCAATCCCTTGTAGAAAGCGCGCGATCCTTCCTGAGTGTAGGTAAGTCGGATGCACGTCCCAATGTCCGGGTAGATGTGTGAAGTGGCATGATTCTGAATCCTTGACCTCACCACTTGGTACGGATAGGTAAGCAGGATCGCTGCGACTTTGGATACACCGGACATGACGATGTATTCGGCATTGCTTAGCTGAATCATGGACGTGTCGACGGGTGCTGATGGAGTGCTGGATTCCAGTTTGCGTGCAGCCACCGATGTTCGCCACTTTTTGAGCTCTTCGTACGCCATGAACTGGATGGCACCGTTGGAGACGCCGAACAGAGCGAGACCGGCACCCTTGTACAGCCCGCGTAAGCCTTCGTTACGATAAATCGAGACGAGGCCGTGCCAGAGACCGCGGTACACCTCTGGAGGTGCTCTTGTTGTCGCTGATGACACTGCTGCTGCAGTCGGTGCCGCGGAATGGGGAGTGGTAAACATGCGCGTTTTCACCACCCAGATCGGGTTCGTCATGAGTGCCGTAATGGCGCCACTCTCCGAGGCTGCGAGCAGATGCTGTCCTGCAGAGAGCTTCTTTGCTTCGCCGGTAGCTGCGTCGTGGGAAGCGTTGGCCGACATGCGTTCCTTGATCATGGTATACCATAGAAAGTAGAGCCCCCATGAAGCCGAGTTGCCAGCAACGTTCGGACTGAGTCCGCGGTACAGACCTTTCCAACCATCCGTCCTGACAATGTCATTGAGCGCTCCAACCATGTCGTTCCCAATTCGTCCACCAAGGGCATAGTATCTCCAACCGTGACGCACAGGTGCTGCGTTGCGAAGAGCACCGTTGCCGCTGGCGGGTGTGTCGATGGCGCGTGCTTTCCCTTTCAAGTCAACGGTCGATGCGGAATTACCAGCTGGTGTGAGTGATGCTGCTTGGGAGTAGATTGGGGTGGCGGTGCGCTGTCGGAACGCGAGTGGTCGGGGGCGAGAAGTGTCGACTTGGTATTTGGTCTTGATGAGATCGAGCGGATTCATGCAAACGGTGGCGACTGCACCCGCTGCGATACCGCCGAAGGCATGATCGAGCGCTGGAGTCGGAAAGAAGGACAATGTCGTGGTCGGCACTTCCGATATCGAGGCTGTTGCTTCCGAGGCACCTTCGCCGACGCCGTTACCGTTTGCCACATCGGTGGTGCTCTGCTTGATGCGGGCGCTTTCCGTATCAAGCGGTGATGGCGGTCTGGCACGAGACGGACCTGCTTCTGCCAAGCTCGAGCTCGCCATCGTGATATGGTGAAGCTTCGAGGTGTCACTGAGGAGAGACCGTACTCTTGGGTATCCTGACTGTGGTGTTGGAAGATAGGTCTGAAACCCTCGAATGTGGAGAGCACCGTTAGCTCTTTCGGAAGAAGAGGAAAGAAACACGCTCAAAATTTCGGCTTTGCCGAGATGGAACCAGGCAACCTGGCCCGAACATTCCGAGTTGTTAGATCAGCGACGGCCGGATTGGGTTTGGAAATCAGTCAAGGTGCTCAGACCCTTTTTCTTAGGCATGCATCCGAGCGACCAAAGGAGAAAAAGTCAAAGTCGGCTGTGCTGACGATCGACCCACCTCGACGACGACGAGAACACCATCTCATTCCTTCGAACAGACGCTTGCTGGCTGTTCGTCGACTACAGCCTCAGCCCGTTTCATCGACACCAGCTCGACCTTCCCATCACCGTGACCACTTTCGATACCTCGGACGGGAGGATCTGCAATTACGCATTTGGAGTCTTCTCGTCAGCGAAGCGTTTCGTCATCAGCACCTTTTTTCTTCATCCTTCGACGCAATGCCTTCGACGCTGCTACATCGCACGCTCAGCCAACGTGCATCGGAGACGGAATCCTCATCTTTGCTGCCGCTCTGGATCATTCTAGGCATCGGTGTAGCGTTGGCCATCGGCTGGTTTGCTCTCTCGTCGTGTCTTGGCGACAATGCTCGCGAAGCGCTGACGGATCGCATTCGCGGCCTTTTCTCTCGCAATCGGAATGGCGGCACCGGGGGCGGGATGGGCGGCGCTAGCGGAAGTCGCACTGCATACGGGAGGATGCGCGACGATGAGGCAGAAGCTTTCGACATCAATGCAGCTGAACACGACCTGTACGACGACGTCGACGCACCGCATCAGCCCTACGACCACCACTCTGCATTTCCTCCAACAGGCGGTGCTGGGGCTTCCAAGTACGATGATCTGGGAGACGATATCTACGATCACCGACGTCCATGATGCAGACCAACGTTCCTGAGCAAACGGCATGCCAGATTTGAAGACCATCGCCCGATTGTGCGACGATATCGACGATTCACTACCTATGGCTGATGTTTCGATGGCGCTCCTTCGACCTCCGCCTTCCGATACAAGTCCGTCGAGACACAAGACTCACGCAAGAGGCTCGGCTAGCAACTCTGTCTGGGCGAGGCATGAGGATGCAGATCTCAGTCAGACAGATGTCAGACCTCCACCTCGTCGGGAGGCGTCAAAACCTCAAAAAATTCGCTGCGGCTGAGTCACGGTCAATGCCCGTTTTCTTTGTCAGTTGGACCCTTGCAGCCTGCAAACACGATGCGAGCATGACAGATGTCACACACAAATGTCATTTGCTTGTCGTCATGGAATGAATCAGCTGCGGTTATGTCGCTCGTGCCGCGGCCTGCTTGTCTCAAAATGCTTCCGTATATATGCTAACCCTGGCAATCAGCAGCCTTGCTCGTCGTTAAAGCACCATCTTCGCATCGCAGTCTCCATCTCAGGCATCGCCACTTTAATCTCTCTGATCCAAGTATCCACACAGCAGCGTACAGTCACATCATGTCGTTCACATCAGCACCACCCAATGACACGGCGGCCGAGTATCTATCTCCGAACAGCATGTTCGATCTCAGCAACAAGGTCGCCCTCGTAACGGGGGGAGGAACGGGCATCGGTCTGATGCAAGCACGAGGCTTGCGTGCTGCCGGCGCCAAGGTCTACATTGTCGGACGCAGGGAAGACGTGGTCAAGCAGACGGCGGAAGTGCACGGCTCGGACGAACGACCGATCATCGCTCTCACTGCCGACGTCTCCACCAAAGAGGGCTGCCTCTCGCTCGCCGAAGAATTCAAGAAGCATGAGCAAAAGCTCGATATTCTCATTTCCAACGCCGGACAGGTTGGCCCGCTCAACGAGGGCTCGACCACCATCGATGCCTCGGGCAAATCGCATCCGGAGCATCGCGAGGAGCGCCTTTCGGCGGACGAGTTTGCTAGCAAGTCGCTCGAGGACAACTCACCCGATGACTGGGACCGTCTCTTCCGCATCAACGTCTACGCAACCTACTTCCTCAATCTGGCGTTCCTACCGCTCCTCGCCAAGGCTTCTGAAGCCAGCAAGGGCTGGTCGGCTGCTAGCATCACCACCGGGAGCATCTCGGGCGTTGTCAAGCAGTCGCAGCGTCACATCTCGTACAACGCCTCCAAGGCAGCGGTCCACCACGTCACCAAGATGCTCGCGTATGAAGTCGCATCCACGACCACGGGCAAGATCCGCATCAACGCAGTGGCACCCGGCACATATGCATCGCAGATGACGGCGAGCGACAAGGATGACCAGACCAACATGTCGAGCCTCAGGGGCAAGATGGATGATATGGCGCTACCTGCGGGTCGCCCTGGCCGTGAGGAGGATATGGTGCAAACCGTACAGTTCCTCGCCAGCTGCCAGTACCTGAACGGCCAGGTCATTTGCGTCGATGGAGGCTACACTCTCACCGAGCCCTGATTGGTTCCGTTGATCAAAAGACGATCGTCAATATGATTTCTTGCCCTGATGATACCAGGGTGTGTCCGAATCTTGCTTTCCATCCACGTGTTGGCTGTGCTCAAATCTTACGATACCGAGGCTTGCTCCTGTTCTGATGGCGAAGAGAGAATCCTTTTCGGCATTTGCGGCAGCTTCGTCGCAAGAGGAATCAAGGCAATCTCGCCGCTAGATTCGTCTGAGCAAGGGCCTCGAGCCTAGACTTTTCCGATGAGGATGCATTTGCCCACGATTCAGATCGGCCCTGCCGCTATTATCGCTCTCGCTGCCCAGTCACGCAAAGATGCCCGTGCAAGCGGAGAAGGGAAGCACTGACCACCACGCAGCTCGGCTGTCATGTGCCTAGCTTAGAAGAGAGTCGGGTCTGCGCCTTCTACCAAATAGGGTCGAGAGAATCACTCAACAGCTCTCCTGCCGAGCAGCTCTCGTCTGAGATCTGCTGCGAGTGAGCCACGCTAAGAAGTGTCGCAACGAAGCTCAAGGTTGCGCTCCCACGCATACTTCAGCTTTCACATCTCCCACCGCTTCGACTCGACTTCACGCCTCAATCCGACTAGGCCAGCGCTCGAGCCATCAAACCTTTCTGGGTGTCTGCGCATGGGCGGAAAAGGGCGAACGGAGGTGGGTTTCCTGCGAGGGGCTGTGCAGTTGGCCAAATTGGCCATTGAAGTGAAGCGCGAGTATTGTACATGTCGGACCTCTTCCGAAGGACAGCGTGCTGCACAGCGCTGGAGCGCCAAAGCCAGGTACTCGCAATGGCTGAAGAGTCGTTGCAACCGTGAGAACCGAACTGGCTTACACTTTGTCTGACGCCACAGCCATCGATCTTCGTATGCTCGATTGCTGCGAGCAAGGAACTGGGAAGTGACAGAGCAGAAGATGAGAGGATACGCTCCAACCTCAATCGGCCATTTCCTCTCATCGGTCCCACGCCCTCGCCAGTTCGCACCTGCTCGGCTGCCTAGCTCGCTCTGAGGCTTGCTCCTCAACTTCGACCGTCCCGCTCCTCCCCCGAGTGCTGCATCCATTTCAGCGCTGTCGCTGCTGAGCCCAAAATGAAATGGCGGCGCAACGAGATGGCAAAGTCAGCCAAAGGTACGAACGCGATCCAGGCTCTGCGTCTTTGTCACATCGCCAGATGAAATGCGGATGGATGCGAAGGCTCGTGACGATAAAAGGGGGGACTCGATGTTGAGCCTCCCCTCCTCCACCTTGCGCATTTACCACAACATCCTTGAGGCTTCTTCGCTTCATTTGGGGTCTCACTTAATCCCACCTCGGTACCACTCCCACTTCTGAGCTCGCTATCGCCATCTTCTTTCTCTCCAACGATTCGATTGAAGTTCCCTACCAACAACAGCCGGAGCTAGGGGACTAAGCTCTCGTTCCAGCTCGCGGCCGCTACTAGTCTTGACCCGGTGGTAGAGCAGCCAATCGCAAGACTTGTTGCGAGTTTGAATCTCGAACAGCAACACAAGGTTTTACCTGACAAACACGACATCGAAAAGCTTTCATTGGCTGTCCAGCTTATTTCTCGCCTTTCCCAGATGTCGAGAAAAGCGCACACTTTCATGTAGCTTTCCCACCGCCTTGCTGCGCAGCCATCCTTGACGACATTGATTCATTATCGAAGCAGGGTGGAAATCTGCTGAAACGAACATCCGTCGCATCTCTGCTTGCGTCAATTGTTTTGGCGTAGTCGCTTACTCGCTCGAAAAGGTCACGCGCGGTGTGCAGACTGACTTCCTGCCGCTCGAGACATTCACGGCCGAGCTCAAAGCTTTGATTGTTGCAGCATCGACAGTGACGTTGGCGTCGGCCTCAACTGAGGGCCTTTATAAGATCCATCGACTTGCTAGTCTCAGCTGTCGCATTCGTTCTGCGCCTCACTCTCGACTGTCAGGGATACTGGCTCATCCAGATTCTGCCGTCTCTTTGGACGAAGCCATCATTGGGTCGCTGGGTCGCTGAGCTCGGTAACGACCAATTCTCGCCCCGAGTCCATCGTCGATAAGACCCCACGTCTCAAGCAAGAGGATCGACATCATGGTCGTCGTCGCCACGCATCTTCCCAGCCTCCTAGACCAAGCGGCCTACGGCTCCCCCCGTTACCTTTCTGGCCTTCCAGCCGATGATGTCTGTGGCGACGGTTGTGGCGATGTGGCAAATCAAGTCCGGGATCAAGATTCAGGATCGGGCAACATGACATTGGACGAAGCTCTTCGAGACGAGGACATGGACGTGGCTCCCGGAAATGGACGGAAGTACGACGAAGCAACGGCTAGCGACCACCTTCCAAGCTTGGTTGGATCGTTTGGTGTCAATGCCGAGAACCAAAGGCAGCAGCTGCTTCGCTCAACCACCGCCTCGACCGAAGCCAAGACCGATCTGAACCGAGCCCTCCGGCAGCCGCTGTCTGTGTCCGATGACGGCAGCGAAGGATGGCAAAAGCATGTTGCCGCCCTCGAAGCCGACGTAGCGGACATGCGGGCTCAAGCATCATCATCCATCGCCTTCAATTTTGACACGCCAGGCAACACAGCCTCGCCAGCCTCCTCTTCGGCCGACGCACCAGGATCTGAGTACGACGAAACCGAGCACGGGCATCGTAATCTTCTTATGGATGTCTCGATGCTAGCCGACTTGCAACCAAAACAGCCTTCGCCCGTGTTCCCGGACCAGCAGGCTGTCGAGGAGCTGATCGACTCTAGCGGACAGTCGAACATAGAAGCGAAGAAAACATGCGACGGATCCAATCAGCAGGTGCCACTGCAGCCCGAAGGCACCTCCGTCTTGGCTGCGTCGGATCAGGTGGACAGTCCTATACAGGGCGGAGCAAGCAGCAAAGCCGGCGAGGGGGGCGATCTGGCCATGATGGTGGACACGGTTCTTGGCGAAATCGAGCCAGAGACAGCCCCGACGACTGAGGCCTTCGATGGAACCGAAGCATTAGCACCTATCGGACAAGCAACAACCACAGATCATGCAGTCTCCCCAGGACGGTCCGAAACATCAATCGCACAGCCTTCACTTTCAAAGCCTCTGGCTCGGTCTTCGGAGCATACGGACGATGACCCTAGCTGCAAGCGGCACAAAGTCGAAGAGGTCTTCCTTGCTCCGACGCAACCGTTTCCTGCGGAAGCCGGTATTGTTGCTGCGCCTGGGAAGAAGCAATCAGCTAAACGGACCGTGAAGCCTGCCGCAAAGCCGAAGGCGCCCCCGAAACCGAAGAAAGAGCCAAGAACAAAAACCAAGAAGGCAAACGGGAAGCCCGAACCAGAACCCGCAGCCGCTCGAGTTGGTCCTAATGATGCGGAGGTCGGTACCGCTAGTGCTCTCCATGATGAAAACGCCGCCGCTCAGGTCATGCCCTCGGCAGGTCCCGGCATCGAAGCCAAGCCCAAAAAGACGCGAAAGGCGCCTGCGAACCCTCGAAAGCAGCCCGCTCGAAACAAAGCGGCGAATGAGGCCGGAGTTCCTTCTGGTCAAATCGACGCTCCAGTGGTCAATACGACAGCGACCGGCTCTCTCAGTGCAGCTCATGAAAGCGAGGCTTCAAAGCAAATTCCAGCGATCGTCGAGGCAGATGAGAAGCTGCAAGGGAAGAGCAAGGCCAAGCCCAAGGCGCCGAGCAAGGTGAAAGGCAAAACCAAAACTCCTGCCGTCGCGGACGAGGGTCTCTTGCCAAGGAGTTCATCTCCGAATTCAGCGGGCAATGCACCCAGCAAGTCACCGCCCAAGCGTGCCACCGCGAAATGTGCAAAAGGTCGTATTGCTCAGCTTCGACCTGCGCAAACCGATGATGCTGTTTCGGAGCTAGAGCTTGAGCCACCGCAGCTCTCTCCAAAGTTACTCACAATGCCCTACCCATTGGACGAGGAGCAATCGGCGGAAACATCGTCGAAACAGGCTGCGTCGCAAACAGAGCATGAAAATTCTTGCACTTCACCGGTAGATGCGTCGTCAACGGATCGGCAGAGAGCGTCGGCAGGTCCACCCGCGCCGAATCATCCGTCATGTACCGGAATGTATACGAGCTCAAACGTGTTCATATCGATGCCGCCACCGCAGTATCCAGCCCAAGCTTATTGGCCCACCCGAGCAGAAACCATGCAGCAGCAGAACCGCGGTTTGAGTTCACTCACAAACGCAGCGTCAGTGGTAGAATCCGAGCCGCACTGGTCTTCCGAACCGTCCGTCACTGTACAGGATTCGAGTGCTTCAACTACGAACGAGGCCATCAACGAAGCTACGAGCCCCACAACAGTCGACAACACGGCCGCAAGTGGAGCAGACGATGATGCCTCGGACACTGCGACTCACTCGACTGCCGGATCGTTCCACAAGAGGGAGCTCGATCCGCGCGTCTACCCAGCGGGTTGGAGATTTCCGCACTTTGACGTCATCGACCCGGATGTTTTGATGACATCGATGCGAGGCAATACCGTCTGGACTTTCTGGGACTGCTGCCTTCCCCTAGGATGCCGAGACCAAGATATGGTGGTGCTGTCCAACGACAACGTCGCTTTTCCTTGCGTGGCTTGGAATCCGTGTCTGTTTTCAATCATGCTTAAGCGAGTAATCAAGAACCCCAACCGCGTCATTGCTCAAGTTCTGCAACGCAGCATTGAGGAGAATCGCCAAAAGCTTGGATTCAAGCCGCTCCCCTGTATCTGGGTCGACGAGGATTGGCGCGCAACGAACTTGCTGCTGTCGTTCGTACATCCGATTCCAACCATGTTCCTGCCCGACCGCGCAACATGCCGCATCGTCATGGATCTCGGACTGCGATACGGGATCGAAAAAGCAACGTCGACGGCGACGCAGAGAATGCATCAGCTCGACGAGGAAGACAGGGCGGCGAGGTGCAAGGGAAAGGGCCGAGCCCGAGAAGAAGAGATCGTCGCAGAGCTGTCCAAACGTGCTGCCTAGTTGAGTGGCTTCGATCACAAATGCCCTCTCACCGCGATCAACGATCTTCTCATCCCTTCATCCCCTTCACGCTTCACTTCGGCATAATCGTGTCATTCGCATATCACACACGCGTCCACTTTCATTGTTCCGCGCTGTGTTTCTCCGAGATTTATTGACAGGATCTTGAGACACAGAAACCAAAGCACATAAAGAAATGCGACGAATCTTGTTCCGACAAGCGTCTGGCCTTGACTGACAGACCGCGTTGAGATCTCGCCGACCTATGAGTTCTGCACGACGCTAGTGAGAATGTTGCTGAGGATGCGAGGAATGTCCTTGGTCTCTCTGGCGACGTGTGTCTGGGTAGGAAGCTGCTTGGCCAAGTGGAGCGCCTCGCTGCCCTTGTCGATGAAGATGAGCGAGGTCTTGACCTGAGGATCGAGACGAAGCAGTTGAGCGAGACGATGGTGGGTGATGCCGTAACGCGAAAGATTAGCATCCGAGAGGACAATCACAAAGTAGTCGTCCATGGGTGAAGTGCTGGGGTCCTCCTCGACGATGGGTGGTGCGCCTGTTGCTGTGGTAGGGTCGACTTTGGTGGATGATTCGGCGTGGTGGGTGTGACGTTTGACTTGGCGGATGGATTTCTCGATGCACTTGAGGGTGTTGTCGCCCGAATCGCAGTACTGCGTGTGGCTGACGACGGCGCGCAAGATCCTGTACATGTCGCCATCGGTCTTGGGCATCCTTCCGACTTCCACCAGCGGGATCATGTCCATATCACCACTGTGACCAACGATATCGACTGCGAATCGCTCGGCGGCGTCCTCCAATCTCGAAAACGCCTGCATCACCATCAACGCCACCTCCAACTCGCGCTCCAATCTTCCATCGTACTGCATGTGGTACATCGACGCCGACAGATCGAGGACGATTCGGATGCGCTTAGGTTTGATCTGAGGTGCACCCGGATCAGGAGGCATCTCTGCTCTCCTCTTGAAGATCCCCCGCTCGCCGGCTAGTCCTTCGGACAGTCGACGCTCGTCCAACTCTCCTTCCTGCTGTCGGGTCAACCAGGAGCGTTCGTATCGATTCGCTTTGAGGTCGTTCAGTACGTTGGAGAGGTGCTGGACCTGCGAAGCGACTTTTTGCTTCATCTCGTGCAGATTGACGGCTTCGTGCGGCTGCATCCCGTTCTCCTTCAGCTCCTTTTCCAGTGCTTCCCGAGCCATCTCTCTAGCTTGCTTCTTGAGGTGTTCGGGAACATCCTTCTTCAACTCTTTGCTGATCTGGTGGATCTTGTGACCTGTGTACTGTCGACCGTAACCACCACGTCCACCGAGACCCATGGTATCGCGTCCACCAACGCCGCCTTTCCAAGTGTTTCCTCCGACGTGCGCTTCGTTGTTCGGATCAACTTTGCCTTCTTTGGGCTTGTTGAGATTTGTCGCCCGACCGGCTTTGGTCGGGTCGTAATCCTCTTTTCCAGGGTGGAATTCGGGTTTCAGACCGTCCTTGCCAGCCTTTTCTGCCTGGCGAATTCGTTCCAGATCCTGTTCGCGTAGGACGTCGAGCGAGAGCTGTTCGATGGGGAGGTTGCGTTTTCGGAGCGTTTCGACGACCCATCGAATGCTTTCGGGACGGTGGAGGTCGAAGGCGAGTGTGTTGAGCAGGACAGAGGACAGAGACTCCTCCGGATACTTTTGCATGTGAGCTACGAGGTGGAGAAGTTCTCGGAGCGAGTAAGGGTGGTTGATAAGTCCCGATTCGAATCCTGCGCGAAGGTCATGGAATGCCAGGTCCAGTCGGCGCAAAAGATCGACGTCGACATTGGGTGCGGCTGCTTTCAGGAGTCGTACTTCGGATTCGATATCCGGGTTCGCAACGGCGTAACAGCTGAAGCCTTCACCGATGACTTCGATAAAATTGTTTCCGAAGAACGGCCAGCCCGGTCGGTTCGAGAGCAAGACCAGACGGAAATCGGGGTGAACGAGTATGTCACCTCCCAGAGACGCTCCATCGTCGACTTTCTGCTGCACACGCTCTCCCTTTCGAGCAGGGCTGATGCGTCTTCCATCCGGCAAGCTAAGCTCACCCCTCTCCGCCAAACTCTTAAACACAGCGGAAACAGCCGTCGAGCACTTGTCAGCTTCGTCCACCACCAGGATCCTTCCCAACTTGACAGCCCTGACGAGTGGAGAATCGTAGTAGTGGATCTGACCCTTTTCCAGCGCGATCTGCTGGAGCAAGCCGGCGACGGTGGAATCGCGATTCATCTGGATGTACTCTCGTGGTCGACCGAGCAGTTCGAGCGTTCGATCGATGATCTTGTTCTTGCCCGTGCCCTGCGAGCCCATCAGCAAGAGATGCTCGTTGAGCAAGACTAGGTCCTCGGCGAAGGAGCAGATGAGACTGCTCTGCTGGGCATTGTTGTAGAAGCTTCCACCTAGATCGGGAATGAGAGTCTTGCCTTCGGGATCGAGCTTGTCGGCGTTATAGCGTGGGATGGAGCGAACGGGGTATTCTCGATCGGAGCCGTCGGATGCTGCGAATTCAAGTACGCCTGCTCTGTCTGCGCCAGCTGCGACGATGTTCGGATCGCCAATCCACAGACGAGGGACGTACTGGAAGGCTCCCTCTGTACCCGGTTTGTAGATCCCACATTCGGTGAGGAGGTTGGCGATCACCTCGCGCACGGTGATGGGTAGGAAATCGACGAGTAACGTACGCCAAATGAGACCGTGGACGTCGCAGTCCTCTTGCCAGCGAGCGAGACGCGATGCCATACGAATCACCTGTCGTGTACCCAGTCTTCGCGATTTGGCGAGGCCGAGATTAGGATCGGCGCTGAGCGAACGGTAGCGGTTGACGAAATGGAACATGCGCTTCATGTCGGACGTGGGTGCATCGAGACCGACGCGGGAGAGGACGATGTGTCGTTCTTCATCTTCGTCCATCGCACGTGTGCTGCAGATGGCGAAGAGGGTGGATGCTTCTTCGTCCAACCAGCCGGTAGATTTGGATGCGGTTGCGACGACGCGGAAGGTGGGTTGGATAGGGACGATTTCGCCTGGCGCGATAGTCGGTCCATTCAGAAGATCCGTGGACGCGATGGCTTTTGCTTCTCGCGATCCGGTCACGCCTTCAGTCATGCGGGCGCCATTCCACAGTTCCAGTTCTCGGTCCTGCAGCAGGCGCGAGAGACTTCCCAGGGTAGGACCGAGGACATCGACGCCAGCAAGGTGGATGAGCTTGCCCTGCATAGCTCCCCGAACCAGCGGAGCGGGCTCCCACGTGGTGCTTCCATCCTTGGCAGTGGAGCGACGCATGAGGAGCTCACCACCTCCTAGATCCTTCCACAGCCACACGGACTCGAATGCATAACCCAGAGTAGCTGCCATCAATCCGATGCAAGTTGTCGTAGACGACGAGGGTTGGTGCGCCGCTGCTGCGAGCGGGTCAGACGTCGATGCGGCTCCTGGCTTGTCAGGGACAGCTGCCTTGTTGGCAGGTACCAGACAAATGTCTCTGCCGAGCGCATGGAGCTGCAACAGACGGCTGTAGATCGAGAGCACGCGCGGAGTGACGATCAACTCTTGTCCCAAAAAGGTCGTGTCACCAAGGCGAGGTACGGGTGAAAGATCCAGTCCACCACAAGGCGCCTCGATCGTCACGTTGGGAGCCGCACCGGCAACGTGAGCGAACGTGATTGTGGCGCTGGTGGGCGAGGATCTCTCGATGCTGTCGACGAGGTAGCCCATGAATCCTGTTGCGGCGAGAGTAGCCTGATCAGCCCCTTCACCTTGATGGTCGTGGATCTGAAGCTGGCCGAGAAGCGAATCGAGCGTTTTGCGTTTCTCTTGGTCCAGAGCAAAGACTTGCGGGTAGGCCGAGCTGAGTAGCGCCATCGTGGATGCGCTAGTCTCAACGTCCTTGGCTTCCTCAGGGAGGTCGCGTGGCCATTTTGGTAGGACCGGATCTGCTTCATCGAAGTCGAGGCTGGTCATTGACGATGTCGGTGGGAAGGTGCTAACGATGTCGGTGAGCAATGGAAGTGCAGTCGTAGGCAGGCTGGGAAGACGCGAGGTGGGTGGGATGACGTCGTTGCCTTGGGCAAGCGTCGTGTGGTAGCGCAGGAGGGCTGCCCATTGGCTCCAGCGGGAACGCAGCTGTTGTGCATCTTCCGACAGGTTCTCAGGAAGGGGAACAGTCGATTGCACCGAGCCCTCAATCCATCTCGCCTGGAAACGAGATCGGAAGGGAGGGTCCAAGGGATAGCCACGGTACGGAGGGACAGGTACACCAGTGGCAATGACACGGAAGTTGGGATGGACGGGGATGAAACGACTCGATCCACCCTCTTTGTGCTGAGCTTCTTCTTGTTGGAAAGCAGCGAGCTTCTCTGCAGGAATCAGATGGCGACCGTCTGCAAGGTTCTGCTCTCGGTTCTCGAGAATGTTGTTGATGATGGGCGTGACGCCTCGCTCGGCCTTCTCGACACCTTCGAGGATGAGAAGGTGGCCGTTCTTCATGGCACGGATCACAGGACCGTCTTCAAAGACGAGGTTGCCACCAGCTGACAAGCTTCTCGTCTGAAGCAGTTCCGCTTCACCAATGTCACGATGAAACGAGACGTATTCGAACGGTAGCTGTATGAGCGATGCAAAGGTGAGACTCAGTCTGCGGGCGTATGGACCGGGAGGAGAGAGCAGGAAAACATCTTGGCCCAGCTGCCATTTCTTGGACAGAAATTCGAGGTGTTCAAGGGCGATGGGGTCATCCAGGTTGAGCAATAAACGATCTGAGGGCAAGCGCGCGGGCAGTTTGGGCTGGAAGACAGGGATTGCGACGTTGGGACCAAGAGTGAAGGTGCCGAGCTTTTCGCGGTCATCGTTCACCGCGCTGTCCTGGTTCGGCAACGGTCGTGGCGATTGTGATTTCGATGAAGTTGTAAAGGGTGCGACTTGCTGAATGTGACGGCCGATGTTTTCAATCCTGCGCTTGCCTGCTGAGGCAGGCGAGTTCGAGTCGTCTGACATTGCGATGCCACTTCTGTATGGAAGAAGGAGATGACGCCTGCTCGTCGGCAGCGAGACCGGTGAGCGACTGTGGCTACGAAAGGTAGCACGGACGAAGTTTTGTGAAGAATAGTGCTGACCTGTGGTACTGCGAGTGAGAAAGCCAGAACCTCGACTTGACAGCCACTGGGGCATGGAGGCAAGACGGAAGGGCGAGTCAATCTATAGCTTAGCTGCGCTCGCCGAGCAGAGCTGGATGCGATGGCCCAAAGCAGGATCTTCTATGGAGTGAGTGTCAATGTAGGCGGGAGAGACGATTAGCAGGATCCGGTTGTGAAACGAATCTTCGGCCCGGTTTCGAAGGTCGTGCGCGGAATTGGCAATTCAGGTTTTTCCGAGCGGCGCCCGAAAGTGGCGGCGGACGGCAGCAGATCGCAGATCTGGAATGTGTCACGTCTTCTCTTCCCCAGACTGGCACCCGCATTCTGTCACTGTCGTCAGCTCCTACTTTCTTGCCTTGCTTTCCTGCCTCAAAGACGCACAACCTTGAAGCTGCGCCTTGCCGCCAGAAGGTTGCACTTCTGACAGAACGATCATTGACTCGGTTCTGGCGAGCCACTGCTATATTTACGGCAATCAAATTCGGCCTACAACCACGCGAACCGCGGATCTTCCCCGGCGTGCAGAAGGCAGTCTTGAGACCTGGTCGATGACACAGTATTCTGATCTCTTCGTGCTTTTCTGAGATCTCATCCTGCGTCCCTTACGAGCCTTCACTCAAGCACAGGATCGGGTAGTATGGCAAAATTTAGAGGAAGAAAAAAGAGTCCGGACAGCCGGAATCGAACCGGCGACCTATGGTGCTTTTCCGTTAATACCGGATTAGGGTTTCCAATTACAAACCATCGCTACTTCCAACTGAGCTATGTCCGGTACACCATGTGTGCACGATGAGTCCACCTATGCGTATATATTCCTTGTCTTTGACGGATTCATGATTGCTGCTTCCCCAAGACTCGACCTCAAATATCTCGATCTGCAGGCGTGTGTGGCGCACATAAGCGCAACGGAAGCTGTGGGATGTTCTACGGAGGAGGGAGACTGAAGTGACTGGCTAATGCGGTTTGAAAACAAAAGACAGCACTTCGAGAAAGCTGGACGGTGAGCTTGAGAGGGAGACTATGGTGAATGACGCACCTAGGAAGTGATTGGACCCACATAAGTCGCTTCGTGATATCAGGGTTGCTGTATCTGTACATCGATATGATTGCTGTGATGGACTGATCTACAATGGCCGTGGGAACGGGAGGGGTCTCGATTGCAACATGGTCTCGATCTATCCCCTACGCCGACGTATCTCGATCTGACGACGCAAACCTCTATTCTCCGCTTCGAGCCGGGAGTTGAGAACGGAAAGGCTGTCTCCCGCAACGTCACCGTCAGCAGAGCTAAGACTCGGTGTGGCGTGGCGATAAAATTGTGCTGCAAGTCCACGGTGACTTGTGCCGACGCGACTCCGATCGACTGACGTTGTAGTAGGAGTGGTAATGGTGGGCAAAGCAGCACCTGCGCGGGTTCGGTCGAAGTGACTGTAGCGAACAGATTCCAGCTCACTGTGACGACGAAGCTGCGCGCCCGAGCATCGCTGATACGTACCATCAGGTAGCGTCCCGCCCAATCTGGTCATTCTCGAAGGCAATGCCGAGCTGGGACGCCGGTAGAGCCTCGGAGACGCGCTCAACGTGACCCAGACTTTTGCGGCTGTTCGCGTTTGTTCCGATCCCTGCGACCTACAAGCATGGATCCCAAAGACTGGCTGTACTGTCGCAGTCACCTGCCTTCCAGCTATGGGAAGCCTGATAGTCTGAGCAAGACAACCAACAGCGGCTTCGGCAACCACATGCAAGAGTGCAGCTAGTCTCGGCTCCTCGACCAAGCTTTGTCCGAACAATGGCAGACTCGCTCCTTTGCCTAGCACGGCAATTGTAGCACGTTCCTGAATTTCAGCTGGGGATGCCTCTGTGCAATCGTGCCAGATGAAGCAATCCCGCGGCAGTGAGGTCCGTAGGATGAGTCCGTATCGAGACACGAGCAAACGCAGCTCAGCGTTATTGCCCGCCATGCTTCGACATGTGTAGCGAAGCGAGGATGGGTAAGGGTCGGTCAACCTAGGATGCAGAGGAGCGGTGACTATTGACGGAACGGTCAGTGTTTTGACGTTTACCATGAAATATGCATCTTGTTCGTCTGAACTTGTTCGGCCTGCAACGATCGTAAGCTCGATGAGGCCCTCATCGGCTTGTCGGCTGCGCTGCTTCAGCACGAGTTCCTTCCTGGGGGAAAGGCAGACGGAATCCAGATGTTCTTGGCCGTGGAGAAATAGCCGTCGAGACGTCTCCGCCTTGACCTCTTGACAAGCCTGCTGCCAGCAAAACACAGCATGCTCGTCAGCCAGCAAAGTCGAAAATGTGACGTTTCGGCTATTGCCGAAGCTCGGCATCCAGCAAGTGGGCCCGAAGTGGTAAAATTCATCGCAGGTTGCTTCGGATAGCATGTCGGCACATGCCATCATTGGAGTACTTGAGCAAATGACGGTATCATTCGCATCAACGATCAGTATAACGTTGTCAAAGCATTGTGGCAGGCCCCGCGCAGCTGTGGTGTCGCTCTGCAAAGATAAAAGTGGAGATATCTTGATGTGCGGATCGATGCTGCGATGAGTTCCTGATATAGTGAGGCCAGCAGCGCTGGAGGCAGTGTCCATCAACGCTTCTCCGGAGGACAATGATGAGTGCCCAAGACCAAGCGTTTCACCGAGCCAGTCGGTGTGTGCATCCATCACGAGCTGTTTGTATGCTGGTGTCTGCTGTGACCCAGCCCCTTTTGCCTGAAGAGGTGTTCGCAATGGCGAAGTTGATGACCAGGATTGCCATCCTGACGGAGTGCTTGATGAACCGCAGTGTGCAGCCATTGCAGGAAAATAAGGAGGGGAAGACCTTGAGGCTAACATCGCTTCGCTGAGAGACCAGTGCTGGATTCCAGGCAATGTAGCTGACGGTAGATATGAGGAAGCCAGAATTCTTCGTGGGACGTCGGAGGAGGATAGACCAAGAGAGCGTCCACTGCTCTCTGTCAAGGACGAAGCAGAGGATCGTTGGTGGCCGACAATTAGATTTTGAGTTGCCGGCCAACCGTATGTGTGGCCGTCGAATGTCGACACCACGTCACTGGTTTGATCTCCTGCCTGCTCTGGTACGGAGGGCAGACCGGAACCCGCATCTCCAGCTTGTTCAGGGCCCTTCATCTCTGCTGCATGAAAAATTGTATTTTTTGTCGTCATGGCGATGGAGCACGCAGGAGTTCTGAAGCATGGCCCAACTGCACTTGTCGTGGTCTAGTTGCGATGGCGACACCTTTGCCAGCTTTCCACTGTTGGATAGTGAACACCGTTCGATCCCGCTAATTGGGCAAAGAGTAGCTGATGAGTCTGTCCGTTGGATCTCAAATTCGCTTCAAGATCTTGAGTAAGTGTCAAAGAGTAAGTGTCAAAGGGAAATCCAGGGAGCGCGGCCGCAGTAGAACTCAATCCAGGGAACTTATATCGCTGAAACGCGCTGTCTGTAGCCTCGATCCCGATGCTGACGGTCCTCGTATATCCGGAGTAGTCAGCGTCCGGTCAGATACAGGTATCTATCTGAATGTGTACTGCTCTGTACCCAGGCAACGCAGATCCGGTCAACCGTGGAGCAATATCTTGCTACTCTGCTCGAGTCCGCAAGAGATGTTTCCGAACGTTTGAGGGCTTACAACTCTATGCAGAACAACAAAGATCCTTGGATGCTTGAGTAATTAGACATCAGCCATTAGCTTGGCAATCCCTTCGTTTCGTGCCAGGTCCAGCGAGAAACATCAGCCGCTGTCGATAGTCTTGACTGACGAGCGACAGTCGCAACATCATTTCACTGGACTTTAGGTTGGTTGACTGAATAATCGGGACAACTTGTCCATCTTGAGGCAACCACAATCATAGCCTTCTTCATCCCATCTCCCTCGATCAATCAATGGGACCTCAAAGTGTGGCACTGACAGAACCTTACTCCACGGACACTGTTGCGAAAATCGACCACAGCGATTAGATTGAATCGAACCCGATTCGTGGCCAACATCCAGGTCATGTTGTGTCTGATCGGTTCGTCCTGCACAGCCTGTGAAAGTGTGAGTCTTAGACGTTGTTCAGAAAAGAGGATGCCGGGCAGATAGCGGCATCACTTCGATATTCAGACAATGGACAGCCGGCCCCTCGATGCAAGTACAATGACGGACAGCAGCAAGCCCCTGTACTTGTCCCAGCATTCACAGTGACACCGATCGAGACGTCCTGCTGCCTGATGAAGGACAGCCGCGTATCGCGAAGTCCACCCCAGCTTCTGCACGTTTTGGGCGTGAGCAGAGTATAGAGACAGCTGTCACAACCCGTGTCCATATTGCTGCGGCCAAAGTAGAGGATTGAGGGCTTCCTGACACCATCTCACGTCCGGTATCGGCTCGCATCGCCATCGAGTCGAGGTGCGAGATCTTTCATCCACAAAGCCGATCGACAGGAGATTCGATCCTGGTAAGGGGGCCAAAGGTCAACACGTTGGTCTGCTGTGCTGCGATGCTGATTGATTTGCCATGAGCTGTGACACACTTCGTCTGTCGTAAAACAACAGCAAGGCGCGCTCATTGCGACAGAAGAGCTTATTCAAAAGCTTAAAGTTCGGACAGAGCGCTAAGATGCGCTATGAGCGAATTTTTGAAAGTCCGCCAAATCACAGTTTGGCGCCCACTAGGCTCTTTTCTCGATCGTCATCGCGGATCGACCATCACATTTCGTTGAACCACGACGACACTCCTCGATTAGAGCTGCACCTCCAAGGTTTGCCTCACCGTGTTTCCGAGACAGATACGAGCTCCGACGTTACACGAGGCGGTACGTGCATCGTTGTCAATTGCAATATTGAATCACTTTATGCAGTCGGATCAGTGGGTTTTGCGGAGATGACAGAGCAACAAACATGATACAGCTCGCTTATGACCGACAATGTGTTCCGTGGTAGTTCGTGATACCATCTCCCATGTTTACCGCCAGAGATGCTGTCGGCTCCACTGGTTCCGTTCACCGGTCTCTCGCTTATGCCGTGTACCGTATGTGCTGGTAAGGATCAAGTTCCGAAGCAAAAGCCGATGCATGGCTGAAAAGAAGTGGGAAGTAGGATCAAAATGGTCCGGCCACAGGACACTCGGGATAGCGGGCTCGGATAGCATCAGAAGCAGGCTGTCTGCCGAGATCGCAAGGTTGCCAAGAAGACGCTTTGTCCTCATCCGACTTTGAAGACAAATGATTCCGGTAGGGACGAGTCTCGCACCGTCCAGGTGTACCCCTCCTTCGGATGCATGTATGCCAGCCCGAGCCGAATCGAGCTTCAGTTGGTCAGTGGTCGGAGCAACAATGACACGGTGACGGCAAAGACCACTCGGAAACCGGCTTGGCGGACTTGCGCAGATCATCAATCTAAGGTTCCCCACCGTGTCAACCACGCTTTGAGAGTTCGCTACGACAGACTAGCTGCGAACAGACGACAGAATTTCGCTTTCCGACAAGTGTCCTTTTTTCGTACGCTGTGCAGATGCCAACACACCTGGCGTGGATCTCTTCGAGAGAGATCAGTCTTTCCTGACCAACAATGAGTGAAGGAGGATGAGCTGACCGTGGTTAGCTGTTTCTCAGGACGCCGAACGAATTCCGTTGTGTCCTTCGACTGTCGCTTCCGAAGGTAGACCACGTGAAGACGTCTGTCAACCCGGCGAGACGACGGAGGAGCGTGTCAAGCGGTGTTTGTTGCTCTGAGTCATCAGCGACATGCCCACCAAGGACAGACTCCGGATCACGGAACTAACCTTAACCGGCAGGAAGCGATACAGACTGTTGCAATACGACACTGTAGTCCTGTGATCTGAAGGGGAAAGAACTGTCTCAAAATTTCCACAATGGCAACTCATTTCGAGGTGCAATGATGTCAAACACAGTAGACAAATTTTCGGGTTTTGCTTTCCAAGCGCGCGCCAGTGAACACTTTTTGACAAACTCCGACCATCACCAGACCGCAGAAGCAGCTTTGAAACGCCGTGTCTTTTTTTGTGCAGACGAAGCACGGGAACATACAGCCGCATCGGCTCAAGGATCCATGTGGCCTTTGACGAAAAAACGGGCATCCAGGGTGGAAAACAGCGTGGCATGCAACACGCAACAGTCCCGGAGCACGATGCGTAAAATGGGTTTCGGCCAGCTGGCGGCATAGGAGCCCTAAAAAAGTTCGCGTGCTTCGGCTGCACTACAAGACGCCTTTCTCGGTTAAAGCTGATCTTCTGGCGAAGTCCACTTGCCGACAGGCTTATTTCCGCAGGAATGCAGCCGAGCGACAACGTGTTTGACAATGCAGCTGTTCAGGAACACACGAGCCGTCAATGTTGGGCCCTGTCTCTGACAAGGCTCGCCCGGCATGCTCGGGTCGCTCGGCACCATAATTTCGATGCTCGGCCATTCGCCGTACATCTGCTTCGTAGGACGAGACTCGATATATTTCTCCTCACTCTGACAAGAAGGCGCGAATGATTGAAGGTTCCCACCGGCGCGGTTGATGGGACCGTTTCAAGGGAAGGTCCGCCTTCGGCATTTGCTTGCAATTGCATCGGACGTGTCGCTCCGGAAGAGATATCAAGGCTTTAGGACCTCTTCAGAACTCGTAGCACTGATTCCGCTGCACGTCCGCAATTCAAGCGGGTTCAGGAATTTCCGAACCCGCTCTTCGCGATCAATCGCCGTGGTACCAAGCCCAGTGCTGCTCACAATGAATTTGAAAGCTCTTGCGAACAGAACTGCTTCGTTTCGCATACACAGTGGCGACAGGAGCTCTCATCGGCAAACCTAGCACTGTCCGACCAAAGGCCGTCGGCACACATGTGCATCACGAAGGGTACAGTCTGCTGACTCAGTGCAAGCTATCCGCCAGCGACATCTGTTGCACGCGTGCTCACTCCTCGAAAGTCATACTCATTGGCAGCCGACTGCCATCCGACGGAAGGGATGAAGAAGTCACTCCACGCGGCGCAATAATGCCGGCTTGCTACCCGGCGTTTGGAAAAGCACGGTGACACATGGATGACCTTCGAAATGCATGTTTGAGCCGGGCAACGAGGGGTGGTGGACGGGAATCCGGGAGCTTCAAGCCGTGCAGATCAGTTCCCGTGGGCCGCCGAGGATTCGGGCAGAGCCTCAATCTGTAAACATCAACCAACGGTACACTGTGCTAGCGAGGGAGATGGATCGACGCACGTTTGAAGAACAGTACCACAGACTGGAAGCGTTGGCCGACAGGACTCCGGACGAACACTACACTGTCTGTCGAATAGTAATGGGGTGATGGCAAGAGAGAGTTTCAAGCAAGTATGAAATTGAAAATTGAAAGAGAGAGTTTCGAGCGGAATCTGAAATGGGTTGCTGTATTTTGTCTTCTCCCGACCTGGTGTTGGAATGCCACATGCAATTGGCAAGGAAATTCCGTCGGCGTCCCCGGCAGCATTTCAGTCTGTGACGTTGGTCAAGGCCTTTTTTTTCTCTTCTTTTTTTCAACATGCTCAATCTCCGCTCGCCCTGACTGTTCTTGGCCGAATGCACTACTGCGTACTAAGCCGGCATTTGAACTCATACTGACGAATCGCGCAGCTCGATTCGGACGCGGCACCCGGCACAGGCGTGGAGCCGAAGAGTCTTAGCCTGAGCCTGAGCGCATGGCTAAAGATGGATCCCTGTACCAAGAGTTCAGCAAACTCTGCCGCTCGTGGCTTGCTCGGCTCCTGCAAGCCCAGCTGTCATCTTTTGGACCGTGGGACGAACAGAGGGCCGCCCCATATATCGTCACGGTTCGGTCAAGATTTGTACGATAGCTGCCCGCCTTCTGTTCCTCGTTAAATTTGCTGCCTCATCGCTGAGCATCATCACAACCTCCTACCATCGACATTGCTGTCGTCGCCAACCTTGCCATCACTGTCACCATTAGCCTGTTGATCATCCTGACCTTACGCTATTAAGCCGAATGCTCTAGTCACAAACGACACTCTACGACAGCCATCCACCAGTGGTGATATCTCAACATACAACCAAAACGACAGCGTCCCATGGCTACAGTCATCATGTCGCACCAACCTTTTGGATCTAGCCCAAGCTCGGCATATGACCCTTACTTCGCTGCATCTTACTCCTCAGCTTCCTCATCCTCTTCGTGCCACTACGCCTCGTCATCGTCTTCACCCTGCACCACTCCACCTCCTCCCACCGCGCCAGCAACAGCAGCAACAGCAGCAGCAGCGCTCGGTGCTGCCTCCATGATGTGTGGCTCGGCATGCCCCGAGGACTCGCTGCCGTTTGTGGTGCTTGTGGTCGATGACAACCCGATCAACCGCAAGGTGCTCACTATCCCGCTTCGCAAGCAGGGCATCGAGGTGGTCGAAGCCGAGAATGGACTTGAAGCAGTACAACGATATGCGCAGGTTCGCCCTGCACTGGTGCTCATGGACATCTCGATGCCCGTCATGGACGGATTCGAGGCTACACGCCAGATCCGAATGCACGAACAGGCGCAGTCCTGCAACCCACCCGATCTCGAGGGCGCAGGTGCGCTCAACGAGGTGATCAGCATGGTCCTGACACACCAGAGAGCGCGCATCGTGGCAGCCACGACTCATTCGTCCGACCGCGACTTCGACGAAGGCAAGCAAGCCGGAATGGACGACTGGATGCTCAAACCGATCCGACCGAGTGTACTAGTGCAAGACATTTTGGAATACCGACGGAACCATCTGCAAGAGTTCGCGGCCACCTTGGGTGCGCTGGGCGTTGCAGGTGTCGGTGTGGCCGCAGGCGAGGCGGCCGTCGAGATGGTCATGGAACAGGCTGGCACTCCCAACGCCGCAGTCGCGGCGACCATCGCCGCGTGATCTGGACCGTCGTCTCCTTGTCGCCACCTTGCTGGTCCCTTCTCGTCCCTTCGCATCGCATTCGCATTTGTTAATCCCTTTTCCCCAACTTTCTCCCTCGTATAGCCTTCGCCGGCGCTTCTTTCCCGATCGAGAGTCAGCCAGCCTGCTCTTGCACCAAAATCTCACTTGTATTTGTACCCCACAATC